TTATTCCTAAAAATATTTATACCCAGCGTGAATACAATAGCTAGATTTTTTTACATGTAATATAATAAATCCCACGTTCAAGTTTCAAATTATTATAATTATTAAGCCTACTACCCCCACCCCGCAAACTATATACATATGTATATAATTTGGCTATTGAATAAGATTTCTATTGTTTTTCTTTATAATACTTGCTATTATATATATTCACATGTTCTCCATTTCGTTTTTGGATTCAAAAATGATAGAAATCTTATAATGATCTCAAGTTGTATGTATTACACACAACAAGAAATCAAAGAAATTATATTTCCCTCATTTAAAGGAGAGAATTATATACATAGAACATCTTTTACATAAATTTATTTGTCTCTTTTATTTCAAAAACACACAATATGAATATTATTGAAAGTGTTCGAATGCAACTCACTTTTTTTTTTTTGCAAATTTAGTTAGTACAGAACTTATTTAACTATTGTTAATAAGAGTCTAACCTTTAGACGTACCTGCACGTCTAATATAAGATGATTAAATAAATGTTGATACAATACTTTTGTTCGCATTTCGTAGTAAGTGATGTCACGTGCCATTGACTCCACCCTGAGTCACGTGTAACTTTTAATGAAAAAAAAAGGATTGTGAAAATAAGGGCAAAACTTATAAAAGCAAAGAAACTGTCGCAGAGATCAAAACATATAAGACTCAATTATTTTTTTTTCTCGAAGAAAAACAGAGTCAACAAATAAAAGGGTATTATCAAACATTTTCCAATTTGAAAATTAATGACTTACACTCATATATATGTAAAATTTAGCAATATCTGTACCAGAGAGAGAGGCTTAATAAATGCACATACTCTCTATCATCTTGTTATGACAGGTTACACATGGGAAACTACTAAATTTTCTTCTTATGTCATTCGATGCCCCATATGGGTTAATTTAATTATCTTTCTTAAATTGTTTTTCTTTTTTATTTTTTTTTTGACTCCTATGTACTTTAAATGCTTTATTAGTTTGATGATCTGTTGTTGTATACTAATGACTCCACAACAATAATTGTGTTCTTATTCTCTAATATATATATAAGTGTGTATAACTAGTATTCGTATATTTCTTTCTGTCTTCACAACTCTCTGATTTGCAATATCTTGACAATTCGTTATAATACAAATTTATTTATAAAATATCCCATCACTTCATTCATTAGTAATATTACTAATAAATTTTATTAATAAAAAAAAATACTAATAATAAAATGGCTCAAAAGACTGCTATTCTATCCGTCTATGATAAGACCGGTTTGCTCGACCTAGCTAAAGGTTTAACTGAAAATAATGTTCGTATTCTCGCCTCAGGTGGTACTGCCCGTATGATTCGTGAACTAGGTCTCCCAGTTGAAGATGTCTCCTCAATTACTCATGCTCCAGAGATTCTAGGTGGTAGAGTCAAGACTTTACATCCAGCGGTTCACGGTGGTATCTTGGCTAGAAATATCGATTCTGATTTAGCTGATTTAGCTAAACAACAAATTGATATGGTTGACTATGTCGTTTGTAATTTATATCCATTTCAAGAAACTGTAGCTAAGATTGGTATCACTATTCCAGAAGCTGTTGAAGAGATTGACATTGGTGGTGTTACTCTATTGAGAGCTGCCGCAAAGAATCATTCTAGAGTCACTATCTTATCCGATCCAAATGATTATGCAACATTCTTAGAAGAATTAAATGGCAATGAACAAAATGAAATATCAAGTGAATTTAGAAATAAATTAGCATTGAAAGCATTTGAACATACTGCAACTTATGATTCTGCCATCTCTGATTTCTTTAGAAAACAATACTCTGAAGGTAAAGAAATGTTACCATTACGTTATGGTGCTAATCCACATCAAAAACCAGCACAAGCATTTGTCACCGAAAAGGACAGCTTACCATTCCAAGTGCTATCAGGTTCTCCAGGTTACATCAACTTATTGGACGCCTTAAACTCATGGCCATTGGTTAAAGAATTATCTGCATCTTTGAACTTACCTGCAGCTGCCTCTTTTAAACATGTCTCTCCAGCTGGTGCCGCTGTTGGTATCGCTTTGAGTGATATTGAGAAGAAGGTATATTTTGTTAATGATATTGAAAACTTATCTCCATTGGCTTGTGCTTATGCTAGAGCTCGTGGTGCTGACAGAATGTCTTCCTTCGGTGATTGGATTGCTTTATCTAACATTGTTGATGTTCCAACTGCTCAAATCATCTCCAAGGAGGTTTCAGACGGTATTATTGCTCCAGGTTACGAACCAGAAGCTCTAGATATCTTAAAGAGAAAGAAGAAAGGTAAATACTGTGTTTTACAAATAGATCCAAACTATACTCCAGAAGGATCTGAATCCAGACAAGTATATGGTATCACTTTACAACAAAAGCGAAATGATGCTATTATTAACCAATCTACTTTCAGAGATATTGTTTCTAACAACAAGGCATTAACTGAACAAGCATCCATCGATTTAACTGTCGCCACTATTGCTTTGAAATATACACAATCAAACTCTGTTTGTTATGCTAAGAATGGTATGGTTATTGGTCTTGGTGCTGGTCAACAATCTAGAATACATTGTACCAGACTAGCTGGTGACAAAGCTGATAACTGGTGGTTTAGACAACATCCAAATGTCCTAGCTTTCAAATGGGCTAAGGGTGTCAAGAGACCAGAAAAATCGAATGCTATTGACTTATATGTTACTGGTCAAATTCCGACTGAAGAACCAGAAAAATCTGAATATGAATCTAAATTTGAGACTCTTCCAACTCCTTTAACCGAACAAGAAAGAACAGAATGGTTGAGTAACCTAAATAACGTTGCTCTATCATCCGATGCCTTCTTTCCATTCCCAGACAATGTCTACAGAGCTGTTAGATCTGGTGTCAAGTACATCGCTGCTCCATCTGGGTCTGTCATGGATAAAGCAGTCTTTGCAGCTGCTGATGCGAACGACTTGGTTTATGTTGAAAACCCAATCCGTTTATTCCACCATTAATTAAATAATAGATATCTAAATAAACTTAAATACTTTCATTAAAAACAATAATAATGCCCATGTCATGTAATTCATATTATGTTTAGATTTGTCGTTAATGAATACCCCCCACTATCTGACCTGTTTCTATAAAATTCCTTTGGTAAACGTTAATTTAATTACTGATACTAACAATTTTACTATAACCGTCAACAGGTCTCCTACAACACACACATGTACTATATCCTCTCAAAGCCAATGAAATTCTACAAGCATCACACATTGCGAAACAATTGCAGGGCCATAGAACAATTTCTCTTTCATTTGTTTTACAAACTGCACATAACAGATCCGCTTCAGAATGAACAGTATCAACATTCTTTTTAGCATCTTGAGCCTTCATAACAGAAAATTTAGACCTTGTTATTCTTTCAGCATGCGTTAAGTGGAAATTAAATATGCTTTGTAGTGAGAGAAACCATCCCATATCATTTGCTGGTGTCCGTAAATCGAGCATATCAATTTGGTTATCTAAAGTAACTTCTGTCATTTCCTTATTTTTATTTTTACTAGATTGGCCCTTATCATTAGTCTCATTAGCTTTACGCATCTCATCGAGAAGTTCATCTCTATCAATAGTAAACAGAATATCGTCCTCAATTAAACTGTCATCTGGGATATATTCACTATCATCTGATAAGTTTTCATCAGTGTCGTTCATATCATTTTGTAATAATACCCATGTATAATGGCTATCATCTGTATCATTAATTCCCTCCATATTCTCTTCTGTCCCATCACTTTCTGAATCACATGTATATTCCACTTCATCAATTATATCTTGTTCATAATCTTGTGCTAAGCTTGGTTTTAGAGTATCCTCGCCTGAAACACTCGTTCTTAATTTCCATCCACAGAACATATTGCTCACAAATTTCCATATTATGTTAACTAATGAAGGAAATGAAAATACCATCATCATCCAATTCCAGTTTTTTGCAGGCTCATCAAAATGCTCATTCTTGTTATCTGGTGTCTTTGAATCAAATTTATCATGCACCAGCTGTTCCTTGGCTTGGAATAAAGTGTCACTAATAGCATAATTACCATGTAGCTTATTCGGTATATTAATATTAGAAAACTCCCTATGCATCGATTTACCACCAGAAGTAGTTCCGGCACAAAACAACATTGCTAATCTTGATATAATTGTAGAGAAATCCTCATCACCTTTAAAATTCACATGAGTAGCCCAATTTTGCATAAACGAATGGAATTTTAGTTCTTGCAAATTAGTTTGGTTAGGATGGAATGGATCAAGTCTTATCAAACATGCTAAAAAATAACAAACAACAGACACGAAAACTATTAAAATGCCGAATAGTTTGGGACCTTGTCTAAATTTAGAGGAGAATGATATTGCCAGAGGTCCATCTTTATAAAGCACTCTTCCCAGATATGTAAGATAGCCAATATTCAATATCGTACTACCAATAAGTCTCCATTTACGAACATGGAATATTTCCACTATATGGATCAATATTCTGCTCAACATTGCCATAATACAATCTGACATATATTCCTTAGCTATTAAATGTTCTTGATCTAAGTTCTTCATATTATAAAGTTGGATAGACAATTCAAATATTGTATAATCTGAGCTTTCCAAAGGTATTTGAGACGATGAAACTGATGTTATTGTCTCTACTACAAATGACCATATTATGACATAATACATTTTTAATGGGAATTTATTTGAATCCTTGATACTCCAGTTACTTTCAACTAAGTATATAATCGCAGCCATTGGAACAATAACGGAAATATGTAATATTGTTCTAATCCACCCAGGAAGTCTAAACGGATGTTCACGACTTCTAGAATTAGGTAGCATGACAATTCTATTAAGAAGCATTGCAGCAGCAAAACATGCTACTGCATAACCACTGAAAAAAAACCCAAGTACATTTAAGAATTGTCGCAGACTTGTGCTGAATTCGGTAGCTTTATGTGCCTGTTGATATTGTAAACTGACAGCTCCCGAAAAGGATCGAAGTACTCTATATGGTGTATTGATAACATTTGCTAAGGACGAGTTTCCCTTTAAAATGTAGTGTCCTGTTTGATTTAGATAAGGTACTGATGCAAAAGAATTGTTTGCTGCCATATTTGTTTTTGTTTCTGTTTATAATGTATAGTTATCACAGTTGAACATTTGACAACCCTTGATTAATTTAGGTTATTGAGCTTATTTTAACTTTGATCCCTCTCTGTACCTTATTAATTTTGTTATAATTTAACGAATTAATAGTTGAATAAGTATTTTTTTTCAAAATGAAAGATAAAGTGAAATGAGTTAGTATTTTAATCAATTAGTGATGTTAAACCTATTCTTCATTAACACTTGAAATATAGAAATTCAACTTAACCGTGGAGATATATCTATCGTTCAAGTTGCACCTGTTGTTAGTAACGCATTATTGCTAACCTTCATATTTTTCTCATTTCTACCCTTTTCCGGATAGAGCGATCATTGAAATAATTACCGTTAAGAAGAATAAGAATAAGATGCTCAACAAAACAAATTTGGTAATTTAAATAAACTAGTATGTGGTTGCGAATACAAATATTTACGAATTTTGAAGAGTGTTCTTAAATAATACATATCTTGATTCTACAATAATGCATATTGGAATTAACATGAAGGTATTAATCATTTATGTGAACGTTAGATAAGATTTCGCCTATACAAATCAATTGCAACATGGATAAATAATCGATAGCTTGGATACAACAAACACAAACCAGCCTTTGAAGTTAAAACTAGTTATTTAATCTACTTGAACGACATATAAGCGTGTCGGGATATGATGTAGATCCTTCCAATTACAGTCAAAGGCTTTTACTTCAAATTTAACAAATGAGGTTGAGGTTCATGAATTGTGTGATCTTCAGCAACGTGCATGTGGTATATGATAAACAAAATTCAAACATATATATATATATATATATATAGGAAACAAACAAACTATAACTATTGTTGAACTGGAATAGTAATTGGCGAAGTTTCATGATTTGGAGTCGCGGTTGTAAATCTTAGTGTTTTAGATTCACTTTAAAGTTATTTATCTTGCTATGAGTTACTTAAATTTAAGTTGATAATTACTCTGTAAGACAATGAACCCAAAAAAATTGCCAAAATTGTTTAAACACTAAACAAAGATCAACGAAACACGGAATCGCTTCATTAATTGAAACTTTTACCAGAAAACAACAGTTTTACCATTCAACAAACAGACACCCATTACTTTTCTTTTGATTATTATTATTGGCAACGTGGGAGTTAAACAGAATCAGAGAACAAATTAATAAATAAATCAAGATTTCTTTGAATAAAAGTATGCTAACACTTTGCGTTATCGTATACTAATACCTAATGTAACAGTAATATCACTTAAAGGAAGACTCCTTTCTACTTCAAGCATCAAATGTAAATATAGTAGGATTTCCAAAATAAGCATAATTCTATAAATTCAAAGAAGAAACTCAATATGTGATAATCCACTAAAGAAATGTAGCACTAGAAATATTTTGCATAATAAAATTTTCTTTAAATCACAAAGATAAAATAAGACTGTCCTGACCCACATGGTAGTTTTGGATTAAATCAGCCACTCGTTTGAAAAAAATTATTTTGATAAGATATCTAGGTAGTAATTTTAAATTAAACAGATAAGAACTGAAGCAAAACGCTTACTAGCATAAGGATTAAATAATCAAATAACAAACAGACTTTTTTCCAAAAATGGACGAAAGAACAGTACGTGCTACTAAGAATATACCCCTAATTGAAAACTCACTACCTTTTTTTAAAGCTATCCATCCACGAATGCATGACACCCAAAAAAGCCTTTCGATATGTTAAAGAAGTTTAACCTAATATTAAAGAAAAAGATCACTTCTCTGCAGTTAAGCATAGAATGAATAACGATATCACTAACAGAATATCTTTCTGCATAAGAAAAAAATTTATCATGCACGTTCTCATGTTATAAAGAAGTCAATTTTACTCGATGCTTGAGAAATTACACCTCCCCCTCCCACAGTTGTTAGATTGCAAAAATAATCAGCACAGCAACCTAACAACGTTCTAAAATGGGTTGAAATTGTACAAATATAGCATTTAGTCATCTCTGATATCATCGTCCTCATTAATTTTTTTTTTTTGGAAATCGTGTGGAGCTGGAATATTGTATTATTAGAAGTACAGAGAAAGGCGCAACAGCCGTTTCGGTAGAATCGGGTTGGCGTGTACTTTATTTATTTATTTATATTTTTTGGCGTACAATCTGCTTGAGGAATACGGCAGAGATAAAAAATAAGGTCACCTTCAATTTTACTACGATAGTATGTTAGGATATACAGTACTGTAAATCCAAGATCTTATTTGTTACTTCTATCCCCAGTTTCGTTATTTTGAGCTCATCGCTATTTGAAGCAGATCTCCGTGAAAGTTTCTTATTAATGAGGGCAAATAGGCATATCTGAACCTCCGTGACATGTATCAACAACAGACATACATCTAGATCTTGGATCTTGGACGCATTGGAAAAGTAAATGAGGGTAAGTTAACCCACTTTTTCTTTTATCTAATAGCGAACCGATTAGTTAATGAGTCAGCTGCATTTCGTGTTAAGTATTATGCCTTTTTGGTGTTACTGTCCCTATTTCGATGGAAAGGCAGTGCTACCTTTCAATTTTTTGGTTGTTATGGTTAGTATATCTTTCTATGACCTCTATATTTAGGTTGTTTCAAAAAATTGGTCATCCGCAATGTAAATCCGTTGTAATATTCAGTTTTGTCCTTCTTTTGTTACAGTATGATAACTTTAGAAGTTTGTTTTGGAGTCTTATTTATCCCTCATTATCAATATGAACTTTACATGGAAACAATAAAAGTGGGTTAATTAGTCTCTAATTGTGCTGCTGCTACTGTTGTAGTGGTGGCGGTATTCTTTGACAAGGGAAGTAATGTTCAACAAATGGAGAGAAAAGATATTCTTAAGAAGTTTTTTGGAAAAAATTGAGGTATATAAAGAGATGATAATTATTTCATTTCTTTCCAAATTAGAATCTCTCTTTATTTCAATTATTCCTTTATTCTAATATTTAAAAAGAAAACCATAAAGTATTCTCAACAAAGATATATATCTATTAAAAAAATATATATACTTTAAGTCATTCGCTATGGTTAATACCAAAACTGCTTTATTCACAGCAGCCTGTGTGCTGTCTATGCTCTCCAGTGTAACACTGGCTCAAACTTTTAACGGTAATCAAGTTCTACATGGTTTAACCTATTTTATCTTACCAGTTAGTGTCACTTCTGGTTCTAACTTAATCATCCAATCTGGTCTATTCCATAAATTCTGGCAAAAGGTCACCGTTAGAGGTGGTCTTTACATTTGTGAAACTAAATCTTCAAACATCGGTATGACTGTTATGGCACTAGCTAACATTATGAACTATGGTACTTTTGTCGTCGATGATTCTCTTGCTTCTACTGGTCTATTATTCGAATCATTCGGTCTTGAATTCTTCAACTCCGGTGACTTCTACTTAGTCGGTAAGAAGCCATTCATTATTGGTTCTCATTACAGAATTTGGGCTTTGAACTTCCACAACAGTGGTTTGATGGCCTTCTACCAAACTGGTACTTCTAATCACTGGTCTACTGTTGAATTGGGTCCTGACACTCTATTCGATCTATTACATGTTACAAACACTGGTACTATTTGTCTAAAGAGTGTTAACTTACATGCTAGAGTTGCCTTTGATGGTGAAACTGGTTGTGTGGATGTTGGTGCATATGCTACATTGACCATCAACCACTTGATCTCAAGATCTTTCAAGTCTCAAACTATCTACATGTCTGATGAAACTTCTGTTGTTTACGTAAAGTCTTTATTAGGTTTAACAAGTTTGACTATTAGAGGTTTTGGTGGTACTAACAGAATCTATTTCAGATTAACTGTCACTTACTATACTTACAACAATGTCAGTGGTATTCTAACTGTTATTGACGGTCTAAACTTATTCAGAATTGACATTGGTCCTAACTATGAATTTGATCAATTCTACAGAGTCACCAGCCACTTGTTGATTGGTTCTGGTATCACTTACATTCCAGACTCTCCAGATTCTTCCAGACCAGAAAACTGTCGTGAATGTACTCCAAATCCAACTTGTGAAGACGCTTTGAACGGTAAGTCTTCTGTCACTACTGCTTCTAACACTTTCACCAACACTGAACTTCCAGATCCATACACTACTACTTACACTGATGCTACTACCACTGAAACTCAACTAATCTCTTTCTACTGGACTACTGACATCAACGGTTCTTCATTCATTGTTGAAACTGTCTATACTTTGACTGGTGAAGCTGCCTCCTCATCAATTGATGGTGAATCCAAATCTTCTTCAGCTTCCGCTACTGAATCATCTTCTGTTGACGCTTCTTCTGAAGTTTCTTCTGCCTCTTCCACAGCCTCTTCTGACGCTTCTTCTTCCTCTTCTACCGCTTCTTCTTCCTCTTCTACCGCTTCCTCCGATGCTTCTACAGTTTCTTCTTCCTCTTCTGGTTCCCTATCTTACTACACTACTACCAAGTCTGATGCTACTACGACCGAAACTCTAGTCATCTCTGACTACACCACTACTGATAACAACGGTAACACTGTCACTATGGAATCTACCTACACCATTACTGCTTCTCAAGCTCCATTGACCACTTATACTACCACTGTTGTTGTTGATGGAACTACTTCTGTCTACGTTGTCTGTGACTACACCACCACCGACGCTAATGGTAACACTGTCACCCTAGTTTCTTCTTACCCATGTATCACTGAAGGTACTGCTACAACTTACACTAGAACGATCACTGCTGAAATCTGTACTTCAACTGTTGTTGTTTGTACTTGTACTTCTACCAAGTCTAACGGTGAAACCGTTTCCACGTTGACCACATACCCAGCTACTTACACTCCAACTGACATGTCTGGTAACTCTTACACCACTACTGTCGTTGTTGGTGGTACTGTCACTGAAGTTGTCGAGTGTGACTACTTGACCACTGACTCTAACGGTAACACTTACACTGCTCGTTCAACTGTCACTGAAACTTCTTTGACTACCGCTACTGAAACTGCTGCTAAGAACGCCGCTGACACCAAGTCTACTACAACTGTTACCAACACATCCGTTGCTACAAAGACTGCCCCAGCTGTTGTCATTTCTCCATCTTCTGCAAACAATGCCCAAGGTGCTTCTCACACAGTTGCTACCTTCCAAGGTTCCGGTTCTATAGTTAAGGGTTCTTTGATGTCTTTGATCTCTGCTTTCCTATTCTTGATGATCTAAATGTAGATTCATTTGGATTTTATTTTGATTTTCTCATTCATGGATTTGTTAACACTAAGTTTAACTCTTCATTATAATAATATTGATACCCCTATTTAATTATTTTCATGCATTAAATAAACCATGAAAATTTATTCCGTTCGTTGATACCCCATTGATTTTTGTAATTTAAGTCTTAGACAATAATATTTAAAACATACATAATATTCCTAATAATAAATATTTCAAGTTATTAGTTTCAAAATACACATTACAATAAAATTAAGCCTACAACAATCCTTAGTGTTGAAAAGAGAAAAAACTTTTTTGTCTGCATTAATTTAAGACATTAATTAACGTTTATTCTTAATTTACATATTTATCAATTGTGACGCTTTTTATTTTTGGTTACTATGCGCACTTTTAGTCTATTCGCCGTGAGAAACATATTTTCGCGATTTTTTTATAGTTAAGATGACAAAGTAATCAAGAAATGTAAATAAACAAATAAATAAGGTTTAATTTAAGGAGATTATTAAACAAAATATAAAGCAGAGCATATTTTACTTAAAAATCGCCATAATATTCCACCCGTACCAATAAGAATACGACTACACAGCAATAAGATGGAAAACCTAGACCAAGAATTTGATCTCTCCCAGTCGATTAGTTCTGTTGCAACCTTAAGAGAAACTTTTAATACCAATAATGTACGAAGTTCTTTAAATGAAATAATGGATGCCACAACAGGTATTGAACAAGAAAATGAAAAGTACTTGGAAGAGGAAGAAGAAATACTTCTTCAACTTAAGAATAAAGTTAATAAACAGAAAGAAACCGTCGAGTCATTAAATAAAGAGTTGCTTAAACTTAAAGAGGACACTGATACAATTCTACAACAAGATAAACTGGTAGATTTAGTATCTGAATTGGATATTATCGAGAAGAAAAATCTTCAGCTGAAAAATGATAATGATAAAAGGATAAACGAATTAGCTATCCAATACAATGCTGAAGCTGATAATACTAAACACCCAATTGATACCATAAATCTGATTGATAGGGATGAAAATGAAGAGACTAAAAAGATGTTAGAAGATCCTGTATCAAGGGCTAATATCTTAAAACTGAAATTATTTAGGTCATTAGGTGTAGTCATTGATGTGAAGGCCGAACAAGTATTTATCGAGGAATCTGATAAAATAGACGTGCTGATGTTGAATGATGGTTACAGTAATTACTTCAAGACCAAATATATATGGGAAAGGATTAAGATGAATAAAGATTTATTAGGTGCGGTATGAATATATATTTGAGGCCGTATTAAATATATATTCCAGCGTCATTTCAATAGTCATGAATAAATGGATAGACTACCTTTTTGAGGGCTTACCCATTTTAAGGTGTGACTGCCATATGAAAGTATATCCATGCCCCCTATATTTCCTCTATAGGAGACTATTATGGTTGAAATCATCTATGAAGACTCTCATTCACTTATAATAAAAGGATATTAACCCTAACGGCAAAACTCCATCCTTCGTATTACATGATGCAGGCACGTGACCTATCGGTTTTTAACAAAATGTGTGGGTGTAAAAATAAATTGAATAAAAGTTTTTTAAACTTATTTTTACTTGGATGTACGGATGTTTAAGTCGTCACATAAAATTAACTATGAGGCGTTCTGTACTTTACGCTGGAAAAAGGGCCTTTGCAAGCGAAGGGTTCAGAACGTTTGGTGAAATAATTTAATTTTTTTCGATGACCACGCAAAAAATTAAAAATTGAATTTTCAATTAGCAAACTGGTAGATTCGAAGAACACTTTCCAACGCAAAGTATTTTGTTAAATATTTATTATTTAGCGTGTCTTTAAGAACTATTTAGTTTTTAGTTTATTACTTCTTATAACTTTCAATTTATAAAGTAATTTTTAATTTATATCTTGTTATTCAATTATAAGAAATTAACTAACAATCACAAGAATAGCAATGGCATCTAACGAAGTTTTAGTTTTGAGAGGTTCTCTAGAAGGTCACAACGGTTGGGTTACTTCCCTAGCCACCTCTGCTGGTCAACCAAACCTGCTAGTCTCTGCTTCCAGAGATAAGACTTTGATCTCCTGGAAGATCACTGGTGAAGACGGTCAATTCGGTGTCCCAGTCAGATCTTTCAAGGGTCATTCTCACATTGTCCAAGATGTTACCCTAACCCCAGATGGTGCTTACGCTCTATCTGCTTCTTGGGATAAGACTCTAAGACTATGGGAAGTCGCTACTGGTGAAACTTTCCAAAGATTCGTCGGTCACAAGGGTGATGTTATGTCCGTTGCCATTGACAGAAAGGCCTCTATGATCATCTCTGGTTCCAGAGATAAGTCCATCAAGGTCTGGACTATCAAGGGTCAATGTCTAGCTACTCTTCTAGGTCACTCCGACTGGGTTTCCCAAGTCAGAGTTGCTCCAAATGAGCAAGATGACGATGACACTGTCACCGTTATCTCTGCCGGTAACGATAAGCTAGTTAAGGTATGTTTTAATTTTATTTCCAATTTTTTTTTAGTTTTTCTTTTCTGTTTTCTTAATTTCCAATTTTTGAAACAATTTAAAATAAAAGTATAATATTCTGTCATATGATGATTTCTATATTTGCTACTTCAGAGGAGACTATCTATCTCCAATGAGACATATTAATTATCACCAAGATCTCTGATGACAATATTAATTTTTACAATTATTAATATGTTTTATTTGCTTTGCAAAGTACTGGATATTAGGGAATGAGATAATGTAAAGAACTATATGCATTTTTTTTGAATACAAAATTTACTAACAATCATTGAAATACATTTTTTTAAAATGTTTTCCATTTAATTTTATAGGCTTGGAACTTAAACCAATTCCAAATCGAAGCTGACTTCATCGGTCACAACGGTAACATTAACACCATCACTGCTTCTCCAGATGGTACTCTAGTTGCTTCCGCTGGTAAGGATGGTGAAATCATGCTATGGAACCTAGCTACCAAGGATGCTCTATACACCTTGAACGCTCAAGACGAAGTCTTCGCTCTAGCTTTCTCTCCAAACAGATACTGGTTGGCTGCTGCCACCGCTTCTGGTATCAAGATCTTCTCTCTAGACCCACAAGCTCTAATTGACGACCTAAGACCAGAATTCGCTGGTTACAACAAGGCCGCTGATCCACACGCTGTTTCTCTAACCTGGTCTGCTGATGGTCAAACTCTATTCGCTGGTTACACCGATAACGTCATTAGAGTCTGGCAAGTCATGACCACTAACTAAGGGTTTTAAAGTTTAAAATATATTTATATATAGTTTTCTCTTTTATCTTTTTTTAGTCTTCGTTAGGTCAAATAATACAACAAAAAATTCATTCTTTTTTGAATTATAGGATATTTTTAATAATACATTCTGTAGCATAGTAATCAATAAAAAAAAATTAATAACTTTTAATTAGGTGTTTCAAAATATTTACTTCTTTATTATATATTTATTAATATTATATTATTTTACTGTTCATTTTGATACTTTAGGTAAGACACAAATGTAAATAGTTTTGTGATCCCGTATAACTGATGGTTCTGTTAGTTGTTGCTATTGTTGCGATTATTGCTGAATATATTGTATTTTTTAGACTATAAATCATATATTATATTGGTAATTATTTTATCAGAGTACTTTTGTATTTTTGTTCAAAGAGTTGTTATGTTTTTTAAGATCCTTTGTTTTTTTCAATTCACCTTCTGCCTCTTTCAACAGCTCTTCAAAATCAGTTTCCTTTGCCAACGATATAGCGTCTGAAAGATGACGTTCCGCCTTATGAAGTATTCCATTATGCAAGTTAAGAATCCCTTTACCATAGGTAGATAATGCAATGGCTTGGGGGATGGAAGAATCCAATTGGTCCTTCATATGGTATCTTAGTTTATTATGCTCATTAGAGAATTTCAAAATAGAATCATAACATTGATTAGCCATTTGTAAACATGTATCTCTATTTTTCCTTAAATATCTTAATGCTTTTACCACTTTTTCATCTTCTACAAAACGTGGATCCATCTTACATTTACTATCTATTTGAAATAAATCAGATTCAAACTTTTCTGCTTGTAAATATAACAGAGCACCTAAATTTGCTTGTGCCAATAAAATTTGACCGGGTGGCATATCTGCCATAACCATCCATTGTACAGTAGTCATTTTACAACTTAATGCCGAAGGGACATCCTTAGCAGACAGACAATATGCAGTATACAGATCTCTTGCGGTAAAAAACTCTTCTTTAAAAGGTTCCCAAGCACTAGTATTCTTTTGAATATCCATTATCATATATCCATCTTCATTAAATTTCAAATTTTCATCGCTTACAAAAGGCTTGAAATCAGAGCCATCAATCGGTCTACCTTTTACTAATTTTTCAGCTTTCTCTCTCTTAGAGTCAAAGAATTTTTTCAATTCTGGTGATCTGATTAATATTTCCTCTTGAGCAAGTAATAAATGTGCTAATAAATTTCTTTTACCGATATCCAAATCTTTATTCACTTCCAAGGATTTAATTAACACTCTCAAATCTTTTCTAATCAATTCAGGTCTCATTTCGTCTGGTACTACCCCTGAAGTATTCAAAGATTCAAAAAATCTATATAACATCTCCAAATAAATATTTTTTGCATTTTCATGTAAGTCTAATTTTTCAAACATTTCTGCAATTTTCAATTCTATTCTAGTATATTCATCACTTAAAGGGTTCACATTCAATTCTTGTAGTTTATTTAACACTTCAATATATTTATGAAGCGAATCCGTATAATTGTAATTGGAATTATTACTTTCATCCCATACGGCTTGTTTTAAATAATTTTCTAATTGATTGGGATATCTATACTTCTCACTGTAAGAATTAGAATACGTATACGGAGATAAGAAGGTTCCACGAGAATCTCTATATTTTGTTAAATAATAGCCGGTACCAAATGTAACAGCTGCAGCACTCCCCACACTTAGTATCCATCTCTGATTCTTACCTAATAACGAATACTTTGATCGTAAAGTAGACATGAATTCCGACACAATACGGTTATTCATATTTGTCGATTCTTTTTTTCTTGTTGCTAAAATATCAAAACCCCCCCTCTACCAATGGCAGGTAATATCTATGAGATAATTTAATTTATAATATCGGTATCTTTCCTTTTAGTGAATATATCAATCTATGATACGCCTAGTTCTATATATATAAATATATAGAATTATTGTTGTTTCATTATGAGATTCGTTTCAATTCATGATTATTTAACGGATAAAAGTAAAAATATAAAATTTACAAAAAGGGCGTGCAATTTTACATAGTTTTTCTCTGCCCATCGCTTAATACAGAATATATGTTGAGACACACACTGAGAATATTTTATTAAGGGTGGGTGGATGGATGAGCCTCACTATAATCTAGCTTTGAAAACTGGTAACACATATTTAGATTGTATACATCTGAGTGACACTCAGACTTTTAAACTAGTACATCTTTCAAGATTATACATACAGGGTTATAAAAAATAGGATACAATGTGTGGTAGATATGCGCTCTCTTTTGATAGCGATGAGTTACCAGCTGCCTTTGGTCAATGGGGTATCGACATCAATTTAAGAGGAAACGATATTAATGCTAATGATGCTAATAATAATATAGTTTCAGAAAATGATATTTCCACCAGTACCGATTCTGATATGATACATTATGATAAATCGTATAATGTAGCACCTACTAATAGAGCACCAGTACTAAATTCAAAAAATGATGATGTGAGATACATGAGATGGGGATTAATTCCTCATTGGTCTAAGAAGATAGGAACATTTAAAGGATATACCACCTTTAATGCTCGAATGGAAAATTTATTGTCTAGTAAAATATGGCATAGTTGTGTGAGTAATAAACGTTGTGTTGTCCCGATCAGCGGCTATTATGAATGGCTAGTAAAACCACACGAAAAGAATAAAACACCTTATTATTTGAGGAGAAGAGATAACAAGATTTTATTTTTGGCTGGTTTGTTTGATTATAATGAAACTGAACAAATGTTCTCATACACTATAATCACAGGTCCTGCTCCTGAAGGTCTTAAATGGTTACACGATAGAATGCCCTGTGTCATTGAACATGATTCTGATGAATGGAAACAATGGATGGACCCTGATAAAAATGAGTGGAGCCAAAAGGACTTAACTACTGTTTTAACTCCTCAATATGAAGAATATCTTTATAGAGTGTATCAAGTAACAAGAGATGTTGGGAAAGTATCTAATAAAGGATATTATTTGACAAAACCAATTCTGAAAGAAGATAGTGATCGTATCAAGAAGGAAGAGAGTGATACAGATATAAAGAAGGAAGAAAATGAACAGAATTCCAGGCTAAAACCAACTTCAGTTAAAGAAGAGACTCCCGTTAGAAAGACCGAGCCTAAATCTTCCCTAAAACGGGAGCCAGCCGATAGCGATATCGAACCGAAAACGCCAAAGAGAGGAAATATTATGGATATGATTAGGCAACGGTCAAATAAAAAGAATAGTCACAATGATAAATTAAATGTCAAGAAAGAAACTTAAACTTAAAATCTTTTGTCTCAATCTCTAAAAAAATATATGTATATATTTATATGTGGGTTACAATTTTATTTAGAACAAAAAAACGAATGGATAAGAAAAATAATGACAAAAAACAAAAAACTCACAACACAACGAGAAAAATAGATATAGTAAAGGTTAGAATTTTTAATATTAATAGAAATAAATATACCATTACAAATTGTTAAGCTAGATTCCATTGACAATCACATACATATAGACATTAATATATTGGGAAACTACACACGGTATTGTTTAAAGTTCTCTTTTCGCTCTAATCAGTTATAACACATCAAATCATAATGCAACCAGAATACGTTAAGGAAAGACTTGCTGCGCTCGATGAGATTGATATGAAACTATGTGGAATGCTACAGGAAGCTTCCCAAGTAGTTCACGCATTCAGTGAAGTGAAAAGTGGGAATGATGCAGCTAAACCGCAGTTTACAAAACATGTTGAAGGGTTTTATACTGATCTTGAATCTGCAACGATTAGATTGAGAAACGAGATTAAATTATTAGATGATAATATAGGTACAAGATTACTGCCTATAAATGTTAATAAGAAGGCGTTAGGCCAGGATGATGAAAAATTACATGAACAAATAGGTTTACTGAAGGCTACTTTGTCAGGAAATACTTACGCCAAAGAACAGACACCAGAACTCCCTGAAAGCTCCACTGGAGTAGAGGAAAATAATAAAGAGGACCATGCCAAGGTAAATGATACTACAGAGATTACTCAAACAGAAAGTGTACAAACTCAACCTCTCCAAACAGAAGATACCCAAACAGAAATTATACAAACAGAAGTTGCGCCGGAATCTACAGCAGAAATGACAGAACCCGCTATGGATGTTAACGAAGCTACTGAAATTGAGAAAGATAATAATGAGAACAATGATGACAATGATGAAGATGACGATATCGAAATGGAAGATGTATAATAAAATATACAGCTCTTACTTTACGAACCCTCTGCCTTAAAAATAAATACCTATATACTAAGGCAATTTAATGATATTATATATTAATTAAATATCAACTCCCATTTCGTTTCTTGATGTAGAGGGTCCAATCACCCAAAGCATCTACCTTCCGTAAATACATAACGTTAATAACTAGTAAGATGATCAAATAACTTCCTCATTGACAAATACATTAATGAACTGATTGGTTGATCGTTACTGCAATTTAGTTATTACTTCGCACGTCATTCCTTCCGTTTTTTTTTCAGTTTATTATTTTTACCTTTCAATTAAAGTAAAGTTTTGGCGCTTTCGATATGTAAATACTGCACATGTAGAAATGATTCGATTTTAAACTTCAAATAATCTTTACAGTAGAATTAAAACGGAATATTACTAGGAATAGCACTACTACTACTCATAAAGTATTAAATAAAGACACGTTATAGTGCCTATCAGATCAATATTTGCTTTTTATCAAAGACGTGTCACGTAACAAACGCGATAGGTTGTACGCTTGCTAAATATCATAGTCTTAAAAGAAAAAATTACATACCTAGCTTATTATGGATTCTGACGATTCTGATTATCCTTCCAGATATAGTGGATATAGAAGTGACTCTGTCGACAGAGACACATCTGGAGCAGCACATTCAAATCCAGCCACGGCGAATAGTTCAACAAACGCAAGAAATGCAGCCGAACAACGTGATGCTAACAACGAATCTAATGCAGCTGCAACTCCAAGTAACGGGGACTCTACCAATGTGACAGCTACCACGACAAATGTACCTACCTCCGGAGTTGAGTCTAATCTTACCACAAGAGAATTTCAGACTTTTATTATTGATCAACTGGTAAAGATTCAAGAACAAAATGAAATCCTCAAACAGAAAGTCGAAACTTTAGAACAAGAACAAGAAGCATACTATTTGAACAATGCAAAGAGGCTTGAAAGTGGATTTAGGGATATCACCAAGTCTGTAACAGAGATTTCGCAGTTAAAAAAATTGTTTAAAGAAGTAGTAGGTATCATGTCCGGCGAAAGATTACGATTTTTGGATCATTCAGATGAAAATGCAGTAGCTCCTATCAATCGGACCATAGGTCAAGAAGAAGGAGACCGTTATGACCCTAACCTTGGGCGTACTGAGTCGGACTTTGATAGAGGAGCTCATGATAGATCTATCCTGATCAATTCTGAAAGAGTGGTTGTGAAAAGGGAAACGGATGGTGAAGATGGAAATTTACCTCTTTTAAGTAATCAGATAAGCCGAAATCATTACACTCAAATGAGTTCAATTCCTGATAGGTATGCCATTAGTTTACCAGGTCGTAGACATAACGCACCTATATCTAGGGCACAGATTTTGGAAGATGAACATGGTAGAGATTCTTTAATTGCAGCTCAAGAACAAGGTGACAGAGAAATGGAAAATGCTATTAGAACTGATTTGTGGAAAAATTACAGAATGAACATAGCTATTCAGAGTGTATATGATGTAGCGAAGGAGTACTACGAAGGGTTTCCAGGGAAACCATCTCTTTTGCAATTAGAAAGAAAATTTGGATCCACCTGGCGTAGACAACGTGGTCAAAGAGTTTTATTTGCCAAGAGAAAATGTATTATTAGTAAGATCGAAAACATTTTAAAAAATCCTAAACAATATAACCTACCAGAAGGCATAAAGAGGAACCAAGCTATCAAGGTTTTAGAAAATATTAGGTTAGGGAATAACCGTTACAAAGGTAACGTTTGTTTAATGTCAATATCTCAATTATATGAATATTTATCAAGAAAAGATGACAAAATTGAGGACTATTCGTTAAATATCAAACAGAGGGGTGTACCTAGAAGATTAATATTACAGCGCCAAAGAGAAGAAACGATGCAAAGGAATTCAGAAAGTAACCAATCTGCGACCAATGAGCCATCCACTGGAGAATCTGAACAGAATCTAGAGCAAGGGGCCAACCAAACTACATCTGATCAAATTGCTCTGGGAAACGCCTCCACAAGTGTGAATAATGTTGGTTAACTACTGCTTAAGTATTCGGTGGTATTCATTTCTTATATAAATTCAAATAACGTGGGTATAAAAATTTTAACATTAAATTTATAAATGCACTTATATATTCATAGAGTGTGTTATTGATTTGAAGATTGAAGGAAAATTATTAGATATTTAAATAGTCTGGTACTTCACCTATTGTCAAGGACCAATACCGTTGTTTGATGTTTTAGGACTGCTTATATCGCCTCTTTGCGTTATTTTATTTCATAGGGGCGTCATTTAAATTATAAGCGCAGAATAATAATATGAAGAAAATGTTTGGAATGAAGCTGAAAGTATGTTTAATTAATAAATTATTTATTTGAACTACTTAAGCATCGAATCATTTAAATTAAGAATACCCAAACTTCCAAAAGATTAAAAATGAAGGAACTGAATTACACTCCATTAGATGTTATAGACACCAAATTAACAGTTTCCAGTGAATGCTTCTTCGAAAGACAAAAAGAATTATCTCATGCTACAAATATTAGGAAGACAGACCTTCAATTTAGGATTAAACAATTAAAAACGCTATACTATGCTATTAAGAAGAATGAAAAGAATCTGATTGATGCAATGTACGAGGATTATCACCGTGCTCCACAAGAATCGATGCAATTAGAATTAATTCCGCTGTATAATGACATTTTGAATATGATCAAAAGTCTGTCGAAATGGATGAAGCCGAGACGTATATATGACATGTCACCTACTTACATGTTGGGTAAAACTTATGTTGAAAAGATTGCCATGGGTAGTGTTTTAGTAATATCTCCATGCAATTTCCCTGTTCTATTAGCTTTAACTCCTGTTGCAAACGCAATTGCCGCCGGTAATACCGTTATTTTAAAACCAAGTGAGATGACTCCAGCTACTGCCATTCAAATGCAACAATTAATTGAAAATGCTTGTTTCCCTCATGGATTGTTACAAGTTGTCCAGGGTGCTATTCCAGAGACTTCCCAATTAATCAAATCTAAGACCTTAAATATGATTTTTTACACAGGTTCCCCAAAGGTTGGTTCCATCGTAGCTCAAGAGGCAGCCAAGAACTTAGTTCCATGTGTTTTAGAACTTGGTGGTAAATCTCCAGCATTTATGACTAAGAAATTTGATATCAATAATAATTCTAAGTTGAAGACTGCTATTAAGAGAATATTTTTTGGTGCATTTAGCAATGGTGGACAAATTTGTGTTACACCTGATTATTTGCTAGTCCATGAATCTATTTATGATAAAGTAGTAGAACAAGCCAAAATTGTTTTGAATGAAATGTATCCTACTTTTAATGGTGATTTAGATTACACACATACAATTGGACCAAGAGGATATAATGCAATTATTAAGAAATTGGAGGAATCAAGTGGCACTAAATATATACCTCAGTCTGCTAACGGATTTGTTTCCAATGAAGAAAAGGGCCAATATTGTATACCACCAACACTGATTTTGGATTGTTCATGGGATGATTCATTAATGGAGGAAGAGAATTTTGGTCCTGTATTACCAATTTACAAATACTCTGTACTAGATGAAACTTTAGATATGATTATTAAAAAAAATGATCAACCTTTAGTTCAATATATTTTTTCTGATTCTGAACACGAGAGACAACATATTTTAACTCGTTTAAGATCTGGGGACTGTATTATTGGTGATACTATAATTCATGTAGCTATTCAAGATGCTCCATTTGGTGGTATCGGTAACTCCGGATATGGTAATTATGGTGGTGTTTATGGATTTGATGCTTTCACCAACGAGAGAACTGTTTTCAAACAACCATACTGGATGGATAAAATGCTATTTATGAGATATCCACCATATAACGAAACGAAATTAAAGTTAGTGGAGGCTGCCACGGAACAACAACCATGGTTCGATGAGGATGGAAACAACCGTTGGTACCGTAATAAATTCTTCTATTTATTCACAGTCGTTGGTGTGGCTGTTGCTGCTGCTTGTAATCAATATGCTTAAATCTTAATTCATCGTTTCTCTCTATATATTCATATACATATGTAAAATTATAAGCGTAATACAAATCTAAAATAAGCAGAACAAAAATTGAATACCTTTCTTCTTTCTGATGAACAAACTTTCATTGTTGTCTTATTGACATCGTAATATTTAAGTAACATATATAAAATTATATGCAATTTATGTACTTGCTTGAGTAGTATTATATTTTAAAATATTTTTTTTTTCTTTCTTTTGTGTAAATGTGTGTTTAAAGTTTTTTTATTTTATTTGACTACTGAATATTTATTATTGGATTTTTTTCTTTCTTTTCTAGATTATAGAAATTATCTCCATTTCTTTAATGCTTACCATTGGTACGTTTATGACGTAATGTATTTTGTTCCATTTCGGTAGCTTCATCGAAATATATAAATTCATCTAAACCTTTACCAGCTGGAACCATTGGTAAGACAGGAACCTTCTTTTCAACTTCGACTTCCAATAACACTGGACCTTCAGTGTTAACGAATTCTTCCAAAGCACCATCCAGTTGTTCTTGTTTAGTGACTTTGATACCTTTCAAACCCATAGCATCTGCTAATTTCATGAAATCTGGATTCAATTGATGTGTATGAGAGTAACGGTTTTCATAGAACAAAGATTGCCATTGAGTGACCATACCTTGTTCTTCATTATTTAACAATAAGATTTTAATTGGAGTACCAGCTTGAACAGCAGAACTTAGCTCGGTAAGAGTCATATTAAAAGAGGCATCACCATCGATATCAATGACAAGAGCATCAGGATGAGCCACTTGAGCACCGATTGCAGATGGTAGACCATAACCCATAGTACCTAACCCACCTGAAGTGACAAAAGTACGAGGCTTTTTCCAAGTCCAATGTTGAGCAGCCCACATTTGATGTTGACCAACACCTGTAGTGACAATGACATCTTTACCTGTAGCATTAGCTATTTTAGATAATTTAGCAATTGCTGTTTGTGGTTTAATCTTTGAACCTGGAGTTTCTCTCATATATTCATAAGGATATTTAGTTTTCCAACCATTAATATCTTTAAACCATTGTGTTCTTTCTTTTACAGGGAACACTTTTGGCAATATCGATTGTAAATTAGCAGTGGCATCACCTTCAACAGCTACTTGAGCTTCAACAACTTTATTAATATTTTTTGGAGAAATTTCAAAATGAATTATACCACCACGATTCTCTAAAGCAGCTTTACGTGCTTCAGGAGCAAATTTTGAAATATTACCAGTGACACGATCATCAAACCTTGCACCAACAGCTATGATTAAATCAGCATTTTGCATAGCTAAATTAGCTGTAGCACAACCATGCATACCTAACATATCTAAAGATTTTGGATCTTCTTGATCAAATGCACCTAAACCTTGTAAAGAAGTAGTAACAGGGATTTGCGCACGTTCACTTAATTCTTTCAATACACGAGGTCCATCTTCATTATTAAAGATACCACTACCAACATATAATACTGGTTTTTTAGCTAAATTAATTAAATCTGCAGCTTTATTAATACTTTCTAAAGTAAATTCATTTTGTAACTCTTTAACAGAAGATTGATGTAATGTATCTGAAGGTAACGCACTATTCATTGGAATTGCTTGTCTTAAGACAGCTGCTGTAACATCCTTTGGTAAATCAACTAATACGGGACCTGGTCTACCACTCATTGCGATTTCAAACGCTTCATTAATTCTTGTTGGCATTTCTTTAACATCTTTAATCATAACATTCCATTTTGTACAAGATCTTGAGATTCCAATAACATCGGCTTCTTGGAATGCATCTGTACCAATAGCTGAAGTTGGTACTTGACCTGTAAAGACAACCATCGGAATCCCATCAGCTAATGCATCAGCCATTGGAGTAACAACATTTGTTGCACCTGGACCTGATGTGACTAAGACAACACCAGGTTTTCCTGAGGCTCTAGCATAACCTTCAGCCATATGACCTGCACCTTGTTCATGTTTTGGTAAAACAAATTTAAAATTTTCACTATTATAAATTGCATCATAGACTGGTAAAATTGCACCACCTGGATAACCAAAGACGGTATCGACATTATGTCTAGACATCATTTCGTTAAAGATTTGACCACCAGTTAAACCAACTAAAGAACTATCTAATTGAGTCTTTTTAGCTGCATTATCTGCTAATTTTCTAGAGACTGATGACGAAGAAGAAGAAGATTCAATATCGATATTAAAACTTGGTGCAGGTTCTGGTCTTTTACTCTTTGCAGCAGAATTTTGTTGTTGATATAATTTTGTTGAAGGAGTAGAATAAAATCTTTGAATAGAAGGAACCATTACAGTTGCACGGCTACATTTTTGTAAAGCACGTCTTGCAATGGTTGATTTAACCATAGAAGTTCTAATCATCTTAATAATAATAATAATAATAATATTTAAGCTATTGCACAAAAAAATTAAAACAATGGCAAGAAATCTAAAACTTTCAAAACTAAAAGGGGATGATGGATCTTACTTCTTTCTTTATTTACGTTAACTTCAGGTATCAGAATACTTTAGTAAAAATGAAAAAAAATAAAACAAACCTAAATAAACCAGATGAAGGTTCAATATATATATATATTATTCGAATTTACTGAGTCAGAGAGAAGAAAAATAGAAAATATTAATTATTAAATTGAAATTTATTTCATCAAATCAACGAGCTATTAAACAACCCTACCCAGGACTATTGAAAATTTTAGTACAGTAAGTACCCTTTACTAACAAATATCAACGAACTTTTGCTTTTCCCGGTCAGTCATCGCACATCGAACATCGACAAAAACTGAAATATTTTAAATTTTTTCTTTTCAGTTTTCTTCTCACCGCCAAACTTTCTTGCTGCTGCTGCTGCTGTCTCTGTTCTCAGTTCTCGTGAGTCATTCCCGGCGTCCCGCACGAGTCGAATGCCAGACAATTTGAATGCCTGAACCGGCATTCTGAACAAATGGTATATATATATATATATATATATATATATGATAGTCTTAAAAGAAAAAATTACATACCTAGCTTATTATGGATTCTGACGATTCTGATTATCCTTCCAGATATAGTGGATATAGAAGTGACTCTGTCGACAGAGACACATCTGGAGCAGCACATTCAAATCCAGCCACGGCGAATAGTTCAACAAACGCAAGAAATGCAGCCGAACAACGTGATGCTAACAACGAATCTAATGCAGCTGCAACTCCAAGTAACGGGGACTCTACCAATGTGACAGCTACCACGACAAATGTACCTACCTCCGGAGTTGAGTCTAATCTTACCACAAGAGAATTTCAGACTTTTATTATTGATCAACTGGTAAAGATTCAAGAACAAAATGAAATCCTCAAACAGAAAGTCGAAACTTTAGAACAAGAACAAGAAGCATACTATTTGAACAATGCAAAGAGGCTTGAAAGTGGATTTAGGGATATCACCAAGTCTNTTTTTTAAGAAAAACCCCTTTGTTTGCTTTGAGTAATTTTATTAAAGTATTAAATCCATCTATTTCAAATTTATTTCTATTATTTACTTGTCTCTTCTATATATATATATATATATATATGCATTCAGTTAATTTTTGATGCCATAAAAGGGCGAACGGCTGTATCATCCTCTCTGTACCCCTAAAAACCAGTTTTTCTGTCGTAATAAAAAAACTATTATTACATTGATGATGACATCATAATAATATATACAAAATTAATTTTCATCCGTTAAACCGTCGTGAATAAACAATATATGTACACTGCAAACTTTAACAAATGCGGTGCTATATATAAGTTATATACTATTTTAATTTGTTATAGAGATAATAGTTTGGAATAATTAAGACAATGCTTAATATGGTAGATGATTGCATTGTTATGTGTTTGTCATAAGGTGTATGTGAATTCTGGTTCTTGTGCTTGTACCATCTACCATTACATTACTTCGGTTTCATAGTATTATAAAAGAAAATATTGGTTTTTATGGTCAATCGTATGGGTATTTCTTTTACATGAAGAGTTGAAGGGATTTTAGTTAAAAAAAAAAACATTCATATTTTAATTGTAAAATAAGAAGTTAATATAACAGAGAGTCAGTATTCATTTTCTGTTAATAGGATTATCTCCCCTATTATAATTTTAGAATTCGAACTGGAGTATCAAAAATTTGTAATATTTGAATATCGATACCGATCTATCGAATATTTTCCATTCTTAATTACAGTAGTGTAGATTTATACAATACATATATATCCGAATTTTATAAAACAGCATTTCAAAGAAAACAGAACTCTTAAGTAATCAAACTTAATATTCTTAAAATATGTTCTAATATATCATGGAAAAAAACCTATGTATATGCCATTTTAAACTTGATTTCTCCTATTATATTCTTACAGATTGAATTTTGCTCTTCATGTTCATATAATTTAGATCAATAAATATTGTGATTTGTAGTAAGATTTCATTAAATATTTGACAAATTACACGAAAATCTTAAATTTCCATTAATTATTATAGTTAAATAATTGCATTTATTTTCATAAGAAATAGCCTTGTTGGCGCAATCGGTAGCGCGTGTGACTCTTAATCACAAGGTTAGGGGTTCGAGCCCCCTACAGGGCTTTCTTTTTTGGGTTTTCACTCGCTTATTTTTTTGTTCTGACAGAATCGATTTGAACACTATAATAACTGTAATTGCAATACTTTTCTTGTTTTTATTTTTAAAATAACATTGTTGTTAGAGATCAGGTTTGTTTTTATTTTTATCTGTTATTGATATATACATATGCATATTAATATGTTTCATTTTCATATGTCAAAGCTTTACACGTACGACGCGATTAATTTGCATCGAGTGAAATTTCAATATTGTTAATATAATGATAAAATCACTTGATTAACAATATTGCAGTGATAACTTTTACATAAGAAGAAAAGGACTCCAATAACTTGATAGAATAGTTCCCTAAAGATTTAATTTTTGATAAGGGCTTGGTGACCTAAAAAACAACAAGTACAACCACAACTAATTCAAAAGAGAATGTCTGCAGAATGTACTTCTTTTATTATCGATGCTTCTGAGCGAATGATTCAGACGAATAAAGTGAAACAATTACTTCGATACCTTGAATATACATTACTAGAGAAATGTGAGAAGGGTAGAAAGACAGATTGGGTCGATTGTTACCTAAATAATTATATAGAGACTGAAAACTCAATGCAATTGGAACATATCTATGAATTACAAAAGATGGAAGCACCATTGTTAGGTAGTCAATGTGCAACGATATCCAAGATATTAAATTCATTACAACCTTCCGATGGTGTCAGTACCGAAGAATTTAATACAATTGAACAATGTTTATTATTGTCTACTTTACAAATCAAAGAAAAATTCCACAAAAGGAAAATGTTGAGACAAATTATGTGTTTTACGGATGACATGAAATCTATTACTTTAGAAGATAATGAAATTGATGAAATGTTACAAGAATATACTGGTAGATTCATCCTAGTGGACTGTAGGTCTGAAGATCAAATAGTAAAAGATGATTCATCTGGTGTCACCAATTCAGAAAATAGTTGGTATAGACTAATTGCAAAATGTGAGGGGTCCATTATTATAAAATTATCTGAATTAGTCCAGTTAGTAGATATACCAACACCTCCAGTGGTGAAACCTATCAGAGTCTTTTCAGGCCAATTGAGACTCGGTGCTGATTTAACTAACATTGTAAATGATACCAAGGACAATCAAGATGCAAATATATCCGATTCAAGTTGTCTTTGTATCAATGTAGAAGGTTATCCTGCCATCAAATCTATTTCTGGGTTACATAGAAAATTAATGACCAAATATGATAAAATTGATGATAAAAATAGTAATAATCATTACAGTATACCAAAAAGCGTTATTGAATATGAAATATATCCAGAACCTGAAGTTGAACAAAAACCTACGGTAATCAAAACTGAAAATGATGATGACGAAGAAGGAAAGAAACCTATAGGTGTACCTGTATCAAATAAATCAGTGGCCAAGGCATATCGTTATGGTTCAGATTATGTAGTATTACCAAAAATGATTGCTGATGAGCTGTATTATGATTCAGAACCAGGTATTGATATTCGTGGATTTATGGATGAAAGACAATTACCAAGAAGATATTTAAATTCTGAATCCGTTTTTATTATTGCCGATACAAGATTAGGATCAATAGGTGATATAGCAAGTTTTTCTGCACTTGTTGATACTTTATTAGAAAATTCAAAAATTGCCATTTGTCGATATGTACAAAAATCTGGAGCAGACGTTCAAATGTGTGCATTAATTCCATTAAATGTTAGTACAACTAATTTAAAAAGGGTTAGTACTAGTACTACATTAGATGATAATAATACAGGTGTTAGAACTTTAATAATTAGTAGATTACCATTCTCAGAAGATGAAAGAATAACTACATTAAATGAAGAATCAAATAAAAATGATACAGAAAATAACGAACAAAAAGAACAAGAACAAAAGATTGATAATTTAATGTCAAATTTTATTGATTCAATGAGTATAGATAACCAAAATGATATACCTTCTGAAACTTATTATCAACATTTTGAAGAAATTCAAAAATTTACGAATTTGCCATTACCTAAACAAAGTGTTCCACTTACAGAGGACCCTTTACAAATGTATGCAATTACACCATTTGGACAAAGACAAATATTATTAGATTATTTTCATAAAGTAATCATTGAGGGACAAGATAACTCGGAGTTTACACCGCCGACACTTCCTGAAAGTATTTTGCAGAAGATCGATCCGCTTCACAACGGACCGAGCGAAACTGTATTAAATGATATCGAACAATTAATATCGATGCTAGGTGTTAAAAAAAATGAAAAACGAAGAAACGATGGAACGTTAACGAATCCATCTGATAAACAAGAATTAGAATACAATAGAACAGAGGAGGCACCACCTTTAGATGAGCTGTTAGAACTGGGTAGACGTGACTAAAATAACAAACTGCATTCCATCTTATACTTGATAAACACAAATTCATTCACCAATTCAATACGATATTTTTTTTTCTTTAATAATACAAAATACTATGTAGAATGTTCTTTTGACAGAATAAAAATTTCAGCGTCAATCTCAAGGCAACGTGGTTTATACTTAATCTTACGAACCCCTAACATTCTGGGTATGTTAGTCCATGGAGCAAAACTCTCGGATAAGGAAACAGGAACAGAGACAGACATATTAGCCATTGTAACATTTAGATACTAGCTGTACTCCCAGTTCTCATTTATAGTATGTATCTAAATTCTAGTGTTATTTAGCAAATTATCAACTCTACCCCCCACTATTATTGTTAATATGTCACAGCTGTTCATTTGTCCGAGAATATGAGAATCTGTTAAATTAAAGCGCGCAAATTATCATAAAAAAATTCAAAAAACCATACACCAAATTTTAGGGGATGCAGATGAAGTGAGTTTGATGATCGGTACTGTGACGCAAAGGTCAGTTTTTACGGGTATTTTGAAACGGGATGTCAGTGCAAAGCAGTGGGGGGGGGATGGGGAGTGGGAAATATGGGAGGGAGAGCGAAATTACTATACAGTTACACACAAATCAATGGAGGGAGATTATTAATAAACCTAAATAAAGCCAACATAAAATTATTATTTAATTTTAACAAATAAATCGATAGAGCAACAACAGTACATATTAGTAGTAGTAGTAGTAGTAGTAGTAGTAACTACACCCCGGATAATAGGATTATATATCCTTGAAGCCTGAGAAAAGTAGAAAACTATGAAGGGAATTACTAAAATCAATCAATTAATCTTATAAGACAACGTTTTATTCTGATTAACTGGACGAGGGATACTTAACCGGTGAAACTTTAAAACCCGCAATTTATACAACTGGTCTTGTAAATATGACAGAAGTAGAATTGTTCAAGAAAGACACATACACTATATTTATCTGTATCTACAGCTGTATACACAATACGTATGTACACATGGGTTTAGGGAGAGACTAGGAAAGACAAATAGCCGAATATTGTTCTTTATTCAGCGGTTGTTTCCTTAACTCGTTGTTCGGTTATTATATCAGCATTATATTATATTATGCTACCTCGAACCCTCCATCGTCTCTGCCCCCCTTATTTTTATACATAGTTATTTTCTTTTTCCTTTAACTTTCAACATATATAAATAAATGAGAAGTCCATAACTTTTTTCGAATATTTGAATAGTTTTTTTTAATCTTAATTGTCGATGGTTATTCTTACTCTTTTCTTAACTTAAAAACAATATAACCAAACAATTGTGATTGGTTGAATATTAAGCTACATCACAATTACGCATAAAAAACAACAACATATTAATTATGGCCTTTAACATTGAAACTGTACCAACTAAACCTTATCAAGATCAAAAACCTGGTACGTCTGGTTTACGTAAAAGAGTAGCAGTATTTGAAAAACAAGAAAACTATGTTGAAAATTTTGTTCAATCTGTATTTCTTGCAATCCCAGAAGGTTGTAAAGGTGCAACTCTGGTCGTTGGTGGTGATGGTAGATATTATAATGATGTTATCTTACATAAGATTGCAGCTATTGGTGCGGCTAATGGTATTAAAAAATTGGTAATTGGTCAAGATGGATTATTATCAACACCAGCTGCTTCGCATATTATGAGAACTTATGAAGAAAAATGTACTGGTGGTATTATATTAACAGCATCTCATAATCCAGGTGGCCCAGATAAAGATATGGGTATTAAATATAATTTATCAAATGGTGGTCCAGCCCCAGAACCTGTTACTAATAAAATTTGGGAAATTTCAAAACAATTAACCGAATATAAAATTATTAAAGATTTCCCTGAAATGGATTTATCAACTTTAGGTAAAAATAAAAAATATGGTCCATTATTAGTTGATGTTATTGATATTACTAAAGCTTATGTTGATTTCCTAAAAGAAATTTTTGATTTCCCATTAATCAAGAAATTCATTCATGAACAACGTGATCAAAAACACTGGAAGTTATTATTAGATAGTATGAATGGTGTTACAGGTCCATATGGTAAAGCGATTTTTGGTGATGAATTCGAATTACCAGCTGATGAAGTATTACAAAACTGGCATCCAAGTCCAAATTTTGGTGGTATGCATCCAGATCCAAATTTAACTTATGCAAAGACATTAGTTGATAGAGTTGATCGCGAAAAGATTGAATTTGGAGCCGCATCAGATGGTGATGGTGATAGAAATATGATTTATGGTGCAGGCCCAGCTTTTGTATCTCCAGGTGATTCTGTTGCAATTATTTCCGAATACGCAAAGGATATTCCATATTTTGCTAAACAAGGTATTTATGGTCTTGCACGTTCTTTCCCAACTTCAAGTGCACTAGATAGAGTCGCTAAGGCTCATGGCTTAGAATGTTATGCTGTACCAACAGGTTGGAAATTTTTCTGCGCTCTATTTGACGCTAAGAAAGTTTCTATTTGTGGTGAAGAATCGTTTGGTACAGGTTCTAATCATGTAAGAGAAAAAGATGGTTTATGGGCAATTATTGCTTGGTTAAATCTTCTAGCTATTTACAATAAACAACATCCAGATAAGGAAGCCTCTATTAGAACTATTCAAAATGAATTTTGGAATAAATATGGTAGAACATTTTTCACTCGTTATGATTATGAACATGTATCTTCAGAGGATGCTGCTAAAGTAATTGAAAATTTAAGATCAAATATTGAATCATCAAGTTTTGTTGGTTCTACTATTCCAAGTGCTACAGGTGAACCTTTAGTTGTCACTGAGGCAGGTGATTTCTCCTATACTGATCTTGATGGTTCTGTTTCAGCACATCAGGGTTTATATGCTAAATTATCTAATGGTGCAAGATTTGTTACTAGATTATCAGGTACAGGTTCTACAGGCGCAACAATTAGATTGTATATTGAACAATATACTGATGATAAGAGTACCTATCCATTAGATGCTCAAGTTTATTTGAAATCAACTATTGATCCAGTGGTTAAATTCTTAAAATTAAAAGAATTTATTGGTACTGAAGAGCCAACTGTCCGTACTTAGATAGACGGTATGTTATTTTCTTGTGTAACGCCTCCCCTAATGAATGAAAAATATAAATATATAAAGTAAATATTTAATGTCCTATTTGTAATAAATTACTTATATTAACCTAAATAAAATATCCTTGTGAAAGGTCACCGGCTTATAAATATTGGATCCAAAAAGGAGAGAGCTATATTTTCCATTCCGAAAATTTACCGGAACGAAAAACAAATCAAAGAGCACACTAAAACAATATTTTATTAATATGACAAATTTGAGAAAATATTAGTATGTCTTACGTCCCGAGAATAACGGAGAAAATGAAATATTTACAGAATTAACACACTATGTATGTGTAAGTTAGTGTCATTGAAAAAACAATAGTAATTTGGTATATATGAACCCTTACATGCTACTCTACATAATTCAAGAGGGGGAATGAAACAGGAAATAAAAATTCTATAATTTTCTCTTTGTTTCTCTCTCTGTTTATAGTATGAATAATGAAATATGTGCTTATTTCATTCTTCTTCTTCTTCTTCTCATTATTATTATTGTATAATCACAATAGCTAAATCCGTAACCCGCGGATTTAACAAGGCTATAACCGTCGGGATATAAAAATAATAAAAATCTTAACTGGAGTGTAAAAATTGCATTTTCACTGTATACCTGTGTGTGTCAACTACCAAAATACAAGTTAATATTGATATTAAGCACTATATTACATAATGTTGCAAAATATGACATCTATATATATATATATATATATATAGGTATATATCTGACTGTCTGTCAAACTCTTGAATTATGTCTATATAATTGTAATCTATTCTAGTATATGTGTCATATGTACTTTACATATTTATGATTCTTTACCGCGCCTCTATTTTATTACAACTTCTTTCGAGTATAAGCAAAAACTATAATATTGAAGGACCTCATCAACTTACATACTCTTCTTAGTTAGAAAAATACCGTATCTTTATTTCACACTACTACATTAACATTAATATAGCGCCTCGCTCAGTCTGTGCCACCAAAATAATAAAAAATAAAATTAAATTTTTTGGTAATTTCGTTTAGGGGGGAGATCTTTTCAATATCTTTTTCTGTTAAACAAAGAAAACACCACTGTTATACGGACACCTATTACCGAACGGAAATAAAGAGAATTTTTGAAATATTCTTCTTCTTCTTTTTCGCTACGTACAAATAGATATAGATTGTCTGTGTTATTTTACTACGCACTAAATATAATAATTTACTTACTATACGCTTAAAGAATCGCTTACAGGCAAAAAGGGCTCACCGTTTCCTTCCGTTATTGTTACTATTATAGTGTACAATAATAACAACAATAATAATAATAGGGTCGTTTGGCTGATAAAATTTAAAGCGTAGTTTTAATTTTTCACTGAATCAATTTAATAATTTCAATACAGCTAACGTTTAATATATTAAAATTTATATTATAAAACATATTGTGGCTAACAGTTTGTTTCTCTCTCTGTTCCTTTGATTAAACTAAAAAGTAATAAATAGATTCTAAACTCGTACATTTCACACATCGTTTTCCTTTTTTTGCTGCCTATTATTTATTAAATTTGCTATTTCAAGTTACATACATACATATTAATTATCACCCGCGCTTAAAAGGTTTGATTCGTCGAATAATTGACAAAAACAAGATATTTCAACTAGAATCTAAGAATATTATACTGTCTTACGCCTCCCCTTATATCTGATTAATTTATCGTTTAAGAGTAGCGTATTGATATTTCTATTATTTTGCCTGTCTTTACCTTATTAGAAAAAAATAACAATAACAATAGTAATAAAAATCTCATACTCTTATTATTATGAATCATGTACAAAGTAATGAATCGACAGTATCTGAAATAGATGATATTGATATGGATGATACTGATATGGTAGATAATTCTACTTTTGGTGGATCTATAACTAATGAAAAAAATATTCATCAGAATAATATTAATATTAATAGTAACAGTAGTAGTACGAATACAAGTATTAGTACCACAAAAGATAATAAAAATAATTCTACAAATAAGAAAAGTGTTGGATTTGCGCAAGATATTAAACCTGTAAGGTTAAAGATGAATAAATCACATCAATCAAATAATATTTCAACAGGTGATGTAACAAGAGATTCAAAACAAATTTTATCTCAAGTAAGGCAACAGTTAATGAAAGGTACATATACTACATCTCAAAGAAATAGTAATAGTACTAATATACCACAAATTTTCCATTCAATTGATATTGATCAATTTGAAAATTATTTAAAAGAACCAAAATATATTAAAACTTTTAAAAAAGCTAGACATGTTAAACAATTTCGAAGATTATTTCTAGCTCAAGAATTAAAAGTTAATAATAATAACCTTAATGAATTTGATAGGAATCAATCAATGATTAATGATCCAAACCACTCATCAGCACCTTATTCAACTTCTTCATCATCCTCAACAACAGCAACAAATTCAACCGCACATTCATCATCATGTCACCCTGCATCATCATCCTCAAAGTCTCCGGTGACTCCCAGAGCAATTTGGACAAGTAAATTTAGTCATGATGGGAAATATTTAGCCACTGCAGGGAAAGATGGTACCATTAGAATTTGGAAAGTTATTAGTTCACCTATAGAAAGATTGGAATTAAATTCAACATTGGAATCAAATATGGAATCTCACGTCAAACGTTCTAGATTAAAATCTCAATTATCAAACTTTGCAAATTATAGTCATCATAACAGCAATAACAGTAACAATAATAATAAAAATAATATGTCACAATCGTCTGCATCTTCTCCTCCGTGTCTGAGTACTGAATATGATAATAGTAACGAATCACTAGATTTATATGCACCTGTATTCCATCCTTCACCAATTAAAATTTTTAGAGAACATACTCAAGATGTTCTGGATCTAGATTGGTCTAAGAACAATTTTTTGATAAGTTCCTCTATGGATAAAACAGTAAAACTATGGCACCCAGATAGAAAATCATCTTTAAAAACGTTCCATCATCCAGATTTCGTAACATCAATTAGTTTCCATCCAACTGATGATAGATTCTTTATATCTGGTTGTTTAGATCATACATGTAGACTTTGGTCTATTGTAGATGATGAAATTAGTTATGAGTTCGATAGTCTCGATTTAATAACTTCTGTAACTTTCTCTCAAAATGATGGGAAATATACTGTCATAGGGACTTTTAATGGTTACATATATGTACTATTAACTAATGGTCTTACAGCAATATCTTCTTTTCATATAACAGATAGAAAAACTCAATCAGACAAATCTGTCACCATATTTCAAGAACCAACAAAAGCACATCATGGCCCAAGAATCACTGGCTTGACTGTATTCTCTCCACCATTTGACACAAAGGGTAATTTGCTTAGAGTATTAGTTACCTCAAACGACTCAAGAATCAGAGTCTTTGATTTACAAACAAAGAAATTATTAGAGGTCATTAAAGGATTCCGTAGTGAAATGTTATCTCATAATGCTCAATTATCAACTTCAACTGGTGGCGCTTATGTTATCTGTGGTAGTGATGATCATTGGATATATTGTTGGGGTCTAAGGTCATCAGTAGAGGCTCCTTCTACCGATGATAATAATACACATGGAAAGAAACCAAAAAATAGCCTTAAAAGATCGGATAGTTTAAAGAATTTGTTCAACAAATCATTGAGCAGAAGTTCAAGTCAAAGTAGTGGTAGTGGTAAAAATGATGACTTAACTGCATTAACAATGACTCGTATGGCGTCAAATTCAAATAAACCCTCTTCACCACCAAATGAAACTAATAAAAGCGAGTCCAATCATAGACATTCATTTCTAGCATCATTGATACCTGGACATCATGATTATATTAAAAATAGCAGTTATCTAGCATTCAATGCACACCAAGCACCAGTGACAAGTGTCTGCATGGCACCAATTGAGACCGCTAAAACATTAGCATTATCTAATGATGTTATTTGTGAACTTTACTCAGAATTCTCAAATGCTGAAGAAGATTTTGATATTTTAAAAGTTAGGGGTACTGCAGTGACTCCGATTACATCTAATGACTCCTCATCATCTATGTCAGACTATATTGGTTCCAGTAATCTAAATAACGTTGTTAATGCTATTGGTTCAATTGTCGTTAGTACTGATACCACGGGGACTATTAGAGTCTTTAGAACAGATATTCCTACAGTGATTAGAAAACGTGTATTAGAAAAGATTAGAGAATATAAATTGGAGAATCGTGCTAGAGTGAATAGTGCCACGTCACTTAATGCCATGGGTCGTTCCACTGGTAGTAGTAGTATTTCTTCCACCACGGTAAATAGAGCAAAATCTTTTACTAATGTTAACCATCTGAATAGTTATAGTGGTACCGGTGGATCAGGTCTATTTGGTTCAAAGAATATTAAGCCTATTCTTAGATCCCCTTCGATGTCAAATTTTAGTGCTAATGGACAAACACCCCAATATGGATTTGGTACCTCTGTGACCCCATCATTAAATCAATCTGGTATGTATAATTCACCCAATGAGAGTTTGTCATCTTCAACAACAGCAGATTTATCACAAACCTTAAAATGTGATATATGTCATGGTTCAAATTTCAAGCCAATTTCGAAAGGTGGATTAGTAAGAGGTGAGAATTGCTACTATTGTCTCGATTGTGGTAGCATTCTAAATAATTTCAGGTAAAAAATTCCATGGCAGGATATCATCATTTCATAGCCAAGCATTACAAACACACATACACACATACAAAATGATCCCAAACGTCTTTTCAAACAAGCAAAACTAACAATCATTTACGTTAATACATTATTATAGCATTTTGTTTTTACAAACTAATTCCTAATAGATCTTTACAAGTATACATGTATATAAGTATTTAATCGTAGCATATAAATAATATATGACAAATGCATTCCTTTTTACCTTTTTGTTCTACGGTATGAAACGGCCATCAATTGTAATAAAATGACTCAACATCTCTCCTTTTCTTTATATTAAAGAGAGAAAACTGCTTCCTTTATTATCACTCAACAAAGAATTGCAGGTTTTCCTTTCAAAGTCCGCCAATTTCTTGTTCTTCTGTGTTTGATAGGCGAGACGCAACAGAAAAAATGGCGGCTGCGGATGGGTGGGAAATAGCCGCCGTGGTTTCAATTTTGAAGGGAGGAAAAAGACAGGAAAGTGGAGATCAGACGGTGTCTTGATAGATAGATACATATGTATATATATATAAGGACAGGGGGAAGGGAGGTGGAATAAATAATAAAATTAGTTTTCTATTTCTTGGTTTTAAATTTAGGTAATGAAACTATATCTTATCAAGTTTGTATAAAAAAGAAGTATCATTGAACTATGATCCCATCTGCCAAAAGATTAATTAGAGGTCCATTAATTCGGTCTGCTAATTACACTGTAGAATCTTCGATTACATTGTTTCTTTATGTATTTAACCAGTTACACATTGTATTTATGAGAATAGTGCCCCAAAGTGTTAGAGTGTGGTGGCAGAAGTTCCTACAAGATATTTTTATCGCAATTTTAAAAGTAGGTCCGATTCCAGAGCATGTTTCATTTATAATGGATGGGAATAGGAGATATGCTAAATCCAATAATTTGCCTTTGAAAAAAGGTCATGAGGCCGGTGGTTTTACTTTGTTAACTTTGGTTTATATATGCAAGAAAATGGGTGTAAAATGTGTAAGCGCATATGCTTTTTCAATCGAGAATTTTAATCGATCTGAAGAAGAAGTTCAGACATTAATGGCACTTTTTAATGCAAAATTAGAAGAATTTGCTAATAGAGCACAAGATTACAAAGACCCGTTATATGGTTCAAAATTACGAATTGTAGGCGATAAGAGATTATTGACTCCTGAGACAAGGGCAAAATTAAAAGAGGTTGAAAGATTAACAAAAGATGGTAAAGATTTCACATTTTACGTATGTTTTCCATACACATCCAGAAATGATATTCAACATGCTATATATAGGAATTCAAAGGATTATATTGAAAACAGGATAAAATTAGATGATATCAATTTAGAAAAATTCAGCGAAAAGATGTATTTAGATGAATTTTCTCAGAAATGTGATATATTGATAAGAACAAGTGGTCATAGAAGATTATCAGATTATATGTTATGGCAATCACATCAAAGTTCAACCATAGAATTTGTTCCAACTCTATGGCCAGATTTCACCTTTACACAAATGTGTCTCATTTTCTTCCGCTGGTCATTTTTTACAACAATTCAAATGTATAACGAACATGAAGGTTCTCAACAATATATTTGGAAAAATTTCTTACCAAGTATACCTTTTATGAATAAAACACATTATGAACCATTAGAATCACTAGCAGACCCACCAGTGGCAGTCTCAGTGTTGGGTTGAAAGTCATAATGTACTCTTTAAATATAATATACAAAAAGACATTTTGCTAATATTCATTCTTGCTACATATCATTCCTTTAAGGTTAACTTTTATATACTTTAATATAGACCTTATCAAAACCAATTCAGGTTTCTCTCTTTTTTCTGGTAGTCGACTCCATGAATGTCTAAGAGTTCCCTCTTGAAATATACAGCAAGTATTCCGTCTCTCATCATCTAGTTAAATATTGATGCAGTTATATGTTATTAAATTTATAATGTTTATGTACTCATTTAAAAGGAATATTTGAATTGAAAAAATAATTTCTTTTTTCAAGAATAGAAATTCTTTGCTTAAATTTAGGATCCATCCTCTCCTTCTTCTTCTTCATTGTTATTATTGTCATTACTATCGAGATGATTTACATGGGTTTCTATTTGTCCCACTTCATCATTCCCTACTTCTGTGGTGCTCAGGTTACTCATATTTGTCGCAATTACCTCAGAAATATCAGTAGAATTACCTCCAGATTGACCACCATTTGGAGTCGTCGCATCACTTTCCAGTCCAACATTGGATGCACTATTCTTTGAACTAGAAGATGCTTCATGACACCAATATCTATGATAGGTCCATGCTTTAAGTTGACAACTTCTAGAGCAATATTTCGTACGTTTACAACGACGACATTTTGCAAATTGTCTAGGATATTCCTCCCATTTACCACATGAAAAATTAGAACATTGACGTACACCTGTAGTTTCATTCTTCCTACAAGAATTACGCATTATTACTGAACTCCAGTAGATTACATCTTTAGGGTTATCACTTGTCACAGTGTACTTTTCTACTAATGGGAATATATTCAAACTTTCCAAATCTGTTAATGGTTTATGGAGATCGTGATTATCAACGTTCATTGAAAGTTCTTCATAATTCCAATTTTTCACGAATTTTTCCTTCAGGAAAAGTTCCTTCTGAATTCTTGTCAAATTATTTTCCTCTTGGATTTGAAATCCCATATATTGGTACGGGTTAGTCACTTCACATGTGACAATATCGTGTTTCGTTGTATTCAATTTGTCACATTCTTCAGCTACACATCTTAATTCTTTGAGGAAATCGTTCTCATTCGGAGTAATTGTAGACTCCATTTCGATATCTTCATCAATGACAAGATTTGAATCGTTTTCAACATAATTTTCTACTTGTGATAAAGATGAGGAATCATACTCATCACCAACATTTAAGAAATCGTCTTTGATATTAATATCTGAATTTTTCACCTCTAATTTGAAAGTATCATTTTCAGCACTAAGATCATGATCCATTTGTGTATCTTTACCAGTTATGCATGGAATAGGTAAACTTTGGCCCTTTTTAATAATAAGTCTCTTTCTTACTCGATCAATAATTGGTCTAAATGATAATCTTTCATCGGGAGTGACCTCTTGAAGTAATTTTTTCATATATGTATATTTTGAAATAAATGCTAATAATTGTAATGACCATATTACATCATCCTGTTTCGGTACAACACGACCTAAATAAAATTCTCTCGGTGTCAATATTGCAGGAACTGGTTCAGTTTCATCGAGGAAACAATTTGTGTCAGTATCTAAAGGTGGAGTAGTATCCTCTTCGAGAGATTTCCATATAATTCCAAAATCTGTCGCTTTTGTCATTTTTTTTTTTAATAGAATCTCATCAAAACGTTCGATATCCTCAGATAAATGGAATATATCTTCGCCTATTATATTTGTTAAATAATCTTGAAATGTTTCAGAGTTAGATTTCTTTAAGAGTTCATATGTTTCATGGCTATCAAGATTCATTTTTTTAAAATCGAAACTTAAATACGTTCCATTCATAAAATCATAATTTTTTGTAAATAAGAGATAATTATCTAGAACAGTCGCTAAGAGCGGTAGTACACCAGCTGATACTACTCTATTTCTTATCATCTCAGAACCTCTTGTACCTGTAAGAACTAAACATTGGAAAGCCAATGTCCATCTCCAAGCGTATAATGCGCATGTTTGTTGCCTTGATACTAAATCAGATCGTATTTCATTTGAATCATGAGTATCTTTTTGATTTAAAATCTCCAGTTGAGAAAAATAGCAATTATGAAGCATGGCAACAAGTCTTTCTAGGGCACCATCATTAGAAATAATATCTCTCACTTTAGCAGAGTTTGAAGTCAAATATGTTAAATGGTTTAATGAGTTTATTAATGGAACCCCTGATACAACATCTAATGCTCTTCTATCATATAACGTCGATGTTATTGTTACAACTGGTTTATTAGTCGCTATTGATCTGTGGTTTGTCTCCCTCATACTTATCAAAATTGTGGCTACAAAATGATAATATCTTAAATTTAATTATATATCACTTTGATAGCTATTAAAAAAAGATAAAAATAAATACGATACTAATAATCAAAATAAAATAATAATTTTGGAGAAAAAAACGGATGTCAAATAGATCTGTTATTATATTAAAATGTATTCCTTATTGGTTGATCAAGTTTTGCGCAATCAGATATCTTAAAATCCAAAGAACGATAGAATACTAGTTAAAGTGCCCTCTATTGTATTATGAAAACAAATATATACCTGTCAATATTATAATACGTTATAAAAAAAATCCTAAATCTTTATTAAATCTGTTAAACTTTTACACCTTGTTCTTTAAACTGAGAGAAGTCGTCTCCTTAACCTTAGCATACTTAATCTTTATGCTCATAGTAAATTTTACTATTAAATAGATGACGTCTAAAGCTGACTTTGTTTGTTTTTCTCATTTGGCGAATCTCTCTTTGTTTTGCCACCTTTATTTCTTAGAGCTCTCTCGCGGAGTATCACTAATTCAACTAATAACAATGGTAGTAATAGTCTTAACCTCATATTGAAATAAATATTTTAAGAGATATTATATCATTCCGCTCAATTTTAGTCGTTCGAAGTAATAATTGGTTGTATATTTTTAAAAAAATTTAACGTCGCATGTAACTGTTATATCCTTCTCATTTCTGGTCTTATATTTTTATAATGTTTGAGAAACAATCTACTCGAAGCCTGTTTCGCGCCCTACGACCATAAACCTGATACTGATTTAATACATACATTTAGCACCTCCAGGGCGTATCCCAATATATATCTATAAATATATACAGGTTTCTATTATATTGAGGTCAAAAATAACTAATAATGGTGGGTAGATAACATATAACCTTCTGTCTTCTGACCTATTGTTGACCCATATTCTACCTGTTGCGTTTATATATTATCATGGTGATGGCTATAGGCGTTTAACGAAAAAACCGATTTAGATATTTTAGTTCTATCTGAAAGCTTATTGTTTGGTTGCTGGTACAGTAAGTTGGTACCACAAGAAATAGAACTTTAAAATATTATCCAGTTAATAAATTGTAATACTTGCACATATTCAACGTCTACTAATCTCGTTACCCTTTTATAGTTACATATATATAACTAGATTTCACTAAACATGGAAGCAATAACGATGTACAGCTTAATGGTAACTAGTTGGCCTGAATCATAGTTGAAACATATTTGGCCATGTATCGAACATACAACATTCAGTAATCGAGCATCTTTCACCATATATTGGTATATAATAGCATACAAGAGAGATTACAGTACTGAAACCTGCCAACAAGTTTGTTAATGCTACCCTCGAAGCGACATCTTTTTGGCAAGAATGCGATCACCGACCGATAGCTCGTTATATCACAAAAAAACAAAACAATCACATATCCTTATATAAACGTGAATATTATACTAATAGATGTCAACCTATTTATTTTTTGTTACGTTAATACATTTCGTGATTCACATAGACCACACGGTCAGGGACAGATCATAAAGTAGCATGGTAAAGTAGATTGTCAGAGGTCCAAAATGCCCTCAACTTAAATCTGCGAATTTCATATATTTACCTCAGCGATTTATATTGCTGGTTTGTTTATAGCTTGCGATACCAACTAATAAGAGAACCTAAAATGCAGCTGAAATACATGAATGGATATTATACGATTCTAAAATTTTAAGTTTCGTTGGATTCATGTTATAAGTTGAAGGACAAAATTTTCAGAAAATATTGGGCGTGTGGCGTAGTTGGTAGCGCGCTCCCTTAGCATGGGAGAGGTCTTGGGTTCGATTCCCAACTCGTCCATTTTCTTTTTTGCCGGGGGTCTCTGAACAGTTGCGCGGTTATTTTTTTTGTTTTTTATCTACACTATTTTTCTAGAATTATACTAAATTAATTATCCTGTAGAAGCCTGGATTTTAAGCTGTTTAAGAACTTTTTAATTTAAATTTTCGTTTGGTAAAAATTTTCCTTACAGAAGATATTTCCCATTTAATGTGGCTATGTGTTTAAGGAAATAATTCATTTGAAATCAATAGGAAACGCAAAAGATAATTGATAATTTGGTTATTTATATTAAAGTCAAACATCGTATGTAATAAGTTAAGACATTCATTGTAATAAATAATAAAAATACATGGTTTCATTTATAAACATTTTAAAATGTTCTATTTTTAATTATATATTATATTCTTTTCATAATCTATTGAATTGCTTGGTACTTTAATTTATCCTTAGATAAGATTTGGGAAGCATTCCATTTCTTACCTGGTTGTAAAGTAACAAAATCAGTGACATAACCAGGTTCGATACAAACCATTTCCTTGAAACCAGATTTTGGTTCGAAATCGGCCATACCACCTGATTTCTCGGTCCATGGGTTCCAAACAACAACATCAGGTAAGTTGTCTCTCTTGACAGTATGTAGAGGGTGTCCTTGTCTAACAACTTGAACTACACGTTCATCAGTGACCTTTTCGTAAACGACATCTGTTTCTTGATGAAATTGAATAACTGGGTGTTTGTCAATAAACGCTTCATGTAATAATTTATCGTGAACTTTCATACCGACAAGGTTAGAAACCATAGTATCTTCAATATCTGGGATTCTCAAGTAAGTGTGGAACAACCAATTGAATTTCAGATCCTTTGAAGTAGATGGGTTTTCCACCTCAATTGCAGTCTTTAGGAAATCAGCACCTAATTCAATTGTTAAAATTAAATTAAATTCTTCGCCCCATAATTTAGTCATTTCTTCATTTGCAATGTTTTTATTCAAACCAAATTGAACAGTTGGTGGGTTACTTTTTGTCTGACCTAAGAATTCCCAAGTTGAGTTTCTGGCTAGACCATGTTGTGGTAGTTTACTCAACAATTCATCGGTTTCATTTTTACCGAAGACTGGGAAAACTAATGGGATACCACCTCTAACTGGCTTGGAACCATCCATGTGAGCAGCAGTAGATAACCATAATTGTTCTTGACCATCCAATGTCCAGGAATATACAGTGGCACCATATTTAAGAATCTTGACAGCAGTGGCTTTATTAGTTGGATGTGTCAAAATGACCTCTCTTTCAGTTTCTTGTACAGACATAACGTTTTACAGCAATTGAATATGTTTCTCTTAAATAATTGAGACAAATATTTTGTTATTTTCCGGGTTTAATCGTTATGAATATTTCAAATCTTTTTCATAATTATTGCTTATATACTAATTTTACATTTTTTTTGAAATTTATTTTCTCTCCTTCTTTTGTTGGTGCTCAATGGAAACAAGGCACCGTCTGCTTCCCTTTTTTTTATTTTTTGGTTAGCTTTGATTTTGTTAGCTGATTTAGTTAATCGGTACTATAAAAATAAACTAGAAGCAGAATCAATTTTAACAAAATATAACTCATAATTTGTTAATTCACACAAGTGTAGGGCATATTTTGGATGGGATGCATCAATATTGATCTATACCAAAACATGGTGTTGTTCTAAAATTACGGTTTGTATTTTATTTTTGTTATACATGTTTATTTAATATTTGAGGACAATTCCATTGTGTTCCCAAATGTTTATTTTTAACGTCTACCTTTACCAATCCTGCCTTTACCTTTTGCATTTTTCTTGTTGGCTTTAGCCTTTGCAGCAGCTGCAGCTAATTGTTCTTTAGTTTTTGGAACAGCTTTAAAGAAACTATCAAGACGACCTTGTGTACCTGATTTTAAACCTTTTTTTAATCTTTCAATACCAGACTTAACTCTATCTTCGTTGAAAAGTTTTTCTTTACACAGATAATCAATTAATTCTTGTTCCTTTGGAGGTTCCCATTTTAAATTAATTTCATTACCATCAATAACATCAGGATGAACAAATAGATCACGAGCCTCCTTATATGGCCAATTTTCTGGAACTTTCCATTTTGTCTTTGTTGTATCATTCTCTATAGATTCAACAATTTTTTCCAAAGAACCAAACTCTTTCATTAATTTTAAAGCTGTAACTGGACCAACACCTCTTATATTATCACAATAATCACATCCTAACATAATACCAAGATCAATAAATTGATCAATTGTAAGATCCATACCTTCTAAAACTGCTTCGGTACTTATCTCTTGGATTGGTTCTTTCTTAGCTTCAGAAAATGTTAAATGTCTCAGTAAATAAGGTGTTCTATAACATAATGTATCCATATCTTCACTTGCGGCAGCATATACTTTACCTTTCTTAGCTAATTCTGCACATTGAGCTTCTGCTTCCCCTGGGGCATTAACATACGGAATTCCCATCAAGCCTAATAATTTTTTGGCTTCATCATTATGTTCTTTTGAAACTTTAACTAACCTTCTCTCTTGCTTCATTCTTTCAGCTTCATCAGTAGCCTCTGCCAATTTTTTTTCTGTTTCTTCTCTACGTACTGAACGTTTACCTAATTCATGAGATTTTAATACTGGTGGTTTACCATCAAATACGTAACATGGTTTAATACCATTATCAATCATACGTAAAGTACGATAAAACATACCCATTAAATGTGAAGTAGTTTCACCATTCTCATTAGTCAATTGTCCACCATCTTGTTGTCTCACGGCAATTAAGAATTGATATAAGGACATTGATGCATCAATAGCAACCTTACGACCGAAGAAGGCTTTTATTTCACTTTTACGAATAGAAAGTGGTGCATTTTCAGAGATAATACCTGTTAAACCTTTAATACCCATAGTGTATTGTCTATATATATAAAGTTGGATATGTCTATATCTTTTAATTCAATGCAATTTCTTATTTAAACTATGGTAGCTAATAATATTGTTATATAATTTAATAATAGTTTTATTACTGTTATTATATTTTTCAATCCAAGGTCATCGCTAAGAACGACTAAAACGCCAACATTTTTAGAATATTTCAGATTTTTGGCGTTTTTTCATGTTATTATGATAATAATATTAATTTGTACCTTTACGCGTTGTTACACTTCTTACAAGATAAATGAATATATTGATCAAATACAAATACATAGAACTAAAACCGTCAATAGACGCTCTAAAATGAAGAGGTATAATACTTAGTGGAATATCATTCAATTGAACTTAAGATGATTTTCAAATTAAATTGAATCCACACCTATTTATCATGTATTCTCTTTATATATAATCACTTTCAACGAGACCTCCCACGTGATTCATCACCTCCCACGAAACACATTCATCATCTTTCACGAGGCGCAATAGAAAAAATATATATATATATACACCTAGAATGAAGAGACAGAAAAAACGCCGCACAACTGGGAAATAATTTTCTTAAAAGGGAGAGAAGAAAAGAAAAAAAAATTTATTTTTGTTTGTTTGTTTTTTTGGTTCTTACCATTTCGTAACTTGTTATATAAAAAGACGGCCAAAGGGTTTTTAAAAGATTATAACATTTAACGAAACAAATAAACAGTTTCTGGAATATCACTCTCTACTAAGAAGGCTAAAAGATCTGGAGAAAGGCATAAACAGTAACTTTAATTTTTTTTTTTTCCTAAAATAAGTTTCACTTAAGAGAAACACGATTAAATAACGAAGTTTATTCCAAGAAACTGGATAAATAAAATATAAGATGACAAACTTATATGAGTATAAACATCCAATCATCAACACAGAGCTTGCTTCGTCAAGTGTTGATACGGAACCACGTAAATTTGAAACTTTACAAGCATGGGAAGATGTTATTAATGATTATGAATTCCAAGCACGTTGTCCAATTATTTTGAAGAATTCTCATAGAAATAAACATTTTACTTATGCTTGTCATTTAAAAGGTTGCCCCTTCAAAATTTTATTAAGTTATTCAAATGGTGATAATTTTTATGATACACATAATCATACTCAACAAAGTAGTGATCCAGCTAATAGTGACAACACCGATGCTGCTGCTGCTGCTGCTGCTGCCGCCGCCGCCGCCGCCGCTGCTGCCTCTGTGGCAGAGTTACAAGGGAATGATAACCATAATAATAATCATAACCATTCTCATCAAGAAGATGAAACTGATACTTTGATTGATGTTAAAGCTGGTGAAGGTAATGACAACAATAGCAATAATAACAACAGCAATAGCGATGATGTAAAACGTGATGCAGATGAAGAAATTATTAAAAAAGATACTAATAGCAACGAAATCAATGAGAGGAAATACAATGAATCAGATGCAACAGATCAAAATGTTTCAGATGCAATTGCAGCAGCTGTTGCGGCTGTCCAACATCCTAATGATAACTCTTCTTCTTCGTCGTCTACGATTACTAAGAAAGATGATTCACATAATCTTGATCTTGGAGTTAAAATTGATTCACCATCAAAAGAAATTTCCAAAAAGGATGATATAAATAAAACAGATAATTCTTTTAATGTTGATGAAATTATTTTAGCTGCTCATGGTTCTAATGCGCATCATAATGCTACAATTCAAGGGCCTTTTATTGTGACTAAGATTGAACCATACCATAACCATTCCTTAGAACAAAATTTATCATTAGATAAATTTGTCTTAACTAAAATTCCAAGAATACTTCAATATGATTTGAATTTTGATGAAACTTTAGAAGATATTTATCAAAAGAGTAATCATTCTTTATCGAAATTTAAAGTGTCTCAATTCGTTGAAGATTCTGGTTTATTAGATATTATAAAACACAGATATCATTTAATTAATGAAGATATTACAAAAAAATTTACTTCTTTAATTTCAAGACGTGTTACAACCTATAAAGCAAGATTTGTATTAAAGAAGAAGAAATTAGGTGAATATAGAGATGTTAACCCTGACTCTTATATGAGGCAAGCTGGAACTGTTACTCATTCAACAATTCCTGGAGGTACTGATGCTTCTAATGAACTTTTGCCTTCTGCTGGCCCTTCAAATGAAGGCGTAAAAGTTGATGAACATGATGGTTCTGTTGAAGCAGAAACACTTAAATCAGAACCTTCTCATAAAAAAGAATCTGAAGAGAAAGTTGATAATGAAATATTAATGTCTTCAAACTTAGATCAAGCCATATCACAGACTTCTGCCTCAAATGAAGATCATGCTACTCTTTCTGATGAAAAAGATAATGAAACTAATGGGGATAATGACAATCGTAATGAGGAAGATATGGAATCTCATAATGATCTTAACGATGAGAAGGCCGTTAGAGCTGCTGCTCAAGCAGCTATTTCTGGCGAATCTATAAATAATTTAAAACGTACTTTTGATTCTGTGATTGGTAATGACGAGGATATGGAACAAGAAGAACTTGAAGAAGATGATCTTGAGAGATATACTTCTTCTAAGCGTAATAAGATGGACCAAGCCATGAAGGGTTCCGGTATTGAAGATAATCCATTGGCTGGTTTAGATGATATGCATGACGATAAACTTCCTCATGATGTTGCAGAACAATTAAGATTATTATCATCCCATTTCAAGGATGTTGAAGCTGCTTCCTTACAGAATGCCTCCGTTGATAACGAAAATGACCAAGATCAAGATGATGGAAATAATGACGATGAAATGAATGATGAGGATGAAGAAAAATCTAAAAATGAGGACATCTCTGACGAAAACATCCAACCAGAACTAAGGGGTCAATGATTTAAAACAATGTCTGTGTTTCTGATCAATGTTTTCAATGTTGTTGTTTTCTTTTAAAATTATATTCGGTCTTATTAACTTCCTCTACTTTCTATGTGCACTGGCGCACTTGTAATTATATAACTTTCTCTTTTTATTATCTCTCAGTTTTTCTATATTGGTTTTAGTATTATTATATTATTTTAAGAAAAGAGAATGAACTTTTCCCAATTATTTCTTTTTTTATAATTTAAATATACACTTGTTTAATGGGTTTACCATTGATAAAAGTATACTTTAAACCACCTTATTTTGATTTGGTTATTTTTCATATCGCTCGAATCAACTCATCGATTTTCGGCAGATGAAATTACAATGCTCAATTCGATAGTCCCCTCAAAAAATTAAGATAAAAAAGAAACAATGTTTTATATTATGGCAGTAACAAGACAAGAGTTAAACTCCAAGTAGATAATACTGAAACGTGGTAACTGTTTTTACTCCTGGTGTCAGTTATTAGATATTGGCTGTGTTTCTATTTTTTCAAAAATGTTGAAATTACGAACTTCCTACTTACCTCAGCTTCTGCGAAAATACAATTCTGTATATTTCAGGCAATCTATAGGGTCAACTATTTTACAGTATTCCACAGATTCCAACCCTAGTAATCAATTAACGAATAGTTTAACTGAGTCTAATGTAATGGAAGATGACATTAATATTCCTTTATTGAAACAAAATCGTGATAATTCTGAAACTAATATCCCTTGGTATTTACAAGTAACAAAACAGAAAGAGCAACGTGAAGCTGCTTTAATATCTAAGCAGCAAGAAATTAAGTTCCCTGACAATGCTCCACAATCGCTTTTCAGGATATGTAATTTTCTTTCTAGAGAGCAAGGTTTAAAGGATATATTAGTATTTGATATGAGAAATAGTGATATGGTAACGAGTAAAATGGCGGATTTAATGGTCATTGCAACGGCGAAATCGATAAAACATTGTCAAAATACATATGTTGAGCTAAATAAGCTAATTAAACAAGAGTTTTCCAAAATGGCTTATCTTGAAGGAAATATCAACCAAAACGATGAAAGGAAGAGGAAGAAAAGACTATTAAGAAAAAATAATTTGGGTGGTGTATGGAATACAAACAAGAGAAATGTTAATACATTTGAATCGAACGAGGCATGGTATATGATTGATACACGTACAGATAATGTTTTTGTAAATATTTTAACAGAGCAAAGACGTGCAGAATTAAATTTAGAAGAGTTGTATGCACCAGAACATGAAAAACATCTTTGGACGTCTAAACTTACAACAAAATCTAAGACTGAAGAGCCAGACGAATTACTAGAAGTAACTGAAGAAAACAATGTATTATCTGGTTTGAGACGTCTAGCCGAACAACGAAGACATTACTCTACACATTCACGTCAGTATTCCACGTCTTCAAATGTTACCAGCAAAACTATTAATGAGGTAACACTTAAACATTTACAAGAAGCGTTATATTCCCAAAGCTTTGAAGAAGCAAATGATATTTTGGATAGTAGTTTATACGTTTCTAACAGCGAAACATTGAGCCCTATTTTGAAGCATATCAATGATTCGTTAGTTAAAGTAAGCACCCCAGGGAAGGCTGATATTGATATGGAAGGTTGGATAAATATATTCGATAAAGTATGGCCCTTATACATACCACCTGACAATAAACAATTATGGGATCTAAGGTTTAAGTTCCTTTCAATATTGACTACTAGTCATCCAAGCGTCATTGCCATGAAGATATTTATTGAAGAATATTTTAAATTAAAAATGTACTCAAATATCGACATAACAATTTACGAAATTAATGAATTCTTAAAACTGACAATTGCTAAAGCGAGGAGTTTGCAATCGAGAAATGGTAGCGCTAAGATATTACAAAAGGAAAACGCTGTTGCTGATACTTTGTTACAGTTATTTGTAGGAACTAAGTTAGAGACTCAGATAATGCACAATCCAGAGATTCTGGAACTTTTGCTTAAAACCATGGTTATGAATAACCGTAGTAGGCTAAATTCTTTCCATCGAGTTATTGAATATCTATCAGCTATACCCCAATTACCTCAAAGTACTATGATCACTATAATCGATATACTCTCCCGACATAAACTATGGAATGAATTGTTTAAATTTTGGAAAACAAGATCAGAAAGGATTCAATTCGGCAATGATAAGAGGCCGTGGGATCACCTTCTTAAAGTTATTATTGAATCCAAAAACCCTTACATCATTGAAAAATTCATCACTGATGGTGGTTTGTTGTGGATTCTACGATATGGTGTTGATATTTCAGACGAACGTAAACGGATTATCCAAAGTATGTTCAAAATAGTGGACCCAGATAATAAAAAATTCAAGTATCAAAGTGCACAATTTAATCTGTAATTAAAGGACACCCATACATTTTATTTATTTATTTATTTACTTCCGATTTTGAACAAGCGATGGAAGAAAAAGTAGGGAAAGTTCATCTGATGAACTATTAAAAGGTTCATAAGCTGGCAGATGAAGATGAATGGTTAATAAACTGCTGAATATTTTATTTTGCATTCCTTAAGAGTTGGGATATAAACAAAAATGGGTTTACTATGAATTTTTCCAATCGACCAATAATATTTAAAAGATTGATATCCAATTTCATACCCAGATTTGAATTTCCGAAGTACAATGTTCCTTTATCAGATTTTAAAGGACATCAGGTGAAAGCTCTTAAGAAATTCCAATATTTAGCCCCTCAGCTGAACATGGTAATAGAATTAAGAGATATTCGTGCCCCACTTTCGACTAGAAATGTTTTATTTGACAGATTTTTTCTTGCCGGAAATCAAAAGATAAGGCGATTGATAGTATATACAAAAAAGGATTTCATGCCTCAAAATACTGAATTAACAGACACATTAACTAGGTGGCACAAAGAAATGAGTGAAAACTTTATAATTTTAGATGGTAAGTCTGTTAAAGACACGAGGAACCTGATGAAAGTTATCCAATGGGAAAGCGATAAACTGATGAAAGATGATGTGCCGCTCCCTATGGGGTATAGAATATTAGTCACAGGTATGCCAAATGTTGGAAAGTCTACGTTAGTTAATTCCCTAAGATATATCAATTTTGGTAAGAAAGATAATACCACAAAAAGGAGGAAAGTAAGCAAAACAGGAAATGAGGCAGGTGTCACTAGAAGTACCAGTGAAATTATTAGAATTTCAAAAGAAGATTCAGTTCAAGGTATATATTTAATTGATTCTCCAGGTATAGGGTTACCAGGACGTGTCAGCAGTCAATCCCGAATGTTAGCTCAAGCTCTTTGTGGATGTGTTAAGGAAACACTGATTGATCCAGTTGCGCAAGCTGACTACTTGTTGTTTCTAATGAACTTACAAAAACCGAAAAATAATGTTGATTGGTATCCTGATAATCAAACAAAGCCAACAAATGATATTTACTCTGTATTCAGACGGATGTTTGATATGAAAAAGATTAGTGATACTACTGCCGCTATATCTTGGATTAATCAATGGAAAAGGAAAGGTAAAAATATTTTATTTGATGTTGAGCCACTACTCACTCCAGATGAGTTCTCTTATAAAGAGTATTTACTCAATGATTTGAAAAAAATTGAAACATACAAATTAGAAAATGATAAATTAAATATTAAGGGGTCCTCGAAACAAATATTCATTTAAGTTCTCAAAATTAAAGAAAAGAAAATGAACCTGTAAAAATAAAATCATCAATATACATTCTTTATATAACATATAGCATTATTATAAATACATAGAATCTTGTACATATATTCTCGATGATTGAAAGAAGGAACCTGTTAGTAGTGACCTTCTAAAAACATGCAATTTCAATATCTTCAGGACAAGATTGGAATAAAATGCGATGCTCAGAAAATAATGTTAGTGGTATGCTTACTACTCGATCTATAATTCCAGACACGTTTTGAATATTAATCCTATTCAACGTTCCAAAGGTTTTCCATAATTTTTGTTTGTAATCTATATTAGATCCTGACGTCTTTCTATAATAATAAATTTTTGCATTCTGCTTTCCTTCTAAAGAAGGTAGAGAAGTTTTTGAATAGCTCTTTTCAAATTCATTATCCATGAATTTGGGAACTATATCAAACCATTTCAAGTTTGTGATATTCTTTAAGGTCAACTTCCAACAAAATTTAGGTAATATTATCATATTCATATCACAATATTTAATATTGATTAACGATAGATGTTGTAAATTATCCCATTTAGTGAGGTCTGAGAATCCATATTCAGTCAAATCAGAAATTTGAAATATTTCGATATCTTTTATTTTTCTCTTTATCAAATAATTTATTGCATTATTTCTTCTGTCTCTTATTCCATGACTATTGATTAATCCGTCATATAATAGATCACCTCGTACACTAATTTTATTAATATTTTTCATCTTTTTCAAATAAGACAGGACATTGACTACAGATTTATCTAATTGCTTGGAACTATTTTCAGATATCTGTCTTTTCTTTCTTTTCTTCAATCTGGAAAAAGTATTAGTATCTTCATCATTATATTCATCATCGTCTTCTTTTTCTTCTTCATAAAAACTGCTGCTGCCTGACGCTAACGAGTCTTTGATATTATCTAGGAAATTTGGAATTGGGGTATTATCTTTATTGTTAATCGGTTTTGATTCATCTATTCCATCGATCTTATTAATATTTTCTTCCATTGTTTGAAATTTTGTCTGATAAATATTATTCAATAATTTTTTTTTTTCGAATAAAATTAGAGTTTTCGGTATATTAGATAATTTAAAATATTCCATATTAAATCTAAAATAATCTGTTTGTAAATCGGTTATATCTAACGGTTCACAATCAACGATCCAACCAAAATACTCTTGTTGTGTATACCATGTTTGTAATAGGCCCTTTCTATTAAAATATGATAACTTTAAGTCATTGTCTAAATATATCCAATCAATTGGTCCAATTAATGAACCATTATATGAATGATTTAATCTAAGACAATCTAGAATAACTGAGTCATATCGTAACCATATTGAAAATTGTAACCATTCAAGTACAATATCGGGATCATATTCAAATATATCAATAAAAGGTGAATATATGTTGTACAGCCTATCAAGTAAGCTCCTCTCTAGCGAACTCTTTTTCTTTTTGTTATTAGATAATTCAATAGAATTATTACTATACAGATCTTCCACAGAAGGTGGTTCTAGGTGAGTAAATGATCCTTCTAGCTGGTAATAAATAGATCGCCTTAAATCGACAGGTTGATTTAAAAATAATTCAATGTCCATACCTTAGAAAAAAACAGAAAAATAGTGGAACCTTTAGTTTAACTTATAATCTCTGAAGGCAAAAGCTTCTGCGTAGTTCGATTATTTTCTATATAGACATTAAACCCTCGATCAACCACAATAGGAAAAACTTTTTTATAGCTTTAGCTAAATTCTTTGAGCAAGAATGAACGTCCTTGTTTACTATATTGAAGTTTCAGCCGTGCATGAAGTTTCAGTATACATTGAGATGTCACTTATTTTTTTCGTGTCTTTCAATTTTCGAAAAGAATTTCTCGTGTTTCAGATTGGTGGCTAATCGTCCACCGTGATGATTTTCGAGGGGTTGCCAAGCACCCATACATTTTAAGCGGCAAGAATTTACCTTCACCACATTATTCTTGATTTACAGTTGGAATAATATAGGAAAACAGAAACACTTAAGAAACACTTAAGAAACAGGGAATATCAAGAAAATGGTGAATACTCAGAGAGGTGCGTAGGGCTTCAATACATTGAACTTATTATTTGAAGTATGCTGAAAAAGAAAAGAAATCTGAATAGAGAATGAGGACTTACGAGAGAGATCTCTCAGTGGTCTACCGGGATGGTAACAATACATATTTAGTATGACGTAGTAAAATGTTTCAGTTATTGATAATGCTTCTTTTTTATTAAATTATGTGGTTGTTATGTGAGTTATTTCGCTTCCTCTTTATGTATGTTTATATATCTATATATAAGGAAGCTTGCATTCTTCTAGTGAGCAATTTTTCAACTACTTAACAGTTGTAACATACCTTCAATTTTTTGAGCTTCTTTTGCCTTGTAAACTTCTTCCCTTACCTTATTTCTCAAATCTATTATCATACCTCTTAGTACAGGACTACTTTCTAAAGTGTTACCATATAGTTCTAGTACGACAGCAATCCAGTCAGCTACAATAATAGCAGATCTGACATCTTCGATACCTTTCAAGCACCAATTTAGCAATGGCTCTAAAGTGGATTCATCTCTATTATACAATGCAACACGAATCTTACCACGCTTACGAAGTTCTTGTAATACAGTTAATGTTAGTTCTTTAGCCATACCTGGTACAAATGCACTATCTAATGCTTCACTCCATTTAAATTGGTTTATATATCTTTCAAACACACGAATACGACGTTGTTGTCTGACTCTATCGTTGTGAATAATATGTTCTTGATCACCTTCATATTCAGAACCACGCATCATTCTTTGGAAATTATTACTCTTTGATTGTTTCCCTGTAACTGTCTCCAAAGTGTCATTACGAACAACCGATTTCTTTTCTTTCTTTTTTGTTCTGATAGCAAGAAGACCAGAGGACATACCTGCAACTAAATTTCTATTACCAGTTGCATCACTTGGGGAGACGGCACAGCTTAAAACAGCACTTGAAAATTTCCAACCAAACTTAACCTTGAAATTGTCAAATGGGTCAAACACCTTGATATGACCATCTAAGGAAGAAGCGATAATTGCTGATTGCATTGGTGAGTCAAAGTTCTCAACATAATCCAAACATGTAACGGTCTTATTGAAATTACCTCTTTCGTATAATTTTTTATTGCTAGTTAAATCCCAAATCTTGAAGTTTGAGCCACCACATGATGCTAATTGGGTTGGGGAAATAGAAATTATATCTTCAATTGGTTGATCGTGGTTCAATGAATATATTGGAGTGTTTCCTTCTTTACGTGTATCATATAATCTAACTAACCCGTCATAAGAACCTGTAGCAATTAAATGTGGAGCAGATGGGACAAAACAAACACTACGAATATAATCAGAGGCACCTGTTAATTCTAATGTAGGTTCATACGCATGAGAGATATCCCAAACTCTTGTGACTCTATCATCACTCGCTGTGACTAAGGATTTACTATCTTGAGGATGAAATTTTGTAACATGTGTTGGATGTGTGGATGCATTGATAGATAATAAAATAGATCTTGGATTATAAGAATCGTAAACAGAAACTAAACCTGTTGCATCACCAGCAACTAATAACTTACCATCTTGTCTGTAACTTGCCGAATATACAACGTCCTTAAATCTAGAGAATGTCTTTACCACTTGTCTTGTCCTCGAAGAGAAAATTTGAACTCTAGTAGAAGATGTCACTGCAAAATCAAAGGGACTCTTTGGATTAAAAGCAATATGTGTAACACTATTATGCTCTTTGACAAGTTGAGCTGATGAATACTGTCTCCAATAACGTTGTTCTGGAGTAGTTTGTTGTGGGAGTAGTGGGGCCCTTGAGGTAACAATTCTCTGTCTGTTTGATGACATCCTATTTATAATAAAAAGAATTGGGAAATACCTTTGTTTATATCCTATATTTTTGTTAACCTTGAAGTGTTTGCAAATACTTAGATATATATGTAACAATATATTTAACTGTTTTATTTATTATGCAAACCTTTTCGATGACATTCTATCCTAATTGTAACGATGAGATGAGCTCGTTATTGCATAATAAACTGAAAAAAAATTTTCGTCTCGTCCTACGCGATTTTGGAATTTCTCTTTGTGAGATGAAATTCTAAAGTGCGCCCCACATTGAAGACAGGAATAGATATTCTTAGGCTTATATGCATAATATGTAGTCTTTCTAGATGCTTAAATTGGTATAAGACTCCTCTCTTATAGTATTTTAAAAAAGAATATCTGTTGTGTAAAATGTACCGAAATTACGTATTAAATTAAGAAATAAATAAATCTGCAAACCTACGAAATAAAAAGAATTAAAATTATGTAAGAAAAAAATGCTGGAATGTAACAGTTGTAAAAAAGGTATCAAATGTTACTTGATAAAAAAATAGTTTAAATTTCAAAGGTTCCGCTGACAAATTCATCATCCATATGTTGATCTCCATCGTAATCCATATGCATGTCAATACCCATATTCATTTGGTCGTTCATACGACCCCTATTACCATTATCTAAATGGTTGTATGCATCATTTGCATTAACATTTGCATAACTGTCATCATCAATTACATCCTCATCTGGAGGAAGATTTGGGTTACCAGGAATAAATGAGCCCGGTTCCATATAATATGAGTTTTGTAATAGTTTTCTGTTGACACTGTTATTGCTGAAGTAATGTTCTTCCATTGCAGATTCATCAACAAATGTGAAACCAGCAAATTTAGCTTGCATACCTGGTGATAGTGGAGTTGCTGCAATTGATTGATGTTTATTCATGTAAGATGTAGATGCCTGAGTGAATTCTGGATCGAAATTAGAAGTATCAGTCTCGGAATTCAAATGAGGCTTAAACGGTGGTGCAATTTTCTTTTGTTTTAATGCTTCCCAGTCAATGTCATTAAAGAAAGGATGTGCTCTAAGTTCTCTTCCATCGTCTACAGCACCAAGTCTATGTCTTGGATTTCTATTTAATAACCCTTTTACAAATGACCGACCTTCTGGAGATAGTACATCTCTTGGAAACTTAACTTTACCAAAAGCAATCTTCTGATACATCTTTTGGTTATCTTCTGCAAAAAATGGAGACCAACCACAACACATTTCAAAAATTAAGACACCTAATGACCAAAAATCAACCATTTTAGTGTAACCAGTTTCATCAAGTAATAACTCTGGAGCTAAATATTCTGTTGTACCACAGAAAGTATTTGTACGATCCTTTAGGTCAGCTTTCGAAAGACCAAAATCACATAATGCGATATTCCCATTAGCATCCAATAAGATATTCTCTGGTTTCAAATCTCTATAAACGATATCATTATCATGTAAATATTCTAATGCTAAGATTAGCTCAGCAATATAAAATTTTGCACGATCTTCAGAAAATCTACCTTCTTTTTGTAAATGCCAGAATAATTCACCACCACTCATATAATCTGTTACTAAATATAGGTCGGCTGGTGTTTGGAATGAAAATTTCAACCCTATTATAAATGGTGACGCATTTGTAGCTGTTGTCACTAAAATGTTTCTTTCTCCAATAGTGTGGGCAATTTCATTCTTCTTGACGATAACTTTCTTTGATAGAATTTTCATTGCATATATTCTCTTTGTATCCTTCTTTTTCACTTGATAAACTTGACCAAATGTACCTTTACCAAGTAATCTTAAAACTTCAAAATCTTGTGGACCGTAATGTCTCTTTTTAGTTGATTTGTATTGCCATCTGATTAATATTTCACCAGTGATTGTTTCATCAAGAATACGATTTTGTAAAATGTACCATTTTTCATGTGGTTCAAATTGAGAATCATGAATGTTTGGGCGTAATCTAATTTGTCCCAAAAACGTATCATCATGAGCTGCATCATATACAGATATATCTAATTCAGAATGAGCTCCCAATACATCAAAAGTAGTCTTATGATGCCATATTGGATTTGATGCATCCTCATTAAGTGACCTATTTGAATGTACTGAGTGAATTTCATTATCCGATCCACTATTATTGGAATGTCTATCAGATGAATTACCTCTACTACTGTTGCTACTTGTGCTACTTTTATTATTATTATTATTAGTGTTACAATTTGTATCGTTGTTGTATGATTGTCTTGTATTATAGTTCTCTTTAAGGACTGGTAGTGCAGATGATGACCAGTTGGATTTTCCATTCTTAATATTATTAGAGTTCATATGATGGTGATGATGATTATTATTATCAATATCATTTCTGTGTACACCTACTGATTCAGGACCTTCAGAAATAAATTCTGAACTTTCAAAAGTACATACCACGTAAGGTTCTGCACCATCTTTTCTTGTGGATAAATTTCTTGCCTCTATTATAGTAACTTCAAGTTTACCTCTTGGTATACTATCTGAATCAGGATACGATGTTTGCTTTGGTGATATTATAGCTGCTAAATTATTTTTAATATTATTATTATTATATTGTTGTTGTTGTAATTGTAAATGCAAATTTGAATTATTTCCTTCAAATTTCTTTTGATGATTTGACATTTGTGTTAATGACTCTCTTGCATTATAACCAGATGGTCTGGCAGCGTTATTATTATTGTTGTTGTTATTATTATTGTTGTTGTATGACATATTATTATTTTGGTTATTACTCATAGAGACATCCATATTAATCTCATCATTCATTGAATCTAAATTCATCATTTGTTGTTGATTCATATTATTGTTTATATTTGAATTAGCAACGTTATTGTTAGTGGTATTAGAATTAGTAGCATCTTGAGATAATCCCGTTGTACCCATTGCATAAGAATTTTGACTTACAGCTGTAGTAGGAGTAGCTGTCTGACTACCAAATTTTGGGAAAAACCCCTGTGATGTATTTATCGATATCTTAGTCTGTTGTGACTGTGACTGTTGTTGTTTACCAAAAAAGTTCATTATTAAGGATTATTCTATCTATATCTGTTTTCTAAATGTGTATAAATGCGATTGTAAGGAAACAAATCTATGACTAATTTAAGTAGGAACTTTTCTTTTTGTATCTGTTAATAAACCCTGAATGTTCCTTCTATTATAAATTTAAAATAAAATGGGGGGGAGGTGGTGGGGGGGTTAGTAAATGATTAACAAAATAAAAAAATAAAGTACCAAAAAAGAACTTTAAGATTTATATATAAATGTGTGTGTTTTGATATTTGTATTACTCTAGAAGGGGTGGAATGAAATAGGTAAAAAGAATATTTGGTAAAAAAGAAAACACAAATAAAAATATAGTGTGAAGGTGTAAAGAAAGAAATAAAGATTTTGATTAGATAATATATATTAATTTAAAAAGGTATGTTCTTTTAAATTAATATAATTTTTGCTTTTAGTAATGTAACCGTGCCGGTGTATTAATATTGTTTCTTTTTCCTTAAGTGTTAAAATATGAAGAAAGAGCAAAAAAAAAGCTGTGAGAGAACAAAAGGGGAGAAAAGAGGGAAAGGCGGAAAGCAAAAAAACAGCTGCGAGAAACGAAGAGAGAGGTAAAATATATATATATCTATGTGATATGACGAAGAAAACAAAGTAGTAACAGTGACCGATATAGTGACTTATATGAATACTGTTTATAATGAATGGATCAATTCTGTTCTATAATATCTATTTGTGATGAGTTTACTAAAACAAAATTTTGATAACAATGTTTTTAACACTTTAATAGTATTATATCTAGTATACGAATATGATTGAGAATATTAAGATTTTAAAAGCAACTTCTCTATATATGAAACTTGCAATATAATAAATTTGTTTGTAATCAAAATAATAATGAACCTTGTGTAGTTAAAACTTTTTAACATATATATAAATATAGATATGTAAACGATAAGAGCTCTCTATTTTATTTTGTATTAACAATTTTCTATGGGTAATCGACACAAAACAAAACGTACACACACATATATATATATATATATACTAAGAAGAAGACAGTTAATTGCTTTGCAATTTAGCGGTTCCTGATTTGTTTAAATTATAGACGAATAGACAAGTAAGTAAAATATTACGTTAATAACAATAATATATCTGAATATATGTATGCGTTATAAATTTGATTCATATATCAATTTTGTATTATATTTTTATATCTGATATCTCTCCCCTTATTTCTTAAACAAAATACATGTAAAGCGTAATTTACGTATTTGGAAAAAGGTGATAGTTATTGTTTAATTATATTTTAAAAGTAGAAAATCAAGACTGCATTTAGTTCTCTACATTCATAATTCTTTTCAATTATTTGTTTCTTTCTTAGTGGGAAAAAAGTACCAATGACATTCTTCCTATTTTGTCGCTGTTGTTGTTTTTATTTGTGAATTAGCCGTCAATAGTACGGCCATGTAGCATTAATATTGTTTAATAGTTGTTTAATGTTTGTTTGTTTGTCTATTTTGTTTTTTTTCGTTTCTCCTGCTTTTAAGAAGACTTCAATTGAGATTGAATAAAGTCAGCACCGTTCCATTGAGTAAGTACTGTATGCTGTGCATACACTGTTATGTAGTCTTTCGTTTCTTTTTCAGGACGCCCTTAAATAGATATAAGCTTTTTTTTTTTTTTAATTTGGTCAGGAATTTATACGGTCCATTTACTGTTCTTTTAGTATTTTGTGTGCGTTTGTACGTATATAATTTATAAAATTTGAATCCGGTAATTCTTATCTCGAGACAAAGCAAAGTACGAAGTGGGACATCATAAATTACGATCGTCAACTTCTTTTTTTTAAAGAGACTTTGACTAAGATAATAGCGTAGTTAAAATTACGAAAAAAAATTTAAAATTAATTTGTTTTACCAAATGATAAAAGTATTTAGAAAGCATCGCTCATCTCATTTAATGTTACACGCCTTATTTTTTTGCCTAGTTTGGTAAGTACACACTGAAAGATAAGAAGAAAGTCAGATTTTTTTACTGCCGTGGTTCTTTTGTAAACTTTTAATTTTTTTTTTTTTCAGTTGGATTGTTTGTTTGTTTTCTTTGACGGGCATCGCGTTAAGATAAGTTTCTTCTGTTACTCTCTGCAATTGATTGTTACAGCATTGGAAAAAAAAATAAAGTGGAAGAAGGCTGGATTGTAAGCAGCCCTTCCAAATTAGGAAATATTTTATCATGTCATTCCTTTTCTCTCTCTCTCTCTCTCTCTCTGCTAAATAAATTTATTAGTTAAAACACTGTATGTGACATCATAAATATTTTTTTGTAACAAATCTTTCTTATCTTATTGCATATATTATGCAGTGGTGTACTGCTGTCTCCCCTAATTCCACGAATCGAACAGATGAAAAAGAAAGAAATATGAACTTCTTTTAGTCCGGATTTTTTAATCTGTTTCTTTTCAATTCTACATAGAATTTGATAAATGAGATATTTGATAAATCTTTCTTGTACGATGATTTTTGTATGAAAGAATACTTTATTGGTTGTTTGTTTTTTGGGATGAGCATCTCGCATAGAGTTTTGAATCGAGAATGGTAAAAAAAAACCAAAAGGGAAAAGTGTCCGCACAGAGATTGAAACCGATTTTGTTTGTTTGTGCAGTTTTTGTTCTTCTGAACTTCATTGACGTTTTTTCGCTTTGGCTGAAAGAGGAGTTAATAGCTAGAATTCCGTTATATTCAAAAATGCTAAAGCTTTGCATTGGGGCTGGTCTCATCTTTGTCAAAACATTGGTTATTTCGGGTTATCTTCTTTTTAATTACAATATAATACATGATTAGTTTCTATTTTGAACGTACGTACGGAAGTCTATTATTACACTACATAAATATTTATGACAGGTATACATTGTAGCATCAACTGATCTTCAAAATTTAATCCTAATGAACTATTCTCTTCTCTTGGCTCGATGAATAATTCGTCACGAGGTAATTGTAAACGATACCCTTTTGGAATATCTATTCCATCTATATTAACTGCACGAAATAATGAAGATGGGGTATATAATTCAGCAGCTGTATCACACCCATTATTATATATATCCTTGCGTTGTATATCGCGGAATGCTGATGTATCTACAGTATCTCCATAAGAATCAATTAGCCGCGGAGCGATCTTCTCTAATCTTATCTTACGTCTACCTTGAAAAGTATTACATCGTATAGTAAAATTTTGATCATATTTTATTGGCGGATAATAAGTCCCATTCACTGACATAAATATTAGATCCATTGCCATTGTAGTAGGTTGACGACGACTTTGACTGTATTTTGGATTTGCCCATATATTATAAAATTGTGGTTCTAATGGTATTGGTATTGAATCATTTGTAGTTAATATTTTCGGTTGGATTAATGTATCCTTATATCGATATGATATTTCAAATAATTTATCATAATGACTTAATATATTCGAATATGTTAACCATTCATTTGTTTTATTCTTATCATTATTATTAATTGTATATTTCTTGCATTGAGGAGGTATTGTTGATGATTTAGATAATTGTGTAACTTTCACTTCATCATCTTGATTTTTTTCAATATTTTGTTCTTTGGAGTTTGATTTAGCTGAATCTGAACTAACTGATAATAATCTCTTAGCAAATTGGAAAAATCCTTTCTCGGCATCACTACCTTCATTATTCATCTTTTCAAGATATTTTATTTCTTCCATTTCACACATATTTAAATGATCAATCCATTTAGTATCATTAAAATAACTTTCCATATTATATTTTCTTTTAATATCAGGTCTTAACCATAATGGATGACCTTCTGTACTAAAAATTACATTATCTCTCGTTGTGTGTATTTCATTATCATCATCAAATAATAAATATAAATATTTTAAAGTTTCACTCAATACAAAGGATTCCATTCGATCTTGTCTTTCTCCGGTATACAAATTTTGAATTCCAGAAAATCCACATGGTCCCATAAATCGTTCTTCTAAATCTTTAATAATTCGTACACCAATATTTAAATAAAATGGATCTTTAGTGGCTCGATATAGGAAATATGTGGATTCAATAAACTCAGGACGTAATGGGTACCATTCTAATGGTATATTACGTTTACGTAACATCTCTTGAGATTCTTCTGATGTAAAAATTTTATCTTGTTCCATATTTTCATCTGTTGTGGAAGACGATGATCCCATCTTTATATTACTGATATCGAAGGACCATCGTTCTGGAATACCACCAAAGGTATCCCATAGATTCATAAATAATAAATGTTTCGGTATAGCGTCTTCTAGATCACCATTTAATGTTTGTAAACCTGGGAAAAATCCACTTAATGCATCAACCCAATTAGTCATTAATTGACCACTATGTGTATCAACATTATAATAAAGCCAATCCCCCCTACAATTAACTTTTAATGCATTATATGCTGTATCCCAAATTTCATATAATGATTCATCATCAAATAAAATTGAACCCTTTAGTGCATATTCAAAAAATGAATCAATTGAAGCTCCAACTCCGGTCATTGTTGAATATAATCTTCTATCTTGTGGATTAAATGACATTGGAATTAAATCAAGTGGACTTCTCATTGTCCAAATTTTATCAAATGCATATCTAGTTATCTTTTCATATTTCATATCATTAGTTAAATATGATAACATTGTAAATTCAAACATTGGCGATGCCATCCCAGCCGCATTATTTTCATTCAAAAATTGAACCGTTAATTCTTTAAATCGTGTTAATAAATTGATTCTAGATACTGGTAAACCTGTCTTTGTCATATATGCAGGTAACAATCTATCTGCAATATCTTTAGCTAATAATAATAAAGATTCACCATCATAATCATCTCCTAAATATACTCGTTTCCTTGGATCTGTAATATATAAATGTGTAGACATTAAACTTCCAATAATTCGAATACTTGTTTCAAATACTTGTACCGTGGAATCAATGGCGAAATCATCGAAGGTCTCTAATACTAAATTTATCAGTTGTTTCATTCGTTGACGATCCCCTAAGATCGCTACAGTTGTCAGTGAATCCAATAATGTTATTGTGAAATTTCCTAAAACATCATTTGTTACAAGATCATTCAGATCTCGAAAATTTCTTGTCTTTGGTACACATGAAAGAGGCCTTATTTCGTCATATGGATAGCCCTTTGTAAGATAATTATCTAATGCAAATGTGAAAAATTGTTCAATTTTATGTCTATAATGTTTTAATTCAGGTTTAGTAAAAGTAAATTCCAAGTACTTCTCATGTTCGTTATCGATTGAGAAAGTTTCTTGGTCTATATTTTCTAAACCATATGCATATTGGAAGAAAGTAGTAATTATAATAAAGAATATGAATAATTTCTTAGTTCTTTGGCATATTCGACTATTCATACTTTTTCCCCCTATAATAGTTATAAATCTATATAATTTTATTATCAAAAGGTTAGCTTGATAAATTACACACAAATATTTCAATTTCTATTAAATGTACCCAAGACATAAACTGATTTACATTATTATTGAACTTATTTTACTTTATTTTTCAACTTATTACGTAACTATCGTTAAGAAAAGATGCCCACTACATCTCTCTGCTGTGGTATTTTTTACCGCGTTTTTTGTCAACACTTTTAAAATTTAACAATTCGGGCTTTTCATTCTACTTTGACCTGGAAATGGTATATATGATTACTTTATAACATGGAAAGGTTAATTAATAATATATTTTGTTCTGGTTATAACAGTATCTAAATATTTTTATCATCTATCATCATTTAAAATGAAGCATAATTTTAAAAGAATTAGTAGTTATTATATAAAATCTTACAGTGATACAACTTTTTTCTTGGTACAATCGATGGTCTAGTTCAATCTTGAATATAGAGCATCAAGTAGACGAATCTTAAAGCTCATTACATTAAGTAGGAAAAAACCTACTCTTACCTTTTACGAAATTCTTTTCTATATCATAAAATGCTTGATATAGTACTGTACTAGGTAAATACCCCTACTTCCCTCCATGCACAAATATTGTATATCTTTATAGACTTGATAGAATAATTAATAAATAATTGTGACTATCTTTTAACATCCTTACATTTTTCTTTATTTCAACATCCGAACATCCAAGCTTTGTTTTTTGTTCATTTTTTTCTTCTTTTCCGTTGAACATTGTGATTTTTTTTTTCAAAACTTGTTCTCAAAAAGAAGAAAATATCCAGCATGCTACGCGATAATACTGGAAAACAAGATTTACAATAGCACGCAATTTTAAATTTCTCATAATAATTTTTTTCAGTAACGGATTTATCAATAGACGCTAACAAATGATTGATTATGGAGTATCATAGTAAGCAAGCATTGCAAGCAATCTGTTAATTCTCATCACACTAAACTGCGTTTACACTATTGCTTAGTCTCTCTATTTTCACTAACAATTCACAATAACTCTTTCATTCACCAATAATAATATAGAGGTTTTACTTTTAAAACAAACTGTTACTTAAGAATTTGAATAAAATCTATTTAAGTTTTAATACTGTTTTTATCAAATAAAAGAAGATCAGTAATAATAATATAAGACAAGATGGCTAGAGGTCCAAAGAAGCATCTAAAAAGACTTGCAGCTCCACACCACTGGTTGCTAGACAAACTATCTGGTTGTTATGCCCCAAGACCATCTGCTGGTCCACACAAGCTAGGTGAATCTTTACCATTAATCGTTTTCCTAAGAAACAGATTAAAGTATGCCTTAAACGGTCGTGAAGTCAAGGCTATCATGATGCAACGTCATGTTAAGGTTGACGGTAAGGTCAGAACTGATGCTACTTACCCAGCTGGTTTCATGGATGTCATCACTCTAGATGCCACCAACGAAAACTTCAGATTAGTCTACGACGTCAAGGGTAGATTCGCTGTCCACAGAATTACTGATGAAGAAGCTTCTTACAAACTAGGTAAGGTCAAGAAGGTTCAACTAGGTAAGAAGGGTGTTCCATACGTTGTTACTCACGACGGTAGAACTATCAGATACCCAGATCCAGCCATCAAGGTTAACGACACTGTCAAGATTGACCTTGCTACTGGTAAGATCACTGACTTCATCAAGTTCGATGCTGGTAAGCTAGTTTACGTTACCGGTGGTCGTAACATGGGTAGAATTGGTACTATTGTTCACAAGGAAAGACACGATGGTGGTTTCGATTTAGTCCACATCAAGGACTCTCTAGACAACACTTTCGTCACCAGATTGAACAATGTTTTCATCATCGGTGAACAAGGTAAGCCATACATCTCCCTACCAAAGGGTAAGGGTATCAAGCTAACCATTGCTGAAGAACGTGACAGAAGAAGAGCCCAATCTGGTTTATAAGTTAGTTTTAACTTGTGTACCATACATACAGAGTGTTTTTCTCTTTACTCCTTCAACAAGAATATAGTTTTCATGTAACCTCATATATACAAAACAATAAAAATTTAAATCAATAATTCTCAATTTCTGATATCACTTTCAATTAACCAGACACGGTAATTAAGTATTATGGTATTTATATTAATATATAGATATATGTAGATGGAATTTTGTTAATGAAACAGTATTAAAGGTAGGAATATATATTTTAATGCAGGCTTAGTGAACCTAATATGCAATTTATGTGTAAAAACCACATCTCGTAGGGATAGCAAAAGATGTGCAATTTAGTGGTTAGTTTTTCTAAGTTTGTGATATCTCAATGATGTACTCTCTTAATAATTGTTTGGCAGATTGTCCGCCATAATTCATCACGTCAGATATTGTGTAGTTTTGGAAATCTGGGATTATGTCTGCACCGATTGAATTTGCCGCTTGTAAGATATCGTCAGTTAGGAAACTAATAAAGACAAAATGAATCAGTGATTCTAGGTCAGTATCGACTAATTTTGTTGATTGTATTACATTTGGGACACTGTACAACGTTTGTGTATTATGTGGTGTGTCGTCACCATCACAACCATAATCGTCAAAAGTGGTGTATCCTTCTGTTAATTCAGGTTTATCAATAATTGGACAAGAGATGTCATTTTTCTTAATTAGAATATTGTTCTGGACTATTTCTGGTGGAGGTAACGTTTTCACAATATAAGGATACTGGTTTAAAAATCCTTCTATCTTGGATGCAATATTCAATGGTAATACCATGTAACTCCAGGTATTATCAAATGGTAACACTATATATTCGGAGTCCGTAGTGAATGGACCTTTGTATAGATCGTATCTGATGGCACCTGTATTAAGCATTATCATTCTACCTACTGTTGGGTCGGTGACGCTCGAATTAAGCCTTAATAGTATTTCTGATTTAAAAAGATGATAAAGGTTTGAATCTGAATCCATTGGTCTTGCCATCATATAATAAGTTTGAGGTACAGTCCCATATTGATGATCTAAGTCCAGAATAGCTCTTAATGTATTAATCTTCGAAGTAACATAGTTACCAACTTTTGTGGACAAGTCGTCCGTCTTTGCATGGAACTTGAAAGATCTTTTATTGAAATCAATATAACGTCTAAAGAATGTTGGATCTTTATGTTTGGATCTTACATTATTTATCGAAACAAACCCCACGGTCTCGGAGAATCTGCCACTCTGTATACAAGTGGAACGATCATCAAACTTCACAAAATCTCTAATATGACTATGTCCACTGAAAAATTGAATCACAGTGTCAGGATAATAGGATCTTAACGCTTCGAATAGGTGATTAATTTCGTGGTATTCAGGATCCGTCGCTGGTAAATGACCAAATACAAGAAGAAGATCTACTTTGTGCGGTGGATATATATTGATCAATTGTGAAAACCATTCTTTTTTAATTTCATCAACCAATGGCGTAACTTTTGCTCTTGAATTTGGAATCTTGAAATTAAATATAAATGATAGAGCTAAGATCCTATGCTTTGTGTAAGGTGTGGTAAAATACCGGAATTTGTTCCCAAATGGTATTTCATCGCCTGTATCTGTGATAAAATTGACATTACTTGATACATATTTCTCTTTGAACTTGTAAGATATGGCTGTACTATAATATTCAAAGACAGCTCTTTCTGCCGAATATAATTCATGATTACCCAAGGTTAACAAATCGTAATCTAAGGAATTAAATATATCATTAGCTTTTAGTCCATTTGGAGACGTTGCATCTGTCAATCCGTTTCCGTCATGTTTATCACCGGTATCAATCACTAGTAGGTCTCTTTTAATTAATTTATTACCATGAATTCTATTATCTTTGAAATGTTGTACAAACGATACAAAATCACCCCAATCAGCATCATAATCAGGTTGAGACTTGTGTGAACCATACCAGCCGTGTGTATCTGTTGTATGCAAAAAGTTTAGCTCGCCTAACTTCAACCCTCTTAGAGGTGGGTTTTCTTCATCATCGACACTCAGTACCCCCTGGATATTCTCTTGTGTCTTAGCTGTGACCAGGTAGATAAATGAGCAAAGACCCAAAATCTTAAAAACTATCATTACTAAATGTTTAATCTCACGTTGCTACTTCTAAAGTTATATTGTTATTAAATCCTCTTATTGATATGGACACAAACGTAAGAATGTGTGTATTTAAAAGAGAGAAGATTACACTTTAAGTGGTTTTGTTTATCGAATAGGTCATCTATTGATAAGGGGACTTCAAATTTGCCTTGCTTTTATCTTCCCCATTTGTACGTTCGCCGCCGCAACCGCCGATGCCGCCCAGATGAGCCATTTCGAGATAATTTAGAGAGTTAGTTTATACAGAAACAAGAATATTTATATTCAGTTAGATATATATATATGCTAACGTTTATGGATGTTCTATTAGTTTAAAACGTAGAAATGGAAGAGCCGATGGCCCATTTGTTGCGAGAAGTATTGTAATAATACTCCTCACAGTAATAAGAGTATGAGTTTCGTGATATCACATAAGTTGGAAATTTATTTATAAGAATTATAGATTTCGAGCTAAAGTTATTCATTGTATTCTTCTGACTCTTTTATTTATAAGGATATTCTACTTTTCTATCCTTTCTCAACCAAATCTTTTTCTTTTTCTTTGTAGTAATGTGTTCAACAAACTTATCAATACAGTATGTTTCTTTGTATTTCTTTATAAATACAGGATCCCATAATTCAGATCCTATACCAAGGTCCTTACAGCATCTCATCAGAGCATTACTTTTGCAACCTTCTGTAGCTGTTGGAATACCGTTATCATTGAAATAATCCTGCTCACCACGTGCTACACCAACCAATTGTCCATTACATATTAAACCATATTCTCTTGTCACTAAACTTGTAGTGACAATAGTCTCAGATCTGGGAACTAACCCCCATCCACCAGCACCAAATGCTTTGTTTAGGATACGACGGTATTTAATTTCAGGTAAATAGAGTAACCCATCAGGTTTGATTTCAATATCATTGGCTTCTAATGGTTGCAACAATTTCTCTTGGATAGAATCGGCAAATGGTTTCATCCCTAAACCGTACCATGATGTGGACCAATCAACATCATTGGCATTCTTTGATGCCTTATTATCTATAGTGTCAGTATTAGGAATTTCCTGTAGAACTTTCCCCTTAAGACTACTATTTAAAGTTGTGTTATAACCTTTTAAAGTCGTAGATGTAGTTGTGGAAGTTGGTGAGGCCTTTTTAAAGCTATTCGTGGCGGTTGTATTAGAGGTTGTCGTTGCCGCTGTACCAGCTCTTATAATTGAAGAGCTAGCGATACTCCTCGTTATTAAAAGAGCTGGTTTCCCTTGCACTAAATATCTTCCAATCATAATGTTTATTATCAGTATTTGTTGGGACCTATTTTCCAAAGTGGTTCGCTATATGTTAAACGATAGACCAAACAGATAGTGATGGTTATATACGTATCTGTGTATATATATTCATGTATGTAAACCTATTTGAAAGAGCAGTTGTGAACGTTATTAATTGTTTATGAGAAAACAGTTGAAATTTCATTTTTTTTTGTTTCAAATTTGTTTTATTTTTGGTTATCTACTTTTTCAGAGATTCGCCACAGAAGAGCCTGAACAAAGCTCTTTACCAATTAAGATTTTGGTAGATTGACTTTATGTCAAATAAAAGGATATACCTTTCGATGAGTAAATAAAGTTTATAATCCGTGTTAATAATTGGATTCGTTTTTCTGTGTTTACATAAAAGGGATTAGTCTTTTAGGTGTGCTCATAAAGTTGTACAGTTTGCTAATTGAGCGGATGAATACATTCCTTGAAACATAGTAGAATCTACTGACAGTATGCCTGCTATGACTACCACCGAAAAGGAGAACAATGATATTTCCTTAAACTGCTCTGAGTTAAATTCTGTTAATATTCTGAATAAAGAGCTCCCAGATTCTCCTACAACTTATAATCTATATTGCTTACTAGTGACGTTAATAGCTTTGGTAGTACGGTTAGTTAAAATTTCATTCCCTGACGCTGTTGTTTTCGATGAAGTGCATTTTGGAAAATTTGCATCATATTACCTTGAAAGAAGGTTCTTCTTTGATGTACATCCTCCATTAGCTAAACTATTTTTTGCGTTAATAGGATACTTTGCTCGTTATGATGGATATTTTAAATTTGATTCTGTCGGTCAAAGCTACATCGAGGGTGGTGACATCGTTGCACCTTACGTCACCTACAGGGTAGTCAACGCTTTATTGGGCACTCTCATAGTACCACTAATATTTAATTCGTTAAAAGAATTAAATTGTTTTGCGATAACGTGTGCATTCGGATCATTACTTTTTGCTTTAGATAATGCTCAAGTATGTCAAACAAGATTTATCTTCTTAGATACATTATTACTGTTGAGCATCATTGCTACAATATATTCTTATATCAGATATTACAAGTGTGAAATAACGCCTGGGAAATCATTTTCCAAAGAATGGTATATATGGTTAATTCAAACGGGAATATACTTGTCTTGTGCCATATCTTGTAAATATGTTGGCGTGATGACATATGCAACTATAGGAATTGCTGTGTTATATAATTTATGGCAACTATTTTGTCAGTTAAGAAGCACAAATATGAGGATTTTTATTAGATATTTTCTACAAAAATTAAATTATTTGGTAATGTTACCCTTTTTATTGTATTTATTTTGGTTTTGGATTCATTTCCAAATATTGATATATGATGGCGAGGAGAGTGAAATTTTGTCTGAAACATTTCAAGACAGTTTGATACCTAATGAAGACCTCTTTCAACGTCACGATCAATATAATGTCAAATTCTACGATAAAATTACGATACGTCACAGTTTTTCAGAAATCTTTTTAGGTGTGGGCAATGATACCAATAATACTATATTGGGTACTAATACGACTAGTGATATGACAGTGTGGCAAGTTCTACCAGAGAGCCAGTGTGATTATTCCGAGTGGAACTCAATATTGACATTGAATACTAATGTAAGATTTCAAAATGTTTACACTGGGAAATATTTAACATCAAATAATATGTTGGATGCTTCACCAGAAACACATAGTGAAATAACCAGATTTGCGCTCGTTGATAAGGATGTAGCAGATACGTATATGTATGAGTACACGTTATTTAACCTATTATCTTTAAGGGAAATTGACTTTGGCCACGTTGTAAGTTCTAATAAAACTACTTTCAAAATATTTAATCCCGAACTGGAATGCACTCTTTATATGGATAATAAGGCCAGTAGTTATTTGGATGTAGGTAAACCATTAATTATGGCAAATATGGATCTTGAAAAGATTGATTTTGTCTACAATAATTGGAAAATAGACAGCATCATTGATTTAGATAAAGGAAGAGGACGTGAAGCGACAGATAGAAGATTTACACAGTACCCGTTTTTCAGCAAATGGTCAGAATTACAGAATTCCATGTTTATGTATAATAATGATCTATCTGCTGAACACAATTTTGCTTCACAACCATCAGCTTGGCCCCTGAGTATCAGTGGAGTCCTTTATTGGACTAGAGCTGAAAATAGAGAACAAATCTACTTTATTGGTAATATTATAGCCTGGTGGTTTGAAACTGCTACTCTTTTAATATATGGGATGATGGTGATGGTTGATATATTATTACCTAATAGTGCCATAGGAATTTTTAAGGATAACAGCAGGGAACGTATGTATGGGCCGCTAGCATTCTTATTTATAGGATGGGCCTGTCACTACTTCCCATTCTATCTAATGGAAAGACAAAAATTCTTGCATCATTATTTACCAGCCCAGATGATAAGTTGTTTGTTTACAGCTATTTTTTGGGAGTCCCTCCTACAGGTAAACGTAACGAAACCTGATAATTCTTCACAAACAAGAAGAAGATTATTTTCATCATATATGTTTCTACTTGTCCCAATACTAGCATGTTTCGTATTTTATGGTCCTATCATTTACGGCTGGCCAGTACTGGAGCCTGAACAACTGCAACAAAGAGAATGGTTTGATATTGATCTTAACTTCACTTAATATATGGTTATGTTCAAATTATATAGAAAAAGAGAAGAAATGCCTTTTGATGCATATATATATATATATATTTATTTAATTATTTATTTACCAGTACAAGAGCAACTATACTATGCTTCAAATCAGGATTTTCGAATTTATGAAAAGGAATATGTTAGTTTTCTTCCTTTTGACAATCAATCAAGAACCATATAAGAGAGTTTTAATTATCTATCCGTAAAGGATGTCAAAACTTTTAATTGAAACATATAAGCAGGGACCTCTTTACAGAGTTTTATTTAATGATATATGCATATACTTTCATTATTGATTCTAAGGTAATATGCAACAAAAAGAGAAAATTCAGGTGTTATTCACAGCTTCTGTACTTGATGCAATAAATATATACTTACCAGGCTTCGATATTGAACTTCAGGCATCGTCTATCTTTGTTGGGTAAATGTACTTGACTTTCTTAGCACAGCGCGATATCAACCCAATAATAGCCCATCGGTAATTCTATTACCGAACGACGTTAACTCAAACATTGATAGGCTGCAAAAGAGAAGTCAACATTCAGTTATATATCTCTATCAATTGTAATTATTAGGTATTACTTGATCGTTTGATCGTTTGAACAGTAAAGAATTTAGAGTTAGCGTACTATATAATAACAGTTATTTTTTTAGAAACAGTAATGTCCTTAACAGTGCGTTCTTTTTTGAACCTCCTAAAAACAACACCAGTAACTAGCAGCACTATAAGGATTGTATGTGGTAATGAATCAGCAGATTTAGATTCTGTCACCAGTGCGATAAGTTTTGCCTATTTTAAATTTGTTGAAAACTCAAAAGATGCTCAGCCAATTATTCCAATCATCAATATTCCAAGAGAAGATTTGAAGTTGAGAAGAGATATTATCCATGTGCTAAATGATGTTAATATAAGTGAAGATCTTCTTTTTTTCCTAGAAGATGTTAAGCAATTGCAAGAAAGCAACAAAACTATTGAGGCTATCCTTGTGGATCATAATGAAGCTGTTAATGAGGCCAAAAAATACATTACAAAAGTGGTTGGTGTAATTGATCATCATAAAGATATGAATCAATATTTAGATGCATCACCTAGAATCATTAAAGTATGTGGTAGTTGTACATCTTTGGTGTACAACTATTTTGTGAATGAGATTCTACCGAAGGATTATAAACCAGGTCATGACGTCACACAACTATGCTTGGCTGCTGGGTTGGTGGATACTACAAATTTTAGTCATAGAGTGGAACAACCGGATTTAATTAGTAAAGAGTTGTATTCTAAATATGCCTCAGACGTTGATATGGATGTATATACCAAAGTTATCAAGAATGCAAAAAATGATATTTCTGGTTTCACTGCAAGGGATCTACTAAGAAAGGATTACAAACAATTTGAATTCTGGAACGATAAGGGTATTCACAATGGGAAATTAACCATGGGTATATCATCTATAGTGAAACCTATGTATTGGTTATATGAGGAATTTGGCGGTTATAAGGAACTTAAAGAAGATTGTGTTAGATATAGAGAGGAGAAAAACGTTGATATTTTGACTATTATGACGTCATTTGTAGAAAATGGTAAATTCCAAAGACAAATGACAATGATACCATCTGATGAGGTTAAATCTATTGCTAAGGAGATGGTTAGTAATATTACAGAGTATCTAGAACTTGAAAAATCTGAGAGTGATATAATGAGTACCACTTCATCTACAAATTTGACTGACGATGAAGAATTCCAACAATATGAACAACAAAATGTAGAGGCATCAAGAAAACAAGTGGCACCTTCCCTTCAAAAGGCATTTCACGATTTATAATTCAATATATCACGAATTAGCTATAGATTTGAATATATAACATCCGTATTTTATAGTAAATACATAGACCGGAGCAATCTTTTCTTAAGTTCCAAATACATTCTATACAATGTTGTTTTTAATAAATTAATCAATTTGCTCATCGATTAATTACTGCGTATAATTGATTTCAGTCAAGGGAACCACTACAACGCATTTCCACACTTCTGATGCCTTTTTTTAAGTCGCATCCTCTCTCAAGATTCAATTAATTTATCAACAAGAATATTTCACCTTTGCGTGAAGTTGAGTGGAAGCGAAGTAAAGCGATGTCGGAATATTTTGTCTTCGCTAATTAATTTTTTTTTTTAGCACCGTGCGGCGAATATTAGAAAATTGGAAAATTAAAACTGAAAAATGACTAACATTTAGAGGGAGAGGGAGAGAAGAAGATTTCCCTGTTGAATCGTAAAACCATTTATTGCAATTTTATATAAACTGATATTAAAAGATATTAATTAATTTTAACTCAATTTAGAACGTTTCTAACAATTCGTGCTTGCTATGACATCTCTCACTTGTTAATTTCCTGAAAAGGTGTATTCTTGCAATAGAAATAGACTAAATAAATTAAAATGTCAGGTAAAGTTGTTAATGTTGCCGTTATCGGTGCTGGTGTGGTTGGTTCTTCTTTCTTGAACCAAATCATTGCTATGAAATCTCCAATCACTTACAGTTTGATATATGTTGGTGAAGCTGAAAACTCCTTGATCTCTAAGGATTACTCCCCATTGAAGTTAGATGCTAACTGGAAGGATACTCTATCTAAGGCTACTGACAAGACCTTAACCATTCCAGAATTGATTGAATTCTTGAAGAAATCTCCAAAACCAACCATTCTGGTCGATAACACTTCAAGTGCTTACATTTCTGGATTCTACCCAAAGATTGTTGAAGGTGGTATCTCCATTGCTACCCCAAACAAGAAGGCTTTCTCTTCTGATCTAGCTACCTGGAAGGAAATCTTCGCTGGTAGACCAACTGATGGTCTAGTATACCATGAAGCTACTGTTGGTGCTGGTCTGCCAATTCTAAGTTTCTTAAGAGAAATCATTCAAACTGGTGATGAAGTCGAAAAAATTGAAGGTATCTTCTCTGGTACTTTATCTTATATTTTCAATGAATTTTCTACCATTCAACCAAACGATGTTAAATTCTCTGATATTGTTAAGGTTGCTAAGGAATTAGGTTACACTGAACCAGATCCAAGGGATGACTTAAACGGTTTAGATGTTGCTAGAAAGGTCACCATTGTTGCCAGAATTTCTGGTCTACAAGTTGAAAATCCACAATCTTTCCCAGTTCAATCCTTAATTCCAAAGCCATTGGAATCTGTCGAAGCTGCTTCTGAATTCTTAGAAAAATTACCAAACTATGATGATGATTTGACTAAGTTGAAGGATGAAGCCGCTAAGGAAAAGAAGGTCCTTAGATTTATTGGTAAAGTTGACGTCAAAACCAACAAGGTTTCTGTCGGTATTGAAAAATACGATTACTCTCATCCATTTGCTGCTCTAAAGGGTTCTGATAATGTCATATCCATCAAGACCAAGCGTTACACTAACCCAGTTGTCATTCAAGGTGCAGGTGCTGGTGCTGATGTTACCGCTGCTGGTATCCTAGGTGATGTTATCAAGATCGCTCAAAGACTATAATGTGTTTGTGGTTTTATAATATTGTCATGAAAACCTTTACCGGTAATATATATATATATAAATAGCTATGTGAATAATTTTTAAATCAAAATTATGGAATGCAACTACTTTTCAAATACTGCTTTTAAATGTTGTGTATATGTTTATATATATATATATAATTTTTTAAGATTAAATAAGATTATTTAGTCTCAGGTTCATTATTACCATTATTCTGTTCTTGTTGTTGTTCTTGTTGTTCTTGTTGTCTTAATCTTTCTTGTCTTTGTTGTTCTTCCTCCATAGATAGACGTAAAGCCATTGCTAATTCTGGATCCATTGATGGATCTACACCGAAATCCATAAATGCACTGTCACCACCCATGTTAACATCATTAAAATCATTTGCATCGCCGGTATGATTGTTACCTAATATGATTGAAGAAGTGGCAATTTGTTCGTATAATAATCTTGGGCCTGGTTTCAAAGTTACCAAATGGCATCCTTCAGTAGCAGTAGGTTCTGCAGCTGCTTCAAAAAATGCTTCTAATATTTCTGTGTTTTGTTCAATTTCACCAAAGTTAATGATGTCAACAGTAACACCGTTCTTCCTCAGTTTCTTACCTAATTTTACTAATTCTTCTTTTGTATCTGAGATAGGGCTACATACGAATACAATAATTCTCTCTCGTTGATGTTTATTTTGACGATGCTTTAAAGTTAAATCGGCTATACGAATTGCTGTACCTAAGTGAATAGAGCCACCGATTGTAATTTCGTGTAGTCCTGCTAGTATTTTACCAAATTCAGATGTGAATGTAGATAAAACTACAGGGTTGTCACCAGCCGCTGCTATCAAACCAACATTATTCTCAGGATTTTCATTTCTTTTATTCTGAAATAGAAATTCGACGGCATCTATCTGAGCTTCAAATCTGGTTCTTGGGAAATCACCATTTCTGGAATATTCAGAATTGTCTACAACTAATACAGTAGCTTCTAACACCATTATCCTATATTTATTTTATTCTTTTATTATTGGAGAAACTTTTAGATCCTTTTTTTCTTGCTTTCAACGAAATTGTTATAAAATATGAAGTTTCCTCTGTTTGTTGGAGGTCCTATATGTATATACGTTTGGACAAACTAATAATATCTCACAGATATACTTCGTATCAAATGTCTATGCTTCAATTAGATTAACACCTTTTCAATCCTTCTAACCTTTTCTTATTTACCAAGAGATTGTACTTAATAGGGTGGCAAACTTCCTCTAAAGATTTGCTATGAGGGTTTCACTACTATTATCGCTTAGTGGTTTCTGCAGGCTTCACTACTTTTTTTTTTGCACTTTCGTTATAAGTGATTATTTTATCATGGGAAATTTCATTATTGTTATTTGATAACGTAATATATATAAGGTTAAGAACACATAGAGCACGCAAATAGTTCATTTAATCGCAGAAAGATAAGAATCTAGTTCCTTGAATAGCTAGATATAGACTGTGAGATTGGTATTAAGGTTGAAGATTTTACACTATTCTCATTTTACTAAAATTGAAGATATGAGCTTGACACCAACAGAGAGAAATGAACTAAAGAAGAAAGCTGTTGAGCTGTTGACCAAGAGATGTATGTTAAATTTATGACAATCAAAATCAGCGGTGCATAGTGACGTTTAGCTACGCATTGAGTACCGTTGGTAAGCATATAAATATGTTTCTATGAAAAAAATTACTTGTTACTAACAAAAAAAATGGTACCAATTTGCCATTCATTTCCAAGTAGACGAAGAAGTTGAGCAAGAGATGGAAGTTGTGAAAAAAGAATATCGACAACGACTAGAGGAGGCTGCAAATTACAACATAGATCATTTCCAAGGTAGCAATGACCAAACGGCTACCATAGAGGATATTTTACAGAGAGAGATGGACGGTGAGGGTCCAGGCACCTCTGGTTCTGAACATCATTGAAACATTGAAGAGGATCTTTTGTAGACATCAAACGGAGATGCAATAATTACATCCACATGTACAAATCCGTTTTTTTTTAATTATTTGATTAATAATTCATGTTAAGTCAATTTTAGGAAACTCTGCAGGCAAAGTTCTCAACAGTTAATTACACTTGCTTGATACATGAAGGACTAATATCTGTGGCAATCAGCCTACGGCTTTTTTATAAACGCCAACTGCAAATATAAAAAAAAGCTTGCCTTTAAAATGCAGACACCTGTTATTCCTCTCAGAGTTCGCAGCGGCGATCACATTTTGCCTTTGTCATTGAGAAGTCCTCGTTTCTTTTTTTTATTCGACCATTTGGTGATTCTTATTGCTTAACAAATTTTGTGCAGATCAATCCCGTTTTAGTAAGCAAAAATAAATATTTTTCAGAAATTCTACCAAGTTGCATAGGGGGGAAGGAAGGATACGAAACAGAAAACATTCAGACACCCGAGAAGAGCAGTTTTAAATGTCCATGATAATTTAACTTTGGCGTACGGAGAGTTGACTAGCACTAATAATATTCTCAGTAATAATGCGGATCCCTTCCTTTACGATTACAGAACATTGTTAGCTGACTTGAAAATATTTATAGATATAAAAGTATATATATATAGATAGATAGATTGCAAAATATATTAGAATGCTCCATTTCAGGAGACTTGTGATTAATGTAAATAAATTATTATTGCTAAATCAAAAAGGTTGTACGTTTCATCAATTTAGCATAACTTATACGCTATGTACACAAACACTTTGGCTAAGGGTATTACTAAAAACTACCTATCTAGGAATATTAGAGTTTCTAGGTTCTCGACTTTTCTTCGTTTAAGAAACACAGCTGCTGCACATTCAACAAGCAATGCATCTTCTGTGAATGCTAGTGCGCCTAAAAAGTACTCCAACTACTGGATAGCTAGTACATTAGGTCTAGGTGTCGGTGCTCTGTTATACTCGTATCAAACCGCTGGTAAGTTACCAGAAATTGAATATTTTGAGATTAATGATCAAATTAATTCTTTTCCAAGTGCATTACGTCCACCATTGTACCCATTATCTACTAACTACTCTTTATTAGGTCTGGGTGTGAGATCTGTAATTGTGGAAAGTTTTAAAGTATATGGTCTTGGTATTTATATTGCTGATAGCGACAGGAAGTTGGTACCAATGATCCTTAACTCTTTCTTTTTAAAGAAAGCGTTTATTGATACAGATGAAAGTAAGACTCATAAAGAAAATGTCAAGGCTGCACTTGATGATCCTGTAAAATCTGTCATTTTGGCAAGAAATTTATTGGATGGTGGTGTTAGAATGACTGCAAAATTCACTCCAATTAAAAACACTAACCTGACATTTGTTAGAGAAGGTATCATCAAAACTATTTGGAATCATCCAGATGCTGAAGCAAACAAAGAGATTTTAGAAAAAGGTATTGATGAATTGAGAAAGGCATTCAACAAAAAGGGTTCTTTCTTGAAAGATGATGATCTATTGATGGAATTAAATGCTGATGGTAGTTTACAAATAACTTATGTTAATTGTAAACATGGTGATATTTACAAGATGGACTTAGTTAAAGAACCAGCTGTCGGTAGATTTCTGTTTAGTCAATACATGAGTGGTCCAAATCCATTGTCAGTTCCATGCAAGAACGAAATTGTAAAATCTCTAGTTGATCTAGTTTGATTCCATTTTTTTTTTCAATTCCTTAACACGTACACATTCAAACATATGTATAAATTTTCTTATATATATGTATATACCTATCCCTATCATTATTTTAACATTCATTAACAGCTAACATCTAAAAAAAGAGGCTTTTTAGTTTTTATCTATTTTTTTTTATTTAAATTACAATACATATATATATATTATATTTAGCTATCACTTTCTGCATCCTCGTCATCTTCGTATTCACTTAAATGAATTTCAGGAATTTCGAATTCTTCATCCTCTTCATCTTCATCTTCTTCGTCATCTTTCTCTATTGTTTCATCTCTGGCAGTTTCTGCGTGAGCCCTTTCAACAGCAGGTTGTAGCTCCTTCTCAACCCTGTTGTCCGCAATAATTTGTTCTTCGATTATATCCTCCTTAGTCTTTGGTTGAGTATTAACCTTAGTACGTTTTGTTGACACTTCAGTTTCAATTTCAACAGTCTCATCAGCGGTTCTTTTCTTAAATATTTTTGTTTCATTTTCGATATCAGTAACAGGAGTTACGGTGTTTTCTATGGTTGGGACAAAAACAGTCTCTTCCTCTTCAGTGGCTTCAAGAACATTGAAAGTATCTGCCATAGGAGCATCAACAATCTTAGAATCCTTAGATTCTACGTATGTACCTACTTCAATGACATTCTGATCTTCCTCTTCCGCATCAGATACTCTTTTAACATTATGAACAATACCCATTGGTAGTCTTGGGTGACATAGTAGGTCAAATGCAACATCATTAGATGTTTTTAATAGAGAAATAGCGATTGGGAGGATGGATAACTTCTCATTACCTGGATTTAGGACTAGAATTCTTAATAATTTGACAAAACTTTGAGGGATAAAACCCATTTGTTCTCTGATTTGCAAACTTCTTGAAATTGCATATTTTATAGTATGGATTTGTTGACTGGTACCAAGTCTCCAATTACTAATAATAAAAGATAAGAAATTGTTAACTTCATCAAACCTGTGAAGAGATGTTTTGGTTAGGAATTGATCATAATTGGTGTACAAATCAGTGATTGCACCTGCTTTATTATCCTTCTTATGCTTGGTTTTATTCTTGTTTTGAGAGCTGATGACTTCTTTTTTATCTAATGGTTTGTTATCAAAGATATTCTCAATTAGCGAAGTGTCTTCAGTTAGGTATAGGCCAACATCTACTAATTTCAAAATTGAATCAACTTCATTTAGTCTATGACCTACATTAGATAATACTAAATTGGCAACTTCAAATACATTCAAAAATTTATCTTCTAGGTTTTTACATGCCTCAAAGTCAACGGTTGTTGTCTTAGGTTTAAATGGAAGGAAAACCTCAAGACTTCCTAGAATTCTGTCGGACATTGGTAAGAAACATTTTCCGTAAGCTTTTAGCATATCTTTCCATAGAGTAATACCAGCATATTGGATTTCAGGTAGAATTTCAATAATGATTGCATTTAAATCTTGATCACGACGTAGTTCACGTTTGATTGGTAAATACTTGGTAGAAACACTGACCAAAGTTTCACAGATAAAGTTAATTGTACCAATTGGAACTCTAATTGGGAATGGGGTTGGTTGAGTAACAAAGGCAACTAATAAGTCTGTCAACAAGTTAATACGTCTTGGTAATTCCCATAAGGTAAATGGTTCATTCAGGTCAAGTTTCAATGGAGTAAGGAAATCTTCAATCTTGTAATCCTTATAAGGCTCAGATGGTAGTGAATCAAATAGTTTAGTTAGTTCCTTATCTTGATCAAAATCCAAAATATTATTACAAAGTTTAACAATTGGTTTAAATTGTATTAAAATAGAAAAAATACCTGCTCTCCATGTCTCATCTTGATAAACTCTGTGATGTGCTTCTGTTTCGTCTTGAACATGTTGTGCTTGTAACTTAATTAAATGTAGATAAGCGTAGTTACTACACAACAATAGTTGAACCTCTTTAGGGAAATGATGATAACCGGTAGCAATCTGTTCTGTTAAAGATGCGCGGAACTTGTTCACGTATGGTTTAAATGTGGTGCTATGTTTAAATAATAGATCTTTTAGTATTGGTAAACATAATTCTGGTTCGTTACGACTTAATTGGATTAATGTTGGGATAATCGCTTTCAATTTTGGAACCAAACATTCTCTTGATAGAGTTGGTTTGTTTCTCATCAAATCCATTAAAGTCTTTGTAGTGGAAACTAGAGTCTTTAATAATGTCCTACCTTGGGTTGTGTTTGTTGTACTTGAATAGTAATTTGACATGTGTTCTAATTTAGCATAAACTGCACTTAATGACTGGCCACCATAGGACAGTAAGAATAGTGCATTGAATGAACAGATTACAGAAACAGCATGACAACCTTTCCAAACATCATATTCCTTGTTAGAACGTAACAATTTTAAAATTTTTGCGTTCAATAACCCTAACTCTGTTTTCAATAATTTTTCATCAACATAAATAGAGGACGAAAGTGCTTTTAAAACTTTTTGGAAATCGTTCCCTGTAGCGATTTCCATTTCCTTAACTAATGAGGCCATAGATATGCCATGTACATTCATTGTTACTTGCTAGGTCGTTTATTTTCTATTGATCAATATCTAGTAATTAAATGATAATACTTATTTGAATTATATACCTTATTTCTTTTGTTTTGTTTTATATTAATGATATAAGAAAATGCGATGAGCTTCTCAATTTGAATTACTCAAAGAAAATTTTCCAATAAAAATGATTCTTCAGAGCGAAGATGACGCTTCTGCGTTTATTCCGTGAATGGGAAAATATATACATATATATACATATATATGTTTAGCCATGTACGTAAAAAGGAATTCAGTATGATAACTTATAAACTTACACAAATCACAGTCTTTGCCAATGGTGATAAATGACTAAGTAATTGAAATTTTAATATGTGACGTTAAATTCTTTAGAAAATCGTAGTGGTACTTTTTAATGATTTGTTAATAAATATACGTTTAGTGTCAATTAATCTGGAACAGTTTTTAAGCTTTGATGTGAACAAAAAAAAGAACTGAAGGATATGTTACTCTGTTTCAGAATTTCTAAATGTTTTATTTTTTCCAAAATTTATTTAACTAATTATGTATTATATTAGGTCATAAATAAACTACGTATTACTAATATTCGAAGGGTTGTGAATATGCGTTCTTTTTATTTATTTCCACTTTCAAATCACTTGCCTTTGTTGGAGAAAATTGAATATATGAGGATGTCCCTGCTGATGGGAATAACATTTGTGTATGGAGTGAACTTTGACTATCAAAGGATAAAGCTTTTGGATTTGATAATGAAGGTGTTTCTCTTGGTTGTTTAACAGATTTTTCCAAGACAATTCCCTGTTCTGGTTCTAGTACTTCTTTCTCTTGGACGTCTTGTGGTTCTTCCACGGTTTCGATGTTTTCCTTAAAAACCTCATTATGTTCCGGTTCTAATGGAGAACCAATTTGATCGATCTCATCAAATCCTGTCTCTAAATCAATCTCGTCATGAGTTCTTTCGGCAACCTCAGATTCTAAGTTTTTTCCACCTTTATACTCGCCATTATTTACATTATCTGGGATAATATGATAGCTTGAAAGGGTAATATTACTTTGACTAAAATCATTATCATTTTCATCCATATGTGAAAGTTCTTCTTCAACGTTATCTACATCTGCTATTTCTTGTTCCTTAGGAATATCATCGGCTAGAGGTAGTTCATCTTTGATTAAACTAAGTGGGGCGTTATCGTTCATTGAGATATTGCTAAGTTTATTCTCAGCTTCTGAGACATCTTCCTCCTCCTCTTCTTCTCCTTCCTCAGGGTCTCCTTCTTCAGGGTCTTCTTCCTCAGGGTCTTCTTCCTCAGGGTCTTCTTCATGAATATTGCTCACATTAGTATTATCATCATCATTATTATTATCATTATTTTGTTGAGTACGTTTCTCAAATTCTTCCAATGCTGCTTTCTTCTTCTTTTCCATATGTAACGATAATAAAGGTGGTAATATAACTACAACTAAAATCGTAAGTAAATAAATTGCTACTTCATATAATTTAATTTTTTGGAAACTATCATAAACAGTCTTTAATAATATATTCTTATTTCGCGTATCCTCAGGAATATTTGGTAAAGAATCCTGCAATTTTTCTCCTACTCTTTGAGCTAATCCATTAACCCTATTTCTTTGTTGTTCTTCCACTCGCAACCATTTCTCAGGGACATGTTTAGAAAGCAGCTGTTTTACACCACGAAATATGATATAGGAAACACCTAGTGACCCTGTAGTTTGCAATACTGGACGTGCCATGGTTATTCGTTAACCTTAATAGATGCAATATGAATATAGAGCTAAAATAAATAAAAAAACAGTTTGCACTTAAAACGTTCTGTACTATTCTGGTTGATGTTATGTATACTTGCGATATAACTACAGTAATATAACAAAACCCTGAATGTAATATATAATCTGTTGATATATATATCTGTCTACTTTGTTGTAACTTCTTATGCTTGCACCTCTTTGTTTTCCCTATTATTATTACTATTATACTATTAACAAACTAACAACAACAACAACAACAAAAGCTAGTTCGCTTTTTTATCTCCCTTGCGTCTGTCTCAAATTTTTATATCCGCCGCATGGATTTCTCCCCTTTTAAAAGATAAAAGAATAACCGTGGAGCGTATGCACAGAAATGTGCGTAGCAGATAACGTAATTATTAAATATTACAAGAATAATAAGAAGAGTCACAGTTGTTGATACAATTAGACAGATAAATATCAGTTATAATATGGTTATGGCACAATCTATTAGTTGATCGGGTATGTATATATGTATGTATATATTTACAAGGATGGTATGACAAAGTATTATTCTTTTTATGCGATTGCACCTAATCCCATAAGGATTAATTGTAACAATAATTGTAATGACCAGAAAGTAACCTTTTTAACACGAATTGATCTTCTTTGTTCATCAGTTACATAATTAGCAAAAGCATCATAAACTTCATCGCTTAAATCATTCATTAGATATGAATCATAGATGGTCCAACAACCTTCAAAATCCGATTTATCTTTAACTACCATACATTTAATTGGAATATAAGTTCTACGTGAATTCATATATGCTACAATAGGTCTTATTAAAGCATTATTTGTATAAGTTAATTCTGATGTAAATAAAGGAACTTCAGCTTTAACATTGTTTAATTTTAAGAAAAAATCCATTACAAAATATTGATTTGGATCTAATTTCTTATAATCTAATTTTTTTAAATTTTTCGTACTAATAATTTCTTCTTGTTGAGAATCATGTGGGTCAGAATCTATTCTATTTAAAATCTTATTACTGACATCTGTAATTAATTCAGATAATGCAAATGAATCACTATGTTCATCGGGTAAAAAAATATCTGCGATCATATCAACTGATCCCTCTGCTATCCATCCAAAGGGACCTTCCATGCTTGCATTCAGATGATCAATATCTAAATTATCTATTCTTAGTTGAGTGACAATCCTTGATTTAGAGTCATCTTTATTAAATCTAATCTTTCTATGAATTGTAAACATTGAATTATCATAAGTACCACTAATACTGGTTGCATTTAAAATATCAAAAAATAACCAATGTTTTCTTAATTGTGGTAATTCACAATTAAATACACTCACTTGAAATGGTCTAAATCCATTTGGTTGGTATAATGTCACAAGAACATCATTCATTATAAATTTTGCAATCTCTAAATCACCAACATGATAAATATTTCTATAATTTCTTGGGTCATCGTTTGGTTTCCATTCTAAATGTGTTCTATCTACAACACCTCTTAAACCATTAATAGATACTTCATCTATAAAACCTTTCCCATTTATCCACTTAGTAAAACTTACAGATATTTGAACTTCTTCGATAGTTAAATCAAATTGTGTGTAATTACCTTCTTCAAAATCATCTCTACTTACTAATAAATCTTCACTTAACGCTAAAGTAGCTCTTTGCATAGCATCCTGTTGAGAACCTTTATTAAACGTATCATCATCTCCATATGGTCTTCTAGAGACGAATACTTTACTGAAAGTAATTTTCCCTGATGACCAACTTGGTACAATAGCATTTTCAAATATTACAGTTAAATTATTATTACTTGTAATTAACTTACCAATTTTTTTAGCTAAATATTCTTGTGCAAGTACTGTATTCATTAAATATATTATTAATGACACAAATGTAGTTGTCCAAATAATGAATACAAGGACATGACTAACAAGGATCCATGAAATAAGAGCACCAATATCATCAACATTGAAAGGGTTTGTAGATTTTTTCAAAAACCATCTTGTATGAATCTTTAATCTAGTAAATACATTAGTAGTATTCTTTAACAGTTCATTTTTTTTATTCTTTCTTTTTCTATATAATGCATTATCCTTTGCATTCAAGTATGAAATAGAATGAAATGATTTAGAGAGTGAGTTATTAATAGGGTAATTATTTATCAATAGAGGCCTCGATCGTATAGTACTCACATCCAACTTTTTAAATAATTTGGGGGATATTAATTGATTATAATGACATTTCTTAATAGCATTTACATTGATGAACCGAGACGTCGAACGTAACGATCGTTGAATAGGGTTCCGTAACAATAGCTCCATACATATATATACGTTACGAGAAGGTAAAGGTGGTACTGAGGTGAAAGGAATATATATTCTATTGTATTTACTTCGCCTGAAATATTTAACAAGTACTACAACTGATATAACCTAGTCAAGCATCTAACTGATATCAGGTTTACATTAGTTATTGTTGTTGTTGCACCTTAAATTTTTTTGATTTCCCAATTTCTCTGTGAAAACCCTACTTTCCCTTCCACATAGTAAACCCATAAAGCTACACCGTATATCCAGTTAGGGTTTCCACTCTCCTAAACCAGGAAAGAAGCTATACTGTCAGTACGCCAGTTACTCTCTTAGTCTGTCTGCCCGCAAAGTGAAAAATTTTTCTTTTTTTTGGCTTTTGGCTTCGTCGACGAGAAAGACTTTTTGACTGAGAATTGAACAACAACAATAGTCAGAGAGTATTCTTCAATCCTTACGGGGGAAACATTTGAGTAATTGGATACAAGGTATAATTATGATTGTTACCTTTCATTTAATCTTGTCAATTGTCTTTGTAGATATATATGTATATATTAGTTTCTTTGAATTGTTCGCAATATAATACATAACATATCAACAAACCAATATATAAATATTATTAGCAATGTCTGCTCCAAACGTTTCCATCCTATCCAAGAACGAAAAGAAGTCTAAGGACTTACTATTGAAACTAGGTCTAAAGAGAGTCCCAGGTATCATCAGAGTTGCTTACAGAAAGAAGAACAACGAAATTATTGCTATTGAAAAGCCAGAAGTTTACAGAACTGCCGGTGGTAACTACGTTGTCTTCGGTGAACCAAAGGTTGACGATTTCACTCAAAAATTAGCTGCTGCTCAAGAACAAGCTCAAGCTTCCGGTATCATGCCAAGTGAAGCTGATGTTGCTACTAAGTCTCCAGCTGATATTCAAGCTGATATGCAAGCCGCCGCTGACGCTATCGAATCTGGTGCTGATAAGATTGAAGAAGCTGATGATGCCGAAGTCGACGCTGGTGATTTGTCAAATGATGACATTGAATTGGTTATGCAACAAGCTAACGTTGCTAAGAATGATGCTATCAAGGCTTTGAAGAGCCACAACGGTGACATTGTTAACGCTATCATGTCTCTATCTAAATAGATATAATTATATAGATATACATCGTATATTTTTTTAACTATTTAATAACATTAAGATCTTTATCTTTAATTATTTCTTATATTTTTGTTATATATATATATATATATATATATATTTGTAAANNNNATATATTTGTAAATACCAAAATTCAATGCATGATTTGTTTTATATTGATGCTAATAAAACGATTATTTCTCTATTGGTTGGTTTTCAATCAATGATTCCTTCTTAGTGTCATTTTGTTGTTCTGAAGGTTGAACTAAATCTGTATTTTCACCGATCTTATATTGACAATAAGGACAAATGAAAAGTAAAGGTTTCCCAATGATTCTATATGCGCCTGAGTATTTTTTACAATTAGGGCATACAATAGGTTTTGGTAAATTATCTAAATTATTACCACCAGCAAGTACACCAATAACTTTATCAAACCAAACATCTTTTTCATCTTTATTTAAACCTGTTTGATTTTCTTTTTGTTTTAGTGACTCTAATTCATTCTTTAAATTTTGTAATTCAGAATATTTTTCTTTTAATTCATCATCAACTAAAATCATTGCATCTTCAGATTGATCTTCTCCTGATGAAAATCTTTGTATAATTGAATTAGTCTCATGAAAATTTGTCTCCTTTTTAAGTTCATTTAATTTCTTTTGATGTATAGCTTTCAATTTATTCAATTTCTTATTTTGATAAGTTTGATATTTTCCATACATTAATGAAAATAACCATTTTAATGATAATAGCATAATAATACAAGATATAAAGGTCATCGTCAAGCATACAGGTACACTCCAATAAGGAAAGATACGTTCCATGTACACATATGCCATCACTACACCAGATACCATAAGTCCATAAGTAGTCAGTTGTGATTGAATACGATTTATCGTTATTTGACCTTGTTGTAAATTTTTCTCAAGGACATGAATTTCACCTGTAATTTGTGACAGATCTTGTGTATAACGTTGTACTACAGTACGTTTATCCCAACTCAATAAACTTCTAAATTTACCAAACATTTTTTTGTGGTTCTTTTGCACTTTTGTTAGTACCACTTCTTAAATAGCAATCTCGATTGTTTTACTTCTCTTATTGTTCTTATATATATCTTTTTAGTAGATCTAGTTATTCATGTATATATGTGTATTTTTTTTCCCTCTCCCTTTTCGTAACGCTGTGAAATTTAATGATCATTTTTACAAAATAAAAGATATTATTATTTTTATTGACACTTTATTTGAAGTGAAAGACTTTTCAACAAATACATATATACAAGAATTGTTCAAAACAAAAAATCAACCACAATAGTAAATATGCCTTCCACCACCATCTCTGTTGAGCAAATCACTCAATTACTAGATCCAGAACAGAAAAAGACCACTGTACCGACAGCATTTGGTAATATGATCTTAGAGATTCAAGGTGACCTAGATATACCTGATATTGAGCCCACCGCAGAAGAGATTACTAATTCTAATACAGAGGTTCAATTCAATACATATAAGGGTGAAAACATTATACGGTTTGGTCTATTGAATATCAGCGAGGACAAGAAGCATGCAACGTTATATATTGGTAAGAAACAACGTCTATTAGGTACAGTTGTAGAACTAGAGACACCATTAGGTCTATTGAAGTTCAATTCACAGGACGGACAAGTTGATCTATGTGATATAATACAATATAAAGTGTTATTTAAGGATAGACCATTACCTATCATGTAGAATTTACGCTATAAAGACAATATCCTAGCCCCAGAACAAAATTCTTAAATAAGATTCGATATTGACAGAACGATATCTAGTAAAATGGCACACCCTAGTAGTATACTTTGTTGTGACTAATAAGCATAGCTCTCACCAGAGAGAGTAGGAAACCCAACCCTAAAGCACATATGTGCGTATATATATATATACACAGTCAACAGTAATCTTATGGACACACAGCTTGAAAATGTGTGTATTTATTTATTACTCACCGTCAATAAAGCGATGAGAGAGCAAAAGACAAAAAAACGGTGCGAAATTTTTCAGTTTTTTTTGGCTTCGCTGAGTACTGGCAGGGCGTACATACTGTGTGTGTGGGGAGTGAAGTGTGAGAAAAAGAAAGGGAGGCAAAATAGTGGTTGGAACTGGACTGAACTGAACTGAACTGAACCGAACTAGATGTAAAGAATATATATGTATATATAGCATCTGTGATATTTCAATAGTGATCAATTTCTTTATATTCGTGTGTGTGTGTGTGTGTGTATAGAATTGAACTGGAATAATATATACTATAGTTGCCATCTTTTAAGTGGAGTGAAGCCCATTCATTTTTTTAGTGTGTTTTTTTGGTTTTAGTATTGCTTCCCCTTCAATTATCAACAGATAAAATACATACTAGCGATAGAAAAGTTATCACATATTGAATGATAACGGATTGTGTAACCATCTATAAATAAACTGGCAAGTTATTTCTTTGAATTATACATAATAATACGATGATACATAAAGTGGATGAGACGATCCCCTCAAGTGAATCACATTCAATATCTGTGAATTTACCGACATGGCAAAGTGCAGTAGATTATGTACAAGATATGAAAATACATTCAAAAGAGGACACAGATACAACTAAGTTTAAACATGGATATCCCAGAGTGAAATTACATCCTTTAGTATCAAAACTATGTAATGTAATACGTGAAAAATATGCAAAAGAAAATGAATCCTGTCTTTGTTTCCCATCATATAATGTTGCCAAGAGATGTAGAGAATATATTCGTTTTAAGAGTCAAAGTAATGTTAAAGTACGGATTTTACAATTAGCTACCTCAAAACCAATTACTTCAGATGAAAAAAAATGGAAACGTGAATGTAAAATTGCTGTTGTATTTGTTAAATCTGAATATTATCCAATTTTGAAAGAATATTGGCAATTAAGTGGAGAAATTATTTCTAGTAGAGCAGCAGAATATGTCTTACATGAATTGTTTGTAATTTCATCATCAATTGGACGTACAACTTTTAATGATACTAATAATAATAATAACAATAATAATAATAACAGTGCTACAAATTCGACACTTGTTGACAAGGCTACATTAATAGATAAAGATTTAAATTTTGAATTTGCTGATAGAGCTAAGAAATTAATTAAGAAAAGAATTACTAATAATTTTGTTGATATGAATGAAGAAAATGAGAATTCAAATTATCATTTCCATGAAAATAATTCTAATTTAACAGCTACCTTTTTAGATTCTGAGACATCAGTTAATTCAACTAATAATAGTAATGGAGGTGGTAGTAGTAGCAATGAGGGTCAAAATAATAATAGTAACGGTTTAAGTGATTGGGATCTAAATTTTGAAGATGGAGAAGAATTTCAAGAAATTGATCAAACGATTACTTCTGCAGCACCGACGACAGGTTTGCGTTCAAGAATTCCACCAGAACCAATATTTGCAGACACAACAGATGACCTTCATCTGGGTAATGACAGAGATCCAACTTTAACGCGAAGTAGTTTGCATGTAAGAGCAGAATCTATGAGTTTTACAAATGAGGACACAAGAGAATCCTTAGTTGATCCTGAAAAAGATGTATTTTTATTCCCAAGTGGGATGGCTTCGTTATTTACTTCATTGCATTTATTATTACAGTTTGATTTAAGAAGAGTCAATAGAACAAGAAGTAATGCATCTTCAAATACAAGTTTAAATGAATCAATGACTACAAATAATAATAATAGTGGTACTAGTACTATCGGCACGAGTACTAATGGTGGCACCTTGGATTTAACAACTAGTAATAATAACAATAGTGCTATATCTGGATTAACCCATAGAACAAATAGCAATGATAATAATGACAATTCAGATAAACATGGTGCTAATCTGTATAAGAAGACAGTTATGTTTGGTTTACCATATTCAGATACTTTAAAGATGTTACGAACTTTTAATAATACATATTTTTTACCAGGTGGAGAAAATGAATCAATGATTCAATTAAAGAAAATATTACATTCAGGTGAACAAATTCTTGCTGTATTTATTGAGGCACCATCAAATCCTTTATTAAAGATGGGTAACTTAATCGAATTAAAAGAATTATCCGAAATGTTTGGATTTTATATTATATTAGATGAATCAATTGGTAGTTTTGTTAATATTGATGGATTACAACATACAGACATTGTTTGTAGTTCATTGACAAAAATATTTAATGGAGAAACTGGTGGTACAATGGCAGGTGCATTAATATTAAATCCAAAGAGTAAATTATATTCATTTGCGCAAGAATTCCTAAATGAATTAGGTGAATATGAGGATAATATATGGTATAAAGATTTATTAATTCTTGAAAAGGATTCGAGAGATTATGTTGCAAGAACAATGAAGACAAATCAAACATGTGAATATGTTATTGATAATGTTATTATTAAAAATGAGGGAAATTTATTTAAAAAAGTTTATTATCCACGTTTTACCTCGATAACCACAAAGACAAATTATGAAATGATTAAATGTAATGAAGATAGTGGATATGGTAATATATTTTCTGTTACATTTAATAATATGGATCAAGCTAAAAAATTTTATGATTCGTTAGAGATATATAAAGGACCATCATTAGGATCGACTTTTACAATGGCCAGTCCATATACAATTTTACAATATGGTACAAATAAAATTGAACTTGAAGATGCAAATAGATTTGGTCTTGATGAAACATTAATTAGAATTAGTATCGGTTGTGAAAGTAGAAAGACATTATGTACAATATTTCAAAATGCTATTGATAAAGCGATGAAATTAACAAATACAGATTAGTATATATAAAATTAAAAATAAATAGATTACTATCAAAAAAATTTTAAAGCTTATGATGTGTTTTTTTAGTGAATATATGTATGTATGAAAATCTTTCAATTTATATATACGAAAGAGAGGGTGAAATTAATCTTTCTTATTTAAATCCACAGGTTTTTCACCTCTCTTGAATCTTGGATTTCTTGGATCATTGACATATTCATCAGATCTTAACATAGTCTCCGTCACATTACCCATTGCACAATATACGATTGCACCAGCAACAAAAAATGGCCAATAAGTCTTCAATACGGGCGTAGGATATCTTTTCAACATATTTTATAGTTTCAGTCTTCGTAATTATTATTAGGTATATATATATATGTATGTATGTATATCAACCAAACAATATCTGTGTATTCTCAATGACTGTTGTAACCAAACAGTCTATATATACGTTATCCTGCCCCCTTAGCAATTCACACCACTATGCATACCTATATATATACAATATATAATTTTAAGAAATCGCAAAGTACGCGGCGCGGGTCATCTCCCTCATCTGATTGGCCGTGAAATTGTTAATTTTCTCTCTCTCTTACGCTCAGTCTGCGTATATACATATATATATATATGTATACACACATAACGAGAGAGACGGGAGGCCAAGGCACACTTCACATATATAGAGAGAGAGGTACTGCATGTTACAATCCATATGGTGTGTGTGCACACACACGCACTCTCTATATATAATACATCCAGTAAATGTATCCATCTACAGATACACCCACCAGTAACTTGTCGACACACTTATCACTCATCCTCGCTGCCAATCTCTCTCAAATTTACGCAACAATTTGGGTGGCACATCACTACATACGAGGTGTACCGCACGCGGCGGTTCCGATGTTTTCTTCTTCTTTTTCTTTTTTTCATGGGTGTTGGCCACAGAGATGGGCGTAGGACATCACGCAGCCATCAGCTTACATGATAGATAGTATACATAATATAATGTTTATTATACGCACACACACACTTAGTGAAGGTGTCCGTTGTTGGGAGAAAATAATATACAATAAGAGATAATATATGTAATAACAACAGATAGTAATGAGCTAATATATATATACGTATACAGGATATATAGATTAGTATATTGGTGTGTTGAAAGTGAGAAGATTGTATAGGGTATATATACATATAGATACACATATATTTTCCTAGGATAGAAAGTTTCTCTCCCTCTCTCTCTTTTTTTTTTTCTATAATTTGCTGGTTAAATTATTCTTTTCGAAATTTATATTAACAACAATGGATAATGATACAGAGATATATGAACAACAAACAATGGTTCCAATTCCTGTAAAATCTCGTATTATTAAAACAGATAAACCAAGACCATTTCTATGTCCAACTTGTACAAGAGGTTTTGTTAGACAAGAACATTTAAAGAGACATGAACGATCACATACAAATGAAAAACCATTTCTTTGTATATTTTGTGGTAGATGTTTTGCTAGAAGAGATTTAGTATTAAGACATCAACATAAATTGCATTCAACATTAATTAGTATTGAAGAACAAAGTAAAAACGTTAATCATGATTCAACAAGAGTTCATGATTTTTTACAGGAAATTTTAATTAATGAGAAAAAAAATGATAAATTTTATGGTTCACCATCACAAAATTTATTTGATGAATCAATAAATATTTCAAATTCAAATTCTTTATCACCAATTAACAATAATAATAACAATATTACAGATAATTTAAATTTAAATGATCAAGGTATACCATTAATTGAAAAATCAACAGATAGAAATAATGTATCAGATAAACATATTATTAAAATTAATGGTAATAAAAAATCAATTTTACCAACTTTAACAAATCCAATGGCAAAAAGTGCAGCGGAATTGAAAAAAGAAGCAAAGGAAGCTGCAAAGGAAGCAGCAAAGGATATTTCATTATCTCCATCATCATCGTCATCTTTACAAAATGGTAAAAGACAAAGATCAAATAAATTAAAAAAAATTAATAAAATTGCTAAAAAAAGTTCTTCTGTTTCGCCAAATACATCAAATCCAAGTCCCTCATTAAGTAATTATTCTCCCTTTACTAATACTGGAAATATTAGTGGACTTTCAAAATCTCCTTTAGCTGTTTATCCAATGACAAACGATAATAACAACAACAGTAGCAATGAAAATATTATTGAAAATAGAATTGATAATATGGATATACCAACAAATAATAAGCAATATAGACATAAGAGACATGCCTCCTTTTCTGCTTCAAGTGCTTTAACTTATTTGGAAGATTCTAATAATAACAATAACAATAACAATAGTAACAAGACTAATAGTGGTAACAACAATAATAGCAACTTAAATAATGATTGGCCTACAACTAGTCATGATATGGCTAATGATGCACCACATCAAGTCGGATTCTCTACACCTCAAATGACAGCTAAACAAGTGTATGAAAAAGCAATGGAATGTGGTATAGATTTGAATAATATGGAGATTCCATATTTTTCATTAGATCAAAATAACAATCTTTCGGAACAATCAAATATTGGACAACAATCTAATAGTATTAACCATAACACTAATATCTCTTCAGATCAACAATTCATGATGAATAATAATAATAATAGCGATGGTTTAATTTCTGGTTATGAAAATGGGATGTCTCAACAGGATACAATGGCAATGTTATCAGACTTCTTAACGATGGGTCCAACATTCGGTGGTGCATCAGGTTATGCAAGAACTAATCAAGTAAATGATACTAATTTAGATTATTTCAGTTATGTTCCAACATCATCTAAATCATTTTTAAATTTAAAGAGAATGAATAACAATCAAAATCAAGGACAAAATCAGATGGCAAACAAGTTACAAAGATCAGCATTATTGGCAACGGGTAAATTATCGAGTAAGAAAAACTCACCTAACGGTTCAAATACAAATATCCATGATCATTTCACAGATATTCCAGATATTCATACCCTAAAACAAGAATCTTCTTCACAAAGTTTAGCAGATAAAACTCCCAAAATGAATCAATTGTATCAAAGCCCTACAACTAAGAGTAATAATAGTCCAAGCTCATCAACTTCACATCATCACGATTTAACTTTATCACCAGATGATGAATTTTACAAGAATTTCTTGGCTCATGCTCCTTTGGAGACAGATTTCAAGATGAATTTTGCTCATTTAAATGATATTGGTTTTACAGAATCTAGTAACCCCAATACTCTAACAAATACAGTTCCAAGTACTGCCCCAGACAGTGCCTCCGCAATGATTCAAGGATTAGATAGTGATCAGGGTTTGTTATACATGAACAGTCATCAACCTCATTCACATGTACAAATGCAACAACAAAATGAAGCCCAAAATAGTTTCCATCATCCTATCGACACTGGTACAGAATTATCTAACCTTTTCGCGACTAGACAGATGGACCTTTTCAAGAAGAAAGAAGATATAGATCATCAACCACACGATAATCATTTGAACAAAAACGTTGGTAATCCATCTCCAGCACCAAATAGAACATCATCTGTGTTTGAAATTACTGGTAACTCCAGTGTGGATACTTTTGCAAACTTTATCAATGGAAGTGCATCTGCACCTTTGTCCTATTATACAAAACAATTCCGTGACGCTATTATTAAGGATAATCAATTGAAATCAGATCAATTTCCAACAGTTGAAGAATTAAACAAATATGTTAACTTATTTAAAATTCATTTCCATCCATTTTATCCTTTTATTCATTTAAGTTCTATTCATTTAGACATGTCCAATTATCCATTATTATTAAGTATCACTATGATTGGTGCATTATATGACTTCCATTCTAGACACACCATGTTATTGTCCAATATTGCATGGTTTCATGTTAGAGATGTTTTACATAAATCGAAATCCGATTACAGCCAAACACCACTTTGGGTCATTCAAACTATTTTATTACTGATCTTTATTGGTATTTTTAGTAGTGACACTGAAGTTATAAAGAGTATTCGTCCGCAGTTGACAACTTTGATTCAACTTGTCAGACTAACCAAATTGAATCTGCCTTTAGAAAACTTTATTAGACCACCAATCGAAAGTGATCATACCCTTGAACTTCAGGATAATCCTACCGTGTTACAAAAATATACTGAACAATTCAGTAGTCCTGAACAAACAAGAAGAAATTATGAATATTTCATCTTGGCTCAGACTAGAATTAGAACCTGTCATAACATTTTATTGGTCTCTAATCTTTACTCTGCTGTTGCAGGTGTAGATAACTTCCTACATTCTATTGATTTGAAATGTGGTGTACCATGTAGTCACGAAATTTTATATCATGTTAGTGATCCACAAACTTGGTTGAAATGTCTACAACAAAATAATATCACTTTAGATTCTAAACTCTCCTTGATTGAATTATCTAACGGTAGTGGTAATTATGAAAGTTGTTTAATGTATTTGACAAATGGTAGTCCATATATCTTCGAGAATATGAAATTATCTAGAAAGACTTTATTGTCATTATTAATTTCCGTTCATGAAAAAATCACCCTGGAAAGGGCATTCTCTAAGAAGGCAAATACCAATCCAAAGGACAAATCACTAAATGATACTAGATGGAGATTTAGTTCTCGCTCTATTGTAGGGTCTATGTTGAAATATTGGGAAGCTTTATATATTAAGAATGGTGGTATATTGACTCCAAACAAGAGTAATATCAATATTATTAAAAACACGCCGGTGATGCGTCTCATTATTCCATTGCACACATATGCCAAAATTAGAAAATGTGTCGATATGACTGATGTATTACGTAAAATATGGAGACAAGACTGGGATCACATGAACGAAAACCTAAACACCTTCTATCATGACAGAGAATCATTGTTTGAAGCCACCACTTACTCGTTGGAGATAATAGATTTTTGGTTACAAACTGTCTCAACAACAAATGATAACTCTTTTAATATCTCATCACCAATTCCAAGTACGACATGTATCTTAATCGCTTCTTTGATTATTTCTCAGTTCTTGAAGACTGTTGAAAAATGGGCCTTCAATTTCAAAATACATGGTTCAGAAAATTCAACAAGTTTGAACGTTTCAGATAGGGTATTATGGATGAAAATTTTTAAATTGTTAAGAAACGTTGAGAAACAACTGATATCAACTGGTTATCAAATTAACAATGCTGCTACACTTAATGAAGAATATGCAAAGTTAGCAATGAAACCAACTACACCAATTCAAGAGACAACGCATATTATCAATTCTATTGGTCTTTCTTCACGTTGTTTGTACTTAGCTGTGAGAATATTAAGTGTTTCCCCTGTTTGGTCCGTCAGTTTAGTGTTTGCCCAGGCCTTACAATCGAGGGCTATCTATAATGACATGGACATATTCGCCAGTCACCATGTTTAGTGTTTATTGAATTTTTTTGTTTTTCCTTCCCTTATATGATGGGGGTCTCTACTTGTGAGAAGAAGACACACAAGAATATAAATTTTATATAACGTTATAGATGTATACATAAATACAGATCCAAACTTTCAAAAACATAAATTGTATTGAAGTTATTTATTCATTTAGGTTAAAATAAGTTGTTCCGTAGCCTGTATAAAGTTGTCAAATATTATTTACTATGTATGGAATGGAAGAAAGCGAAATTTGTAATTATGCTGGGGGAAAAAAAGAAACAGCGAAAAAAAAAATTAGAAGAGATGAGATTTAAAATTATTAGAGATGCAAATGTTTTAATTGTGATGAGATGTGTGAATAATTACTGGAATAAAGGTACAGTACCATATATATCTATTAAACATTTAAGTACTTCACCTACTACTGATAACGATAACAAGACTGCAGTACCGATGACAGCTACGAAGTTAAATGGAAGACAGCTTTTTCAAAAGATTGGGAAACCAACCAGAATTCTGGCTCCAATGGTGGATCAATCTGAACTTGCTTGGAGAATTCTATCTAGGAAATACGGTGCTACACTAGCTTACACACCTATGCTTCATGCAAAATTGTTCGCCACATCCGAAAAATATAGAAGGGATAACTGGTGTTCTTTGGATGGAGATGCTACTTTGGATAGACCATTAATTGTCCAATTTTGTGCAAATGATCCCGAATATCTTCTTAGCGCTGCAAAACTAGTTCAAGGACAGTGTGATGCTGTTGATTTGAATTTGGGTTGTCCTCAAGGTATTGCCAGAAAGGGACATTATGGATCATTTTTGATGGAAGAATGGGACTTGATCCATAAATTAATTAAAACTTTGCATGATAATTTGGATGTCCCTGTAACTGCCAAAATAAGAGTATTTCCAGACCGTGAGAAGACTTTGGAGTATGCTAAGATGGTATTAGACGCAGGTGCACAATTTTTATGTGTTCATGGTCGTTTAAGAGAACAAAAAGGTCAAAAGACAGGTTTGGCAGACTGGGAAATCATAAAATACCTAAGAGACAACCTTCCAGATGACACAGTATTTTTTGCTAATGGTAATGTGTTATATCCAGAAGATATCGAAAGATGTCAAACCGCCATTGGTTGTGATGCAGTGATGAGTGCAGAAGGTAATTTATATAATCCTGGGGTTTTCAACGTCGATACAATTGAGGATAAAGAAAAGACCTTCCCTCGTGTAGATAAATTGTTAAGAGAATACTTCGAGATAGTCAAATCTATTCCGGAATCAAAAGCTTCTCGTATCGCTATGAAGTCTCATTTCTTCAAAGTCTTAAGACCATTTTTACCTCATCATACAGATATAAGGTCAGAAATTGCAAAGATGAATGCAAAGACATCTTTCGAAGAATGGGAATCACAAGTAGTTACCCCTGTTGAGAAAGTAGTCGGCGATATATTCGCCCAATCAGATATTGAGGAAAAGGATAAAATTATTGATGGTAAAGAACAACTTTGGGGCGGTCACTACAAGACCATTCCATATTGGAGATGTCAACCATATTTTAGACCTGTTGATGGTGTTACTGGTGACCAAAGAGTAACAAAAAAACTGGAAACAGAAAAGGGAGAGAAGAAGAGAAAAGCACAGGAAGATGTAAAAGATGGGGTGGAAACAGCTTCAAAGATACAGCATATTTAGATAGATATTGTTATAACTTTAACATATATAGATATATCACATTCATAGTAATATAATTCATTTATTATAATTTTTTTTGCCATAATTTTTGATTAACAGTGTGAATAAATAACAGTGTGCCGGCAAAAATCGAAATTTTAATTACGTAATATATGTTAATATTAATCTTAAAATTTCAAGATGAAGCGGTGGCTCAATGGTAGAGCTTTCGACTCCAGTTAAATCCTGGTATTTCCAAGGAAATTAAAGATTGCAATCGAAGGGTTGCAGGTTCAATTCCTGTCCGTTTCATTTTTTTTTTTGGTCTAGTGTATTTTTTCTGCTGAAAGACTATTTATAGTGTAGGCACTACTTAATTTCCGTTTTTATTATATACAACTAATCAAGATTTAATGAATGAAGAAACTTTATTGAATCTTGTCTAATTTTTATTAAAGGCGCTCCACCATTTAAACTTAACAGAAATTTCAGTCGCAAATATTTGGACCGGTAAAATCATTTGTAAATTTGGTTATCCAGTTGAAGAAGACATATTATTTCAACTTTCAGGTATTTGTAGAAAGAGAAGCCAGTTTCAAAGAAAGGTATCTAATAAATTCAAATTCAAATTCTTTTTTAATTCAAAAAAACCATTCAATTCTTAAAATTGAATATATAATGGCTATTCCATTGCGTAAGCTTTAGCGTTCTTGTAAAAATGTCTTGTTCAAAAATAGTATAAGAGAGATGATTAAATGAAATGAAGTTCTTTTATGCAAATTAATCATTTTTATAGTTTGTCACTTTTGATTTTTTGTTTACAAAGGGTTAAGTGTTTGAGAGTGAGGTGATTGGTACTAAACTTTAAAAAATTTTAACTTTTGAAAATAAGATAATAAACTAACTAAAAAAGAAATTTTGCAAGGTTAATAAACTAACATAATAAGATGAAAATTATGTACGTTCATTCTTGATACTGTTGTTAGTATATCTATACACAAGACAGTAGTCACTAATAACTTATACTGTTTCTATGTGGAAAAAACGAAATCCCCGTAGAAACATGTATTTCAGCAATGTATTTCCATTTACTTTCGCAAGAGGGTAACATAAGTAACAATTGCAGTCACTCGACAAATGGAGAACGACTCCTTGCCATAACGATTCCCCAGTTTTGAAAACTGGAGAATCACCAATCCAATGTCTGTAAATTACAATTGGAACAACAACATCCATGAGCAGGGTGACCTTCCAAAATTGAAGGTCGGGAAATATTTTGTATGGCAGAATTCATTTTCCAAAATTTGGGTTCAGTTTTGTGTCACTTCCAGATCACTTTTCAATTGTCAATTGGGACGACATAGGATGTGGACCCCCCATCGAAAGTCAGCAAAAAATGTCAATTTGCCTCGTTGTTTGTCGCCTTCAAGAGGTATTTTAAAGTGTGATTGCACTGGTAAAAAACCCCAGTTTTGGAGGTTTAATGGTCACAATTCTTACGACTTTGGGTTACTCACTTTCCACGATCCTCATTTCATGCTGCTTTCACCTGTTGATCAGGGTTACGTTTCAAAATTGAAGCTCGGGAAGTATTTTGTATGACAGAATTCATTTTAGGAATTCTTTGGATTCCAATTTGTGTCACCCGGAATTTCATTACTGACAAAGAGACCGATTTGCATAACTGACATTATGTTGAATCGATCGAGATGTGCTTTCAAGTTTCAAGAAACAAAAATGTTCTAATTTTGAGAATGTTTTTTCGCCTTGACAGCTCAAAGTTTGGTGTGAAAGTGCTTGTTAAAAACCCTACCTTTTTTGATTATTAAATTTTTCGTCATTGTTCTTTAAGTAAAAGTGTCAATTGTTTATTTACATGTAATATTTTCAAGTAGTAGAGAGAACAATAACAATGATTGAATATTTCGGTTCAAAACAAGTTTATATATGAGAGTACATACCAAACAAATGACAACAAATTTTTATAATAGTGACAAATACAGAAAGGTAATTCGAGTGAGAAGACAGATATAAAATAAAAAAATACTAGTTCAAGAGTGCAATATTATGCTTGTAATCTAAAGACAACAGGGTTTGCCCCCCAGTTTAATTTTAAGTTTTTAAAAACCCGGAGTTAACCATAATCAGATTCCAACATATCAAAAGTGGGAAATTATGCAAAATTAAAACAAACCAAAAAATGTGACATTTGAATAAACCACATGGTTGCAAGCAAACAAAGCAATACAAAAACTATAAAATGGTTGTATATATACACACATATCAAAAAAAGACTGTTTATGTTTTGTTTGTTTGTTTGCTTCTCTCTTGACTGTAGTTATGCAATAATTCACTATCTGTTCAAGCGAGAAATAAAATTACGATTATGCCAAAGTATGTATACTACTAAAAATTAAACAAGAAAGAACAGAACCTTCTAGTACAACCACATATCTTATACATTCAAACCTGGTAATAATTACATCAATTAAGCGATCGCCTGGTAGATCAGGTGGTTGAGCACCTTTTTTTCCCAATAACGTTCGTTACCAAGAACAAAATATCCCTGAAAGCCAACCACATTGAATCATCCCAACTATTCGATCTTAATAGCATAGGCCCAAAAATATGAAACTGAGAACAATCCAGTAAATGGTTACAACGTCCGGAGATATCTCTTGTTTTACCCTTCGCATTCTCTTATTGGCTGTTGATCCCAATAGTAAGTGTCCCCCCCTTAAATATTCAAAAACGGCAGCAGCAGCAGCAGCAGCAGCAGCGTAATGCGGCAGAAAAGAACATCCCGATAAATACAGACAGCGACAGAGACAACGCTGTGCAAGGGAGACACAGAACAGCCTGGCAGTCAGTTAGCATCATCATCAACAACAACCAAAACTTTCAAATGAGAAAGAAAGAAAGTCGTGAAACATTTTCAGCGTTTCAACGTAAGAGGCGGGGGTCAGCCAGGGAAAGGATGATAGGGACATCACATACTGGCAACTATTATTATTATTATTATTATCACAAGGGATACTACGATGCTGGAGTTATTACAGGAACTGGTACTTAATCTTGTGGAGAAAGTAATAATACATTAATATATATATATATATATATATATATATATAGGGACACCATTTTTCTTTCTTTCTGTTGGACATACTTAAAAACTCACATATCACCTATTTTTAGTCAAAGTTGTCAAATAGACCCTTTTATTAATTACTAAAATTTTTCAATTTTTTTACTAACAATTCATTTCTTAATATATTAATAATTGTTTTTATTTTATTTTGTTTTGAAACAGATTTACTCATTCTACATCTAGTTCCAAAAATTTATCTAATATCACTCAAATAGATATTCCTGAACCTATTGTACCTGAACCACACTATTATCATAAACAAATGTCTACCCCAAATTCAAAGAAACAAGAAGAACCTGTTGTTGTTGATTCAACAAATTCATGTAATGAAAATAATAAATGTGAAAAATGTGCTAAATGTTTAGAAAATTTTAAAAATAAATGTTATTGTACTACATCTGCTTGTTTTCAAAAAGTTATTGGTTGTGGTAACAATATCTTAGTCGCTTTAAAGAACCCGGTTGTAGCAATCAACGTTTTAATTGGTGCTGCTTCAATAACCTCGGTATTATTAGGTTATATTAAATACGAAAAAAGATTTTTAGCTGATAAACCTGATATGTTTATTGTGGGTTCAGTTGTTGGTATCGCTGGTTTACTAACTGCTGATTGTTTCTTATCAAAAAAATATTACAAAAAATTTGATAAATCAAAATAATTTTAAATTATTGTGATTCTATTCTTTTTTTTTTAAATATTTTATTCATCCTTCCTCCAATTACTCTCCATTCCTCTTCCTCTTTCTTTCTGTTACTACAAGCACACATATATATGTACTTTATATATATATATATATATAAATAATTTGATTATTTCAATATTCCTCTCCTTATTTTTATTTAAATTTTCAATTAATAATTACTTATTATAGTACTAATAATTTCAAAACTGTACATGTACACACACACATATATATATTATCTTGTTCAATGAAATAGAAATGTTGTCTCTTTGGCTCATCATCTCTTAATTAATAATTTTTCAGTCTCTCGGAGATATTTTCTTAAACAATTTCAGGGCTTAAAATAATTTATTAAGTAATTTTTTTTTTCATACAAAAATATTTATATATTTGTATATAATAGCAGGCAAATGTAAAAAGGAAGAGAGTGATAGATATAATCTGACGATTGGCCCTGTGTTTTTTGTTTTACATTATCCAACAGTACGGAAAAAAAAATATTGGTTTCATTATGAATAATTGGTTTAAATTATTTCTATTGACAATTTTTTTTTCAAATTCAACTAATGCTTTTACAGATTATTTATTGAAAAAATGTAATCAGGCTGGATTTTGTCAAAGAAATAGATATTACGCTAATAATATACAATCTTCACACAATTCATATTATCATATAGATGAACAATCAATTCATATCAATTCCAATGATTTCTCCCTAGGAGCTAATATTATTAAGACAATTCCAAGAGATGATATTGATGATATTACTATAATATTACCATTTAAATTATCTTTTCAAAATGATTGGCAAAGTGTAAGGTTTACCATTGACGAATCTATTGACGGAAGAAAAGTCTCTGAATTACCATTATTGAATCATTATAGATATAATGAAACTGGATTATGGTCATTTATGAATCATACAGATTCTTTAAATAATACTCCTTTACTATTTGAAAAATTAGAAAATATTCAATCTAATTTAAATAAATTAATTAATTTTGTATTTCAAACACCTGACTTACAAAATAATGTTATTAAAATTTATAACCAAATTAATCAATTAGAGATACATCTTTTCCTAGATTCATTCCAGATTCATATCTTTCAAGGTAATGATTTAATCCTTTCCATTAATGATAGATCATTATTCAATTTTGAACATCATCGTTCTTTAGAAGAAAATTTTCAAAATGTTTTACCAGAGGAATCAACTTTTAATATGTTTGCTGATGATTTTGAATACTCTAAGAACGATCAAATTCCTTTTGGTCCAGAATCAATCGCTTTGGATTTCACATTCAATGAATTTAACTCTTTATTTGGTATCCCAGAACACGCTGATTCTCTACGTCTTAAGGATACTTCAAATGATGAACCATATAGATTATTTAATGTCGACGTGTTTCAATATAATTTAGATTCAAAAATGCCAATGTATGGTGCTATCCCATTATTACTAACAGCAAATAAAGAAAAATCCGTAGGTGTCTTTTGGAACAATCCATCAGATACTTGGGTAGATATACATTATACAGATAATAATAAGATATCACAATCACATATCATGTCAGAATCTGGGATTATCGATGTATTTGTATTCATTGGTAAGAAACCATCTGATATTTCTGATCAATTCACTCAATTGACTGGAAGACCAGTCTTACCCTTGCTAAGTTCTATTGGATATCATCAATGTCGATGGAATTATAATGATGAACTGGACGTACTAAATGTTCAAGAAAATATGGATAGAGAAGATATTCCATTTGATTTTATTTGGTTGGATTTAGAATATACAGACGATAAAAAATATTTCACTTGGAAACCTGATTCATTTAAAAATCCAGGTAAAATGTTGAAAAAATTAGCTAAATATGGTAGACAATTAGCCATTCTTATCGATCCACATTTAAAGACAGAATATCATGTAAGTGAAGAGGTTGAAAAAGAAAACGCTGGTGTACTAAATGCTAACGGTGATTTATATGTAGGTAGATGTTGGCCTGGTGATTCCATTTGGATTGATACTATGGGTAAGATTGGCCAACGTATATGGGAAGGTTTATTTAAAGTATTTGTTACTGTTAAATTACCATTCTATATCGACAATCTACATATTTGGAATGATATGAATGAGCCTTCAATTTTCAATGGTCCAGAAACTACTGCACCAAAAGATCTGATTCATAATGATGGGTTCGAAGAAAGGTCTATCCATAATGTCTATGGATTAACCGTGCACGAAACAACATACAATTCTATGAAAGATATATATGCAACTTCAGATAAACGACCATTTATTTTAACAAGGGCCTTTTTTGCTGGTTCTCAAAGAAGTGCTGCAACGTGGACAGGTGATAATATAGCTAACTGGGATTATTTAACATCATCTATTCCAATGGTTTTATCAAACAATATTGTAGGTATGCCATTTATTGGTGCAGACATTGCAGGGTTTGATGGGAATCCAACACCTGAACTAATAGTCCGTTGGTATCAAGCTGGCCTTTGGTATCCCTTCTTTAGAGCACATGCCCATATTGATTCGATTAGAAGAGAGCCATATTTATTAGATAAACCTGTAAGGGATAACGTTCGAGACTCAATTAGGTTAAGATATTCATTATTGCCAACATTTTATTCTGCATTCCATGAAGCTAGTGTTAATGGTAATGCAATTATGAAACCAATGTTTTTCCAATACCCTGAATATGAAGAATTATACAATATTGATAATCAATTTTATCTGGGAGACTATGGTATTCTTGTAAAACCGATCACCTCCCCTGAAACTTTTACCACTCAAATGACTTTCCCAAGAGGCATATTCTATGATCTATTGACATTCAGGGCTCTTGTTGTAGATCAACTAAAGGAAATCGAAATCGATGCTCCAATCACAAAGATCCCTGCATTTATTGAGGGTGGTCACATTTTATTCAAGAGAGACATATACAGAAGATCATCTAAGTTGATGGAAAATGATCCTTACACGTTAGTGATTGCACCTTCTTTGGAAAACGGTTCTGCAAGTGGCAAGCTTTATGTCGATGACGGTGAAACTTTTTCATATGAAAGTGGTGAGTATTTGGAGACTGTTGTGTCGCTGGTGGGTTATTCAATTTTAAAGAATGACGTTATTCATAGTCCCGAAAACGTTGATTGTCTAGGTAACACAATGATTGAAAAGATAGTGGTCGCAGTAGACAAAAATAACATGGATATTGGTGATCACGTTACAATTAAGGTAGGATCCGAAACACGTAAATTGAATATTGAACATGTAGAAGGTGCAACAACCGTAGAGATCAAGAGCCCTCAAGTTCACGTATATGAACAATGGGAGATAACATTTTAAAAAGCTCTTGCAATATTTTTTCAAAGAAATATAAACATCTATATACAAAACCATATAGAATTATCATTTTTTATTATTCACTTACATTTATTTACGAGATATTTCTTTTAACATAGAGGAATATTTTATAACTGTTGTCCATTCTAACAGTGTATTACATTTTGGACAATGACCACCTCTGGGTATTAATACTAGATTTTTGTCTCTTTCATCTACTTCCTCTGCTATGAACTTTCGACAAAGACAACTCACTTCTGAAAGAAAATCGCAATCTTCATTAGTGCAGAATGCTATTAATGGCTTCAAGCTCTCATCCTCAGAAGTGTAATTGTACATGATGAAGCACAAGCCACACGTAAGGACGCCATCCATGGCTCGTTCTGTATATCGCTTCATTCGTAATTCATCAAGTTTTATAGATGAATTATAGAAATGTGATACCAAATCTTTATTTTGTTCGGAAATCTCAGAGAGATCGTCAACAGTTAATCTTTTCAGATCATATCTGGAAAGAGAGAGAGCATTTTCAGAGGTATTGATTTTGTTCCAATTTTCATAACATGGATCTAAACTAATTCCAAATTTATTCTGTTCAAATAGAGTGGTTACATTACTATTAAAGAACTGTACACCAAGATTCATAGCTTTGAAAAATGGATGATTTAGTAGCTGTCTAATAAGAGCTAACTTATAATGTATATTTCTACCTGCAGATCCAGAATTCTTCTTGTTGATTATTCTCTCTTCTCCTTTAATAAATCTTGTTTTGTACCCATGTTGCCAAGCATGCTCAAACTGTAAAGCAATAATCTTATTCGGAAACCCATACACTATCAGAATCATTTCCCAGGGTCTAGTACCACTCCTTTTTGTTCTATATGCACCACCTTTCACTAAATCACCATTATGCTGTCTCAATCTTCTAGGTGGATTAGGCGAAGAGCCAATGTAGAAAGACTGTCGATGCTCTACCGATTGCAGAAAGTAACAACAATAGAACTGTGCAAATTCTCCCATAATCGAATCAATATTAAATCTAGGATACGCACCTCAACTGCATAGGTGTTTTAGTACTGTTGTCCTTCTGTACTTCTAAGTTCATAAAAAGGATTAATGTTATATAAGTGCCTGAAAATATTCAAAGAATTGTTAGAATTGATATTTTAACTGGATGCCGGGTGAATCAAAAGAATTTAACTCTTTTACCTCTTACATTAAAAAACATTACAAGTATTTCAGATTTGACCAAGCAAAAACTTCATATAAATACTGAGATCATCAACTTTTTAAATTATATTCCTTGTAAATCTTGAATTTTAATCACAGCAATAATTGTTTGCATCAGAAATTAACACTACACTACAGTAGATTGTACTTACACAGTTATATACGATGATTGTACTCCTGTACGTTAATCTCTCTGTATATTGCTCATATATCGCTGCATGAGTGAATATATCTTAAAAGCAGGTGTCTATTGAAAACTTTTTGGTTTGACAGGCGTTGTTCTATGCGATGACTAATTAAATAATATAATATGAAAAAAGTATAAAACGTAATACAATTCTAAATACCAACCAAATTTGACATTAAAGGTAGTAACTCTTTTAATATAACAAACTAAAAAATAGATTAAACTTCATTGTATTGTTACTATACTTATAGAACTTTCTTCGTTATGATAAAACCCTCAAAATCGAGAACCCTGCTCTCTATCAGGTTGTATTCCACTACTAAATCTACAGCACCTCCTACCATCAGGGCTACCGCGATAAATGGAGCTTCACAAAAATTAGCTCAATCGTCATTACCAACTATCCCTTCACCACGGATTCTCAAGTCTTTTCTTGACGAATATGTCATAGGACAGGATGTGAGTAAGAAAGTATTGAGTGTGTCCGTTTACAATCATTACTTGAGGATATATGATAGAATCAAGAGACAAAAGATGAAAGAAAGCCAATTGCAATTCTTAGAGGCTAATGTGACCGATCAAAAAGACGAGCCTACTTTCGTTCCTAACAGTGAAGCTGAGCAAGGTATGGCTAATTTGAAAAGACAAGTTGAATCTTTAAAACCAGAAAACGATCCTGAATCAAATGGAGTGGATGATTTAGAACTAAGTAAAAGTAATGTGATGGTAATTGGTCCATCAGGATCTGGTAAAACGTTGTTAGCCACTACTTTGGCTCGTGTGCTCGACGTTCCTATCGCTATCTCTGATTGTACTCAATTGACACAGGCAGGGTATATTGGTGAAGATGTCGAGGTCTGTATAGAGAGATTGTTAGTTAATGCTGATTTTGATGTTGCTAAGGCTGAAAGAGGTATTATTGTTTTGGATGAAATTGATAAATTGGCCAAGCCTTCGGCTAGCATCGGTACAAAAGATGTATCTGGTGAAGGTGTTCAACAATCATTACTAAAAATTATAGAAGGTCATCGTGTACAAATTAGTGTTAAGAGACCCGTCAAGAATAAATCGTCGAGCACAGATAAAGATGGTAATAAATCAGTGGTGAAAAAAGAGGAAACATTTACAATTGATACATCCAATATCTTATTTATGATTATGGGTGCTTTTGTTGGCTTAGATAAGCATGTTGCCAAAAGAATAAAAACATTGAAACAGTTGGATGAACCAGAAAAACAGACTGAAGAAGGTGAAGAAGAAGAAAATAAGGAGCACATCAGCAACAAATTGGAGGAAATTGAATTGGAAAATGGTGAAAAGGTCCCTGCATTGAACTTGGCAACACCTGTGGATTTAGTTACATTTGGTTTGATCCCTGAACTTATAGGTAGAGTCCCAATTATTACAGCTTTACAACCACTTCAAAGAGATGATCTATACCATATTCTAAAGGAACCAAAGAATGCACTATTGGATCAATATGAATATATCTTTAAACAATTTGGTGTGAGATTATGTATTACCGATCAGGCGTTAAAGAAAGTCTCACAATTTGCATTGAATGAGGGTACAGGTGCTAGAGGCTTAAGAGGTATAATGGAGAGATTGTTATTAAATATTAACTATGAGTGTCCAGAATCAGGTACTCATTATGTCTTGATCAATGAAAAGACAGTCAACTCCTTACAACAAACAAAATACTCTCTTGCTTCGAATGTTCAAGCTAAATACTACTCTCGAGGTCAAATATTTGACTTGATAAATGATGTCTCTAAGGAAGATAAAGAGCTTGCCAAGAAACTTGATATAGAAGTAAACGGCGTTCAGAACTTGGGTTATGGAGAAAGTAAGGTTAAAGAGGCAAAAATATAGAAGAGACGATGAGCTTATCAATAAGATAAATACATTAATTAATTTAGACGAGTCTTGCATATAAAGGGAATATATAATTATTTATCGTTCAAGATGGGTGGATGCAGGATAAGACGAGTGGCTTTTGATCATTTGAGGTTATTAAGTTTTGGGCTTTTGTGCCACAATGAAGATTGTTCTGAGACAACCTGCATGATCATCAACTTTTTCCCAATGTTCTTTAATATATCTTTCAATTATATTGTCTACTTTCAGAGTTGATGATGAACCTTCTTTACCAATATTAGAACCCGTTAATAAATGCCACAAAAGAGTTATCATAAACTCGTTAATACAACCCATATTTGTCTTTAAATCACCAGATTTCAAACTTAAAGTAGTGGTTTTAATATTAACAAACCCACATTCTTTGAATTTTCTCGCTAAATGTTTAGTCGGATATATATGGAGACCTTTGTTCATTGCTTCAATTGACAAAAGGTCAAAGACCCTATTTCTCTCAACCGAAGTTTTAAATTCGGCACTAGCCTCTGGATGTCCAGTATATTCAGAGTTTGAAACTCTCAAATCGGTAGCAAGTGCTAATATATAACCTCCTGGTTGTAAGCATCTCTTTATTTCTCTTAATAGGTTCCCCCATTTTGTTCTCGTCAGAGTTGTCCAAATCCAAGGACATAATATAGCTGGGACACTATCCCTATTGAATGGTAACCTTAATTGAAGCAGCTCTCTACCGTGGTAACCTCTATTGGTCACTTTGTTATGTGCTCGTAAATGTTCCTCACTGTTTACACTTTCCTGTGATGAATCTGGTGCAATTTTTACTTGAGATCCTGGGGAAACTTCGCGTGTCAAACCTGATGATTTGTTTCTTGGAAAATAATATTGAGTAGGAATACCAACTCTTTTATAATTACTCAAAATTTCACAGAAATGATTTTCTAACCATTCGTTTTGTAATTCATTTTCATTAAATTTAGTTGGTTTAGCAATAGACTCATCAATCGAATCAAATGTATTTGGTTGATTTGATAGTGGCTTATCAAACACCGGTGCTGTATTAGTTACATTAAAACCTGAAGTAGTAGGAATAGTTCCAATAGTGGAGCGACTCGCTAAGAGTTCTGGTGGCTGTGCTTGTGTATGCAATGTTGTATTTTCGTTAACAGGCGTAGATACTGAGGTGTGTTTCCTTCTAAAAAAATTAACAAATCCTGATTTTTTTGGTTTATAGTCCTTACGTTTCTTTTTATTTGTAGATGCAGATGAAGGTGCTGCATAAGATTTAATACTCGTATTATCACTTAAATCCTTATGAAAATTAATTGAATGCTCTGATCTAGTGATGGAACTAACATCATTATTATCATCTATATTGTTGCCCACATCTTGAGATCCAAATTTTCTAATATCAAACGGTTTTCTGTCACTAAATTTTCTATCCATACAATCTAATAAATATTCTGGTGAATTCAAATTATTAATATGTATAATATCATTTAATTCAGAAGTTATAGTGGTACCAACACCATAATTGTAAGTTTTATCTGTACCTTCCATAAATTCTAGCAATTTTGAATTACTATCTTCATCTGATTCCTTCCATGGAGCAACATTTAATGCGTAATCAGCCACAGTAATTTGAGGTTCATTGTACGCTAACTGCCACCCAATTTCTTGAGTCACCAAGGGTCTCAATAACAATATATCTATATCTTCTAAAGGGTCCATTATTGTAGCAGTTTGATCTGAACGTGGGAGTGATCTATTAGAGTCAGATTTTTGTGTATAAACAGTTTCATCTGCTGATGTTGTAGTTGATTTTCGTCTTTGGGATCTTCTATTTATTAAACTTTGAGTAACTTCTGGACTGAAAAGTAAAGAATTTGCTTGCGCAAAATAAGTTTCTATTTGAAAACTCCATAATTGTATTACTTCCATTACTTGCGATTCATTTGTATCTGATGTTAATAAATTGATATCTGAATTGAAATTTAATACGTGACCATCACCGTTTGATAATTGTTTAATATACTGATCTAAAAATTTTGCATATGATTTTAATCTTTTCTTAGCAAAAAGTAAAGCTTCTCTCATAGTTGATTCTTGATTAAATCTAAGAAATAAATCCATTTGAGGTAAAATTTTATTATATTTTGGGTCATATTTAATTGATTTCATTTCACCATCTATTGAGATTGAAGCTACATTATAACCATCCGCAATCTCTAGAGGGGCATTATGTGAAGATGGTAAACTATTCCAATCCCATCTTTTATTTGCAATTTGGGCTTCAGCAATCTCTGTGGTTTTACCATGAATACTTCCTAATCTTTTCATAGGTTTTTCGGTATGCATTGTATTTGAATCTTCCCTTGACTCCAATTGCGAAGTTAAATGTTTGGAATATGGTGAAAATTCAGAATCAGAAGTCTCAATATTTTGTTGTTTTGTTGTACTATCAGGTATATATGCAGGATTAAATGGAGCATTAAAAGCAATAGGTGAAGATTTTTTATCAGGCTTCGGCAGAGACGACGTCAAATTATTAAGATTTGTTGTATAATTTGTTTCAGTATTAAAATCAGTAATTTGTTTTGGATCCACTGAATCTCTATCAATATCATTTTCAATTTTATTCATTATATAATTTTTCTTAAATGTATTTGAGTCCTTTGATACTTGTTCTGGACCATGGATGTTATTAATCTTATTGTTATCAACTCTTTGAGGTTCCATCATTATTACTATTGTTATTGCTGTTGTACGATATTATTTCGAGGATATATATTTCCTGCTTATATTTTTTTTAAAGTTAGTTTTTTTCTTGGAATGTCTATTATTTAGTCTCCTTACTTTCAAATTAATTAAAAGGAAGGTAGGACAGTTATTGGTTCTTTCCCTTTTGCAAAAAAATTCCAGTATTTTTAAACAATAGAGAACACTAAATTAATTTTTATTAATAGAAGAAACGATAATAAGAGAAAATATAAATATTTCCAAACAACAAATATATCTGTGAGTGGAATACAATAGTCCTAATTGACAGATTCTTCTTCCTCTTCTTATATGTGTATGTATCGAACTCGTAATTCTGACTGAAGTATTATCAACAAGTGATTATATTTTCCGATCATAGAATTCACTTGTAAAAAAATGATAACTAAACCCTTCAATTTCAGCCACAACCTCCAACTCAAGAGAGAGAAAACCACCTTTTTCAATGCTATTAGTTGTTGCTATTGTTGTTGTTATTGTTAAAACCCTTTAAAAAGATTGAAACTATTCAACCAGATGTTCTTTCTTCCTGCGCTGTGTGAGCCATCGAGCGAAATACGGGGAAGGGGTAAAGGGGGCCGGTAGATTCTGCCGTGTGGGGGCGGTCGGGGGAGACCGAAATAGGCAGAGACAGACAGATCGCCAGACAGACAGAGGACGGCCAGTAGTGGGAACTTTTTTTGGCTGTTCGCTTTCTGGGGAGGTTCGTTGATTTTCAGGCTGGCAGGGGAAGAAGAAGAAGAAGAGCAGGCACTGACTACAAGGTTCGACTTGGTTTGAGGTTAGAGATAGGGTTCTAGCTTGTTGGTATCGAGAGTGTGAAGTGTTTTGACATATGGCTGGGTCTATTGAGAAACCGGTTAGGAACGAAGCTAGTGGCGCTTCAGCAAGGAATAAAGTGGCTGATAGATGGAAGAATATAGATTACAAGAAGTTAGGTGAAGATATAGCTGGGGCAGACAATGGAATTAAGGCTGAGAGATCTAGTACTAAGTTGAAAAAAGACAAGAATCAAGGTGAGGACGATGTTGTGGTAATTGATTCGGACTCAGAAACCGGATCTCAGAGTGATACCGATACCGAAGTGTTAATAGTGAAGGAATCTGTACCGTCTTCTTCATCTGTGAGGGACAGGAAACTACATGACACTGGGAAAGTGAAGGTTGATTCAATCTTATATGAATCTGATTATTGTTTTAAATTGATAAAATCAACTGTATTTGATACTAACTATGAGACATTGTCTAATGATCAAAAATCTCATTTTATTACTATGGATGATATCTTTAATGACCCGATGCTTAGTTCAACAGTCTTATTCAGTTATCAATATAACATGGACTATCTTTTATCGTGTTTCCATCCGAATTTAGACGATATAACAATAGTGATGCAAACAGGTTGTATCTTACCATTAAGTAAAGACGCACCAGACGCATTACATCTATTAAACAATAGAATCAAATTTGTTGAAATTGATATGCCACCTTATTCGTCTCATCATTCAAAGATGATATTGAATTTTTATTCGGATAAATCAATGAGAATATTCATACCTTCGAATAATTTTACAGAAGCGGAAATCACTTATCCACAACAAGTTTGTTGGTGTAGTCCCAAATTAAGAACTTTAACTGATGAAAATATTGCTAAAAAATCAAATAGAATAAGTTTTCTTAATGAATTGGTAGAATATATTTTTCGTTACCCACAAGACCATTTCACTAAAAGACTTGTCAATAATATTAAAAATCACGATTTTTCATTATTAGGTGGGTTGCATTTCTTATTTTCTACACCCAAACGTTTTCGACGTATGTGCACCATTGAGGATAAGCAAGGTGATGATGAACAATCTGGGTTAATCAAGTTTGCTTCAGCGGTACACGATATAGAAAAGAAATTTACTGAGAAAAATAGGAATGAACAAATTCATTATTTAGTGCAAACTTCATCGATAGGTACTAAGATACTACAAAGAAAACATATGTTTACAGGATACATGATTCCAGAACTATCAAATACTGTGACCTATTCAAATAATATTCATGGACATATACTATACCCAACATTACAAGAAGTTTGCAATTCTCCTGCATCTTTATTATCTGGTGGATGGTTTCATTTCAATTATGATGAATCTAGTGAGCCTTATAAATCGATGAAGCAAAAAAAAATATTTGTTAAGCAGGATCCAATTGCTACTTCATTACAGAGAAGAGCCACTCCATCGCATTCAAAATTTTATATGAAATGGACATCCAAGGATGAAAATGATGTTTCCGTTCCAAAGGATTCTGTGGATTGGTGCCTTTATACATCTGGAAATTTAAGTAATGCAGCTTGGGGTACTAATAGGACCAATGCTACCAATTTCGAAGTGGGTATTTTAATACCTGGTCCAATTAAAATATTCTCATTTGTTGATTTGATATACAAAGCCACCGAAGGAACAAGATTAGGAAATTCTGAAGATCAGGGATCTCAAATCACAAGAGATGTGACAAAAAGTGCAGTCATCGTTCCATTTCCAAAGTCTCTGGTGCTTTACTCTGGTAACGATAAACCTACAAATGTGAAGTTACTGGATCGTATCCGGGATACAGCACTACGATTACAACAAGAAGAAGATGCCGTACGTGGGTCAGGAAACTGAAAAATATCATGTTCTATTTACCTCTCACATATTTATTTGATCAGTGAAATTTGCTGAAACAAACGAAAAACTATGGTGCTGTATTGCATATTAACATCTTGTATGTGACTTCATATTGTTGTTGTAAGTGTTTGAGTCTTTCGGGCCGAAAACACATTTTTGAAATTTGGTAAATGTCCACGATAATCGCGCTGGGCCGAAAGAGATCGTTTTTTTTAGCTCCTAATTGCCCAAAAATGAAACTGTTTCTTATATAAATAAGATGAGGTAAAGTGAAAAATTTCTTAATGGTTTTCTCTTTTGAATTGGTTTAAAGTAAATTTAGTTTTCTTAAATAAAATTCTTCCATAATAAATACATATAATAGGAACCGTCAGTCGAAAAGTCAAAAATAAAAACATTATTATCCATTTACTATGTCGGTGACTAATACTGCTTCCTTTAATGATACATTCAAAGTCTCAGACAACGTAGCGGTTGTTATCCCAGATAGCAACATCGAGGTTACTTACCGTGAATTGGCCAATATGGTTGGTCATTTTCAAAATATGTTCAACAATATGGACTCACCTCTATACGGTAAAGTCATTAGACAATCAACGGTAGCAATTTCTATGCCAAATTGTTTGGAATTTGTTGTTGCTTTCTTAGGGGCCACTATGGATGCTAAGATTGGTGCACCATTGAATCCTAACTATAAAGAAAAAGAATTTGATTTTTATTTAAACGATTTACAATCACAAGTTATTTGTGTTCCAAAGGGTACAGTGAAAATGGCACCAAAGTCAGAAATATTGAAATCTGCTAAGAAATTCAATTCTTATATTGCTGAATTATACTTCAATGAAGCTAGATTTAGAATTGAATATGATATTTATGAACCAAAGGATGGCTACAACAAGAAGGTATACTCTTCGTTAGATGGCGCCAAATATTTACTTGGTCCAAATGTGACTAAATTCCCAGGTTTTGCTCGTTCCAGTGATATTGCAATGATTTTACATACAAGTGGTACAACTTCTACTCCAAAGACTGTTCCATTATTACATTTGAATATCGTTAGAAGTACTTTGAATATCTCTAATACTTATAAATTATCTCCATCGGATAGATCTTACATTGTGATGCCTTTGTTCCATGTTCATGGTCTAATTGGTGTCCTATTGTCAACATTCCGTACTCAGGGATCCGTAGTGATCCCTCCAAGATTCTCTCCTAAGAGATTCTGGAAAGATTTTGTGAATCATCGTTGTAACTGGTTTAGTTGTGTCCCTACAATCAGTATGATCATGTTAAATGTTCCTAGACCACAACCAATGCCTCAAATTAGATTTATTAGATCTTGTTCTTCTGCTTTAGCACCAGCTACTTTCCACAAGTTAGAGTCAGAATTCAATGCACCTGTTTTAGAGGCGTATGCTATGACTGAAGCTGCACATCAAATGACTTCAAATAATCTTCCACCAGGAAAGAGAATACCAGGTACTGTGGGACAACCTCAAGGTGTGGAACTCGTTATCTTAGACGATGAAGATAATGTATTACCACAAGGTGATATTGGTGAAGTTTCAATTAGAGGTGAAAATGTCACACCAGGTTACAGAAACAATGACAAAGCAAATCGTGAAAATTTTACAAGATTAAAGAACTATTTCAGAACTGGTGATCAAGGTTATATCAATCCTGAAGGATTTTTGGTCCTTACTGGTAGAATTAAAGAACTGATTAACAGAGGTGGTGAAAAGATCTCTCCAATTGAACTTGATAGTATCATGCTTTCAAATCCAAAGATTGATGAAGCTGTATCATTTGGTGTACCTGATGAAATGTACGGTCAAGTTGTTCAGGCCGGTATTGTCTTAAGACAAGGCCAAACAATGTCATATGAAGAACTTGTTAAATTTTTGAGCGATAAAGTTGCAAAGTTTAAGATCCCAGTGAAGGTTTATTTTGTTGAAAAGTTACCAAAAACTGCAACAGGGAAGATTCAAAGACGTATTATTGCTGAAACATTCACTCGCTCTTCAGAAAAGAAGAGCAAATTGTAAGGAAAGAATATATAATTTGTATATACCTATTTTTACGATAAAAATAACATTATTGTAGAGTTATAATTTGTCACTTTTGATTTTTTGTTTACAAAGGTTTGAGTGTTTGACAGTTTAGTGATTGGTACTAAACTTTAAAAAATTTTAACTTTTGAAAATAAGATAATAAACTAACTAAAAAAGAAATTTTGCAAGGTTAATGAACTAACATAATAAGATAGAAATTATGTACATTCATTCTTGATACTGTTGTTAGTACATCTATACACAAGACAGTAGTCACTAATAACTTATACTGTTTCTACGTGGAAAAAGCGAAATCCACGTAGAAACATGTATTTCCATTTACTTTCGCAAGAGGGTAACATAAGTAACAATTGCAGTCACTCGACAAATGGAGAACGGCTCCTTGCCATAACGATTCCCCAGTTTTGAAAACTGGAGAATCACCAATCCAATGTCTGTAAATTACAATTGGAACAACAACATCCATGAGCAGGGTGACCTTCCAAAATTGAAGGTCGGGAAATATTTTGTATGGCAGAATTCATTTTCCAAAATTTGGGTTCAGTTTTGTGTCACTTCCAGATCACTTTTCAATTGTCAATTGGGACGACATAGGATGTGGACCCCCCATCGAAAGTCAGCAAAAAATGTCAATTTGCCTCGTTGTTTGTCGCCTTCAAGAGGTATTTTAAAGTGTGATTGCACTGGTAAAAAACCCCAGTTTTGGAGGTTTAATGGTCACAATTCTTACGACTTTGGGTTACTCACTTTCCACGATCCTCATTTCATGCTGCTTTCACCTGTTGATCAGGGTTACGTTTCAAAATTGAAGCTCGGGAAGTATTTTGTATGACAGAATTCATTTTAGGAATTCTTTGGATTCCAATTTGTGTCACCCGGAATTTCATTACTGACAAAGAGACCGATTTGCATAACTGACATTATGTTGAATCGATCGAGATGTGCTTTCAAGTTTCAAGAAACAAAAATGTTCTAATTTTGAGAATGTTTTTTCGCCTTGACAGCTCAAAGTTTGGTGTGAAAGTGCTTGTTAAAAACCCTACCTTTTTTGATTTTTAATTTTCCTTTCGGTTTGTAGCTCTATAAAAAAGCTATTTTAATTCTTAAAATGTTCTTGGAATTTTTATCTGAAGACTATACATATAAATTACTTTTTTTGGCTCAATAATAAAAACTATGAAGTACTTGGAATAATGTATTGGGAGATGTGTCATAGTTTAGTCATGTCATAATATAAACATTAGTTTTTACTATCTTATTTGAAAAAAAATTCTAAGACAGTATTTATACACATTAAAAACAAAAATATTGTAAGTAGTTCGTATAACTAAACATTTTTCACTATTTCCCATAAGTGAGCCAAACTATTTATGTTTTAAGACTGTTTTGGTTCATTATACATTAAACGACAGTAGTCTATTGTATACATGTGAGTACCCACATTTTTTTGACCTTAAATATTTTAACATAAAGAGAATTGAGATTCAATTGATATATATCATATATATGAATTAAAATTAAGGTCTTAAACTCCTTATCAATTTGTAATTTAATTTGTAAATAGTGTGTGTCACTGTTGCCATGGTTAAATTTCACCATACTTAAGAACAAAACTCTGTTTTCCTTCTATATAAACTAAATTTTCGCCGTGCTGTAGTATGTGCCAAATAAAAACCAAAAGAACAAAATAAACAGCGAAAGAAAGAAATAATTTTTTTTTATTTTTTGGTTTTGGGAAAAGGGCGAGAAAAGGAAGGGGGGGGGAGAAGTAAGCCATTTAGAAGAACAACCATAGATACATAACTTGCCAATCGATTGAAGGTAACAAACAGTAACAGTACTCTAAGTTACGTTGAATTGCCATTGAAATAGAAAATAAAATTTGAGAACTTATATCAGAAAAACGATTTGTCAATTGAGGAAGAAAGAAAGAAACCTACTGGTCAATTCTAAGAAAACACACAGAGTATAAACAAATAACTTATCAAAACAACATTAAAATGATGTCATTTAAAGTACCATTTATTAAAAAGGTAGTCCAAAGCGGTACCACTCTAACCTCTCCTATGAGACAATCATTACCATCCAGGATTATATCATGTAGAATGGCATCCTCGAAGACAACAATGACCGTCAGGGATGCATTGAACTCGGCCATGGCAGAAGAATTGGATCGTGATGATGATGTGTTTATCATTGGTGAAGAAGTGGCACAATATAATGGTGCCTACAAAGTAACAAAGGGTCTATTGGATCGTTTTGGAGAACGTCGTGTTGTTGATACACCAATTACAGAATATGGGTTTACAGGTTTAGCAGTTGGTGCAGCTTTAAAAGGTTTAAAACCAATTGTTGAGTTTATGTCGTTCAATTTCTCTATGCAAGCAATGGATCATATTGTTAATTCTGCTGCGAAGACACATTATATGTCTGGTGGTACTCAAAAATGTCAAATTACATTCCGTGGTACTAATGGGTCTGCTGTTGGTGTTGCAGCACAACATTCTCAAGATTATTCTGCATGGTATGGTTCCATTCCAGGTTTGAAAGTGTTAGTGCCGTATTCTGCTGAAGATGCTCGTGGTTTATTAAAAGCAGCCATTAGAGATCCTAACCCAGTTGTATTCCTAGAGAATGAATTATTATATGGTGAATCCTTTGAAGTCTCTGAAGAAGCTTTATCTCCAGATTTTACATTACCTTACAAGGCTAAGGTTGAACGTGAAGGTAAAGACGTCTCCATTGTTACATACACTCGTAATGTTCAATTTTCATTAGAAGCCGCTGAGATTCTTGAAAAAGAACACGGTATCTCTGCTGAAGTGATTAATTTACGTTCTATTCGTCCATTAGATGTTGAAGCTATCATTAAGACTGTTAAGAAGACCAATCATTTGGTTACTGTTGAATCTACATTCCCATCGTTTGGTGTTGGTTCTGAAATCGTTGCACAAGTAATGGAATCTGATGCATTTGATTATTTGGATGCTCCTGTTAAAAGAGTTACAGGTGCAGATGTTCCAACTCCTTATGCTAAAGAATTGGAAGATTTTGCATTCCCAGATGCTCCAACTATCGTGAGAGCCGTCAAAGATATTCTATCTGTCGAGTAATATATAACATAAATATTTTTCTTCTCTTTATATTCCGAACACAAGCAAAGAAATAGTCTATTCTTAGCTAGAGCAAATAAACAAATAAAAAAATTAAATAAATAAAAATTATTTTGTAAATAATAATATTACTATTCTAAAATCTATACTTCATCTGTAAGAATAATAATATCATTACATTTTAGCCATATTAGTTAAAAAAACTTACTAGCATATCACACCATGAACATAAAAACCCTATCTACATGTTAACATTAATAATCGCAGTACGTACAAATGAACGAGCCAACAGAAATAAATAAAGAAGTGAGCATTCACACTAAATCTTCGAACAATTCGTTAAAGCGCGTGAAATTAGAGGCGTAACACGTAACAAAGAAAATAAAGTGAAAAATAATGAAACAATAGATGCCTCAATCTTTTATAAGTTTCAAACTCATCGAAAGATCAGCCATCTTATCCATATATTTTTCGTTTTGAATTGTTTTGCAAAATTGCTAGTCACATATATAGACATATATTGCTTATACTTGTAATAATAATATTTGATTGACATCTAATACAAGATAGCAACAAAGATTAAAGATACCGATATTCCCTCGACAATATGGCATCGGCAAGGAATTTGGCCAAACATGATCTACCACAATTCTATTTACTAGTGGTTTTATATTTTGTTCAAGGTATTCCTGTTGGATTAGCCTTTGGTACGATTCCATTTCTGTTAAAATCCATGTCAAAGACAATGTCATTTACATCATTAGGTTTATTTTCAATGGCTACATATCCATATTCATTAAAGATTCTATGGTCACCAATTGTTGATTCCTGTTATAGTCATCGTATTGGTCGTCGTAGATCATGGATTATACCTATTCAATGCATCAGTGGTATAGTTTTATGGGTGTTAGGACAGGCTGTTTCAAAAGGTATAGTATTTCCAGGTGTTGATGCATCATTTGTTAATAATAATAATAGCAGTAATGGTATAGTACCAACTACTGAAAATTTTAATAATGAAATTGATGTGTTTTCATTGACAATATTATTTGGTTCTTTAGTATTTTTATGTGCCACTCAAGATATTGCAGTTGATGGTTGGGCATTAACAATATTATCAAGAGATTCATTATCATATGCTTCAACTGCACAAACTGTTGGTTTAAATATTGGTTATTTTTTATCATTTACAGTATTTTTAGCATTCAATTCTGCAGATTTTGCAAATAAATATTTAAGATCACAAAATACTCCAACGATTAATCATGGATTAATTTCATTAGGTGGATATCTTCAATTTGCCGGTATAATATATCTAATTGTTACATTATATGTTGCATTATTTGTTACAGAACATCCAGGTCGTTCAAATTATAATAAAAGAGTCCAAAGGGGCGGATTACCATCGACAACAAATGATCTAATACAACCACAATATAATGATGAGGATGAAAATGATAAGGATAAGACAAAGAGTATTAGTTATATTTATAAATGCTTTTGGCAAGTATTAAGATTACCAGCTGTACAAACACTTGTTGGAGTTCATTTAGTATCCAAAATTGCATTCCAATGTAATGAAGCTGTTACAAATTTGAAATTATTAGAAAAAGGATTTCGTCGTGAAGATTTAGCTGTTAGTGTATTAATTGATGTACCATTTGAAATTATATTTGGTTATTATGTTGCTAAATGGTCAAGTGATTCCAATGATTCAAACAAATTAATTAAGGATGAATCAATTGAAATTAATGAAATTCAAAAAAATTCTCAGAATGAACATTTATCAAATCATGGTGCAAGACTTAGAGATATTCAATATAAGAAACTTTCCACTTTCAAAAGATTTCAAAATTTTCTACTTGGTGGTAATGTTGGTGTATTAACACCATGGTTATATGGTTATTTAGGTAGATTAATTGCTGCAATGTTAGGTAGTATAATTGTATTAACATTTCCAAAATCTGGTCAAGTGACAAAACCATATTTCTTAATGATAATTATTCAACATTTATTAGGTTCATTCATGAATACAGTTCAATTTGTTGGTATTTCATCATTTCATACAAGAATTGCAGATCCTATACTTGGTGGTACTTATATGACTTTACTTAATACAGTTAGTAATTTTGGTGGTACATGGCCACGTTTAATTGTTATGTATTTTGTTAATTGGTTTACATTATATCGTTGTCATGATGGTACTTTTGTAAGAGGAACACCTGATCAATGTCCCATTAATGATGATACTGTACTATTATATAGGGACGGTTATTATATGGCAAATGGATTATGTATTTGCCTGGGTATTATTATATATATTATGGTGATTAGACCCAATGCTCAAAAATTACAACGTTTACCATTAAGTAGTTGGCGTTGTCGTTTGGATTGATAAACAATTATTGTTACTATTCCCAAATGCACTTAAAATGGAAATTAGCCGCGAGAACCCCTTCCTCTCTCCCAATATATTAATACATATAATATGATATAATATAAACAGGAACTCTTTAATTTTTGATTATATACACATATAAAACGTATGCTAGATGCTACTGTATTAATATTATCACGTGTATCTAGAACATCACCATTACGCTATATGTGTATATATAGTATAAGTTACGTCACTCCTTCTATGATAGCGTTAATAATGATGTCAAATATATAATGTCACGCATTTCCTTTAAAGATTCATTTTTTAGATAAGAATTTTATCCTAGTGGTTCCATCTATCTATCTGTGAGTGTGAGTGTGACCAAGTGATAAAAATTTATATGGGTGAGTGAGTGGAGTTCTGTAGACACAGTTTTTTGTCAAATTCCTCGCGTTCGGCCGTTCTGCCGAGATTTTCCCCAAAAAATACCTATTGTAATATTTGCGGTCATCCGAATTTAAATTAATTTATATTTTTGGGAAAAATGCCGGATGACCGGCGATTCCCGGAATACGTATAAACTGTTTTTTAATGAAAAAAAAAGAGAGAAAGACTTCGTCGGTAATTATTATCCGAAACTAAATATTAAGAAACGTGTAGAGAGAGAGAGAGAGAGAGAGAGAGAGAGTGGTTCTCGATTAAATAAAATCGATTTTTTATAAGGTCTAATTACTTACTACGTATTTGAGTGTTAAGATAGAAGAAGAAGAAGAAGAAGAAGAGAGCTGTGGTTGTTGTTGTTAGTGATGGAACTTTTGCCGCCGTTAAATTATTTAGTTTTGACTAAGTTTTGATTGGTTCATAATTTTTTATTAGATTTAACTGTAGTTTAAAATATATAATTAAATCATATATATACTTTTAAAAGTCATCTTTAATTGAATATAATAAAAATATAATAATTATTTCTTTCTCTTAATATCTTTTTGTTGTCTTTCTGTTCTCTTTGAAGTAGTATCCCTTTTGTTTAAATAAATTAGTCATAGTTACAGGAATTTTTTTTTTTAAGAAAAAAGAGATACGTTTTTCATTCTTCTTCCTGAATTTCTGATATATCTTTCTTTTTTTTGAATTCGCTTCACTCTGTAAATATCTACAAACAAGTGAAATAATTGAAATTTAAAATCTTCAATCTTTCGAAAAATTAATTGGTATAGACATATATTTATTTATTTTTTTTTAGTCCACCGGCTCAAAACAAGGAGAAAGAGAAAATATTAGTTTTTTATAATTTTAAAAGAGGTCAATTCATTTCACTTTTTTTTCTTTTGAATTTAAACTACATATATAACAAAAAGAAAGAACAATTTTTTCAATATTTTTTTTCATTAATTTTGCTTATTTTTAATAAACAAATCAAATCAAACCAAAACACACCATTTTACTTTTTTAACTAGATTCAATTGCAATGGCTAGTAAAAATTTACAAGGTTTAAGAGATAATTTCTCTTTACTTGGTGAAAAAAATAAAGTTTTAGTAGCAAATAGAGGTGAAATCCCAATTAGAATCTTCAGATCCGCTCATGAATTATCTATGCGTACCGTAGCTATTTATTCTCATGAAGATCGTTTAGCTACTCATAGATTAAAAGCTGATGAAGCTTATGTTATTGGTGAAAAAGGTGAATATACTCCAGTTGGTGCATATCTAGCAATTGATGAAATTATTGATATTGCTAAAAAACATAACGTTGATTTTATTCATCCAGGTTATGGGTTTTTATCAGAAAATTCAGAATTTGCATCAAAAGTTGCTCAAGCTGGTATTACTTGGATTGGTCCACCATCAACTGTTATCGATTCTGTTGGTGATAAAGTTTCTGCAAGAAATTTAGCTGGTAAAGCTAATGTTCCTGTTGTTCCAGGTACTCCAGGTCCAATTGAATCCGTTGAAGAAGCTTTAGAATTTGTTAAAGAATATGGTTATCCTGTTATTATTAAAGCTGCATTTGGTGGTGGTGGTAGAGGTATGAGAGTTGTTAGAGAAGGTGATGATGTTGCAGATGCTTTTCAACGTGCAACATCTGAAGCTAAAACAGCTTTCGGTAATGGTACATGTTTCGTTGAAAGATTTTTAAATAAACCAAAGCATATCGAAGTTCAATTATTAGCTGATAATTATGGTAATGTTGTTCATTTATTCGAAAGAGATTGTTCTGTACAAAGAAGACATCAAAAAGTCGTTGAAGTTGCACCAGCAAAAACTTTACCAATTGATGTTAGAAATGCAATTTTAACAGATGCTGTTAAATTAGCAAAAGAAGCAGGCTATAGAAATGCAGGTACAGCAGAATTTTTAGTTGATGATCAAAATAGACATTATTTTATTGAAATTAATCCAAGAATTCAAGTTGAACATACAATTACCGAAGAAATTACAGGTATTGATGTTGTTGCCGCACAAATTCAAATTGCAGCAGGTGCATCATTACCACAATTAGGTTTATTACAAGATAAAATCACTACAAGAGGTTTTGCCATTCAATGTCGTATTACAACAGAAGATCCATCAAAAAATTTCCAACCTGATACAGGTAGATTAGAAGTTTATAGATCATCTGGTGGTAATGGTGTTAGATTAGATGGTGGTAATGCTTATGCAGGTGCAGTTATTTCTCCACATTATGATTCCATGTTAGTTAAATGTACTTGTTCTGGTTCAACTTATGAAATTGTTCGTCGTAAAATGATTCGTTCTCTAATTGAATTTAGAATTAGAGGTGTTAAGACTAATATACCATTTTTATTAACTCTATTAACTCATCCTGTTTTTATTAGTGGTGAATATTGGACAACTTATATTGATGATACTCCACAATTATTCCATATGGTTGCATCACAAAATAGAGCTCAAAAATTATTACATTATTTAGCTGATTTAGCTGTTAATGGTTCTTCAATTAAAGGTCAAATTGGTTTACCAAAATTAAAGAAAAACCCAGATATTCCACATATTCATGATGCTGAAGGAAACTTAATTAATGTTACTACACCACCACCAAGTGGTTGGAGACAAGTATTATTACAAGAAGGTCCAGAAGAATTCGCTAAACAAGTTAGAAATTATAATGGTACTTTATTAATGGATACTACTTGGAGAGATGCTCATCAATCTTTATTAGCTACAAGAGTAAGAACTATCGATTTAGCTGCTATTGCTCCAACTACTGCTCATGCTTTATCTGGTGCTTTTGCCTTAGAATGTTGGGGTGGTGCTACCTTTGATGTTGCTATGAGATTCTTACATGAAGACCCATGGGAACGTTTAAGAACTCTAAGAAAATTAGTTCCAAATATTCCTTTCCAAATGTTATTAAGAGGTGCTAATGGTGTTGCTTATTCTTCTTTACCAGATAATGCTATTGATCATTTCGTTAAACAAGCCAAGGATAATGGTGTTGATATTTTCAGAGTCTTCGATGCTTTAAACGATTTAGATCAATTAAAGGTTGGTGTCGATGCTGTTAAGAAAGCTGGTGGTGTCGTCGAAGCTACTATTTGTTACTCTGGTGATATGTTACAACCTGGTAAAAAATACAACCTGGATTACTACTTAGAAATCACTGAAAAGATTGTTGCCATGGGTACTCATATTCTTGGTATTAAAGATATGGCAGGTACTTTAAAACCAGCTGCTGCTAAATTATTAATTGGTTCTCTAAGAGCCAAATATCCAAACTTACCAATCCATGTTCATTCTCATGATTCTGCTGGTACTGCAGTTGCCTCAATGGCACAATGTGCTTTAGCCGGTGCAGATGTTGTTGATGTTGCCATCAACTCCATGTCTGGTATGACTTCTCAAGCTTCTATCAACGCTTTATTGGCTTCCTTAGATGGCTTAGTTGAAACTGGTGTCTCTGAACAAAATGCTCGTGAACTAGATGCTTATTGGGCTGAAATGAGATTATTATACTCATGTTTCGAAGCTGACTTAAAGGGTCCAGATCCAGAAGTTTACGAACACGAAATTCCAGGTGGTCAATTAACCAACCTATTATTCCAAGCTCAACAATTAGGTCTAGGTGAACAATGGGCTGAAACTAAGAGAGCCTACAGAGAAGCTAATCATCTATTAGGTGATATTGTTAAGGTTACTCCAACTTCTAAGGTTGTTGGTGATCTAGCTCAATTCATGGTAACTAATAAATTGAATTCTGATGATGTTAAACGTTTAGCTAATACTTTAGATTTCCCAGATTCAATTATGGATTTCTTCGAAGGTTTAATTGGTCAACCATACGGTGGTTTCCCAGAACCATTAAGATCTGATGTCTTAAGAAACAAGAGAAGAAAGTTAACTACTCGTCCAGGTCTAGAATTGGCTCCATTCGATCTAGCTTCCATCAAGGAAGATCTAGAGACTAGATTCGGTGATATTTCTGAATGCGATGTTGCCTCTTATAACATGTATCCAAAGGTTTACGAAGATTTCCAAAAGATGAGAGAATTGTACGGTGATTTATCTGTACTACCAACCAAGAATTTCTTAGCTCCAGCCGTCATCGATGAAGAAATTGAAGTTACTATTGAACAAGGTAAGACTCTAATTATGAAACTACAAGCTATTGGTGACTTAAACAAAGAAACAGGTACAAGAGAAGTTTACTTTGAATTGAATGGTGAATTGAGAAAGATTCGTGTCAATGATAACTCTCAACAAGTACAGACCATCTCTAAGCCAAAGGCTGACAACCATGACCCATTACAAATTGGTGCTCCAATGGCTGGTGTTATTGTTGAAGTTAAAGTCCACAAGGGTTCTTTAGTTAAGAAGGGTCAACCAGTTGCTGTCCTAAGTGCCATGAAGATGGAGATGGTTATCTCTTCTTCTGCTGCTGGTTTAGTCAAGGAAGTTCTAGTTAACAACGACGAAAATGTGGAAGCATCCGACCTATTGGTCGTCTTGGAAGAAGAAGTTCCAGCTGAGAAGAAAGAGTAGAATTTCCATTAATACCAAATATGTCACTTCCTATCATTGTACAAAATAAGACATTTGGAATTGGAAGTTTCCTTTCTATCTACATTCAAATAAATATGTATAATTCTTTTTATGTCAAACTTTTTAATTTAATTTAATAAAAAACAATATAATATAATATCATTTACGAAATACTTAATATTTTATGTACAATTTTTTAACCAAATGCTACGGAACCACAATAACTAACTATTAATTCATCATTAACCTTAAATTGTTGCCATAAATCTCCTATTATCTGTTGTGGACTCGGTGCAAATGAGTTATTGATATAGCAATAAATATTCTGTATTTTTAATTTCTTCTTAAGAAATGCTAGAATCATTGAAAATGGTTGTCCCTGTGATATTTTAAACACAGAGGGTACCATTCCAGCAATTGATCCAATAGGTATAAACTTAATTTTTATTTTCTCTAAGGATTTTTCATCATTTGGTAAAATTTGAGGGTTACTTGTAATAAGTTCACTATCTGAACTTAAGGAACTGTCTTCTTTCTCACCACCTAGGCCAACTTGTGAAAGTTTTCTTGTATAATGCTCTAATTTCCGTTCCATAGTAAGAGAAGGAGAATTATCGATAATACTTAATTGATGAGTACCATCTCTAATAGATTCTGATCTAGAAAGTTGAGAGATTGTAGTAGATCTGGAAGAATCATCATTATCAGTATCACTCTCGCTTGTTATTATTCTACTCATATTTTTCTAATTTAAGGGGAGATAAGAGAGATCTATAGCAATTATTTAGACACTCATTATTTCACTAATCTATTTCTTTGAGAAAAATGATCTTGTCACTTATTCACATAAAATATACTTTACCTTAACAAGAATTCAAGTGATGAAGTACCATTAACTTCTAACATCTAACCTACCAATAACTATACTTACTATATTCATGGTGATGATTTAAGTCAAAAATTGAAATTTTTTGGTTTTCTTTTTTTTTTTGGGTTGAAATTCCAGTATTTCGCATTCTGAAAATAGTAATCACCATAATAAAGAGGAGCCCGAAATAACTTTGGTTGAACAACTGATAAAATTTGTAAATTTAAATTGAATTGTGAGCAACTAGAAAAAGTAAGGTAAATAACCACATTATATAATTATAGCTCCCTTTTTTTATTTTGGTTATTTGTTATATACATACTATACATAGCCTTAGAAATTAATTAACAAATTGAAAAGAAAGATACCGCTATTTGCAAAACAGGGGACATGTTGAATATCAAGAGAATATGTAACGAGCTACAGGAGGCCTTTGAATCCGATGATAGCGATCCAGTTGCTATCATGACTTTAATTGAAATCTTTATTGATAAAGTTAATGTCAAATCTGTTCCATTCGTTCAAAAGAGATTATTTCTTTTAACTTTACTAGAATTATTAGAAAACCATAAGGATATTTTAGCCCAAATTGGTTGGGATTTACCATTCCAATTAATGAAATTTCTGAACAAGGATAACGTAGATATACGCGGATCTATACGTTATGATCAGATTGCTACTGCCATTATTCTCGGTTTTAATGCAATTGCTCTTGGTGGTTTACCAAAGGAAACTTTGGATACTGGTTGTGAATTGCTAGCCTCCTTGAACTACGATGAGGAAGTAGCTAAGTTTGAAGAAGATGAATCTGAACAAGAGAAGAAGGTGGGTGAAGATGATGATGAGGAAGATGATGAGTATCAAATCGATACAGATGATGAGGCTGATGAGGACTCAGGTCGTCAATCACTAAACTACGACAGAGTCCCGGGTGATTATTTTATTGGTTTTAAAGTCTATATTCTATTTGAAATGATTGGCGCCACATTAAAACGTATTAGTACTTTGTATCCATCAAAATATTTGAGTCTAGTTGTAACTGCAACCGAAAATATGCTTCTACATACAGCTGATCAAATGCAGGATCCTAATTTATTAATGCGTCGTATCCATAGTTTCTGTGCATTCTATGTTCCATTAGAGGTTCCAAAAGATGTATTGGCAAAAGTAGGTACCAAAGAAGAAGGTGCTTTAACTCAAGAACAATTAGATGAAATAGTTAAAAATGAAAAGGACTTACAAGTGAAATTATTAAGAAGGTTAAGTACTGTCTCTGTATCCAATTGTTTGAGACGTGCAGGAATGTTGAGTGAAATAAAATATTTCTGTAAAGTAAGTGGAGTTCCATATCATACCATGACTTTCTATGAATCCTTGTTCGATTGTCAAAGTAGATTTTACAATTTTGCTCTGTCGGTCGATGTTGATATAAAAGAAGAATTTATCAATTGTTTGAAAGAAGCTAAAAGGGTGTATCAAGCTTTACCACCAGATGAAGAAATAACTTCAGCTGATGCACGAGACGCTATCTCTGAAGTAGTATTCAAACTATCTTATTCATATGCGTTGCAGAAAATGGTCCACGGAAAGAAATTGTCCATGGCACCAGAAGGTATTGTATCCCTTTCTGGTATCCATTACATGGAATATGGCGAACATTTATTACCAGAGATATCGCTAGACGATGCCGTATTTTTATATTTAAATTTTACAACAAGATCATTTTTCTCTCCCCTTTATAACAATTTGAACGTGGAAAGTACCAGTCGTTATTGGTTATGGGTAAGCTTAACTCATAACTCCTACTCAGCACTAAAAGAACAAATATCAAGAGTTCAACCTTATGTTATTGAAGTACTACTAAAAACATTACTATTAAAAAATTGTTTGGAAAGTAATGCACAATTGAGAATGATCAATTTTACATTAATGACCCGTATTCTTTGTTTGATTAAGGAAGAACTGGCATTTTCGTTCATCACAAAAACTTTGAAGAAATTCCCATATCCTCATGGTAAATCGGCTGCTTTAGTGATGCTAAGTGACCTTATAATGAAAGCTAGATCAAAAAGCGAAAAGGTTACAACTATTGATGGAAAGAAGAGAAAGGAAGAACGAAATGGTACAGATGAATTAACAGATAAAATGAAATCCCTTGATATTGATGAAATTCCTTTTATTCAATTAAATGAGGAAAGAATGCAAATAATAAATGATTTAGCCCTCGATGCTATAAAAGTTGCAATTGCTTCTGATCGTAAGCAAACAGATATCAACCTAGTAACCAATTATTCAGATTTTATGAAATCAGTGAAGAGTAAGTGGGACAAGAAATTATTGGTATTGTTCGAAAAGGACCTTGAGTCTGCTTTGGCCACCTTAGAGAAAGAAAAATAATGTGTAAATAAGGAATAATTATTCGTTCTATGTCATATATCATTAACTTTTTATGTACTATATATAGATTTTTTTGAAAATTTATACATCTTTTAAGATAGTCCATTTTTTTGACACTATAACAGACATATACATATGTATACTTCTCAGTTTTATTTTTTTATACCACCTCTCTTCATTGTACCATCTGCTCTTTCAAAGCTGGCTGATTGTCCTTTTGCTATCAATGGTCCAAAAAATACAAAGAACCCATCCTTTGTCGAAGCACGTTGTTCTTCCCATAACATTTCAGAATCGTCAATGAATGGATCTTCAAAATCATATTTACCAATAAGGTTTTTACCCTTCATAGGATGCGCTTTTTTCTTAGGCTGTTCTTCTGTCAAACCGATATCTTCGTTATTCTCCATATCTTCATCGTCATCTATATCTGTGGTTCCTTCCTTTGCCTCTGCTTCTTCATCAAATAATCTTTTACGTTTTAATTCCATCTCACTTTTGGGATCAAGCTTTGGTTCATTTTCCTTTAATATTTTAAATAAATTAAATGTGACAGTTCCGTTCTCATCAAGATACTCGTTCGATGATGAAGAATAAAGTGGAATATTAACAATGGATATTGCCGAATTTTTTTCATTATTTGGCTTAGGTTTGGATGGTATTGTAGAAAGAATACTTGGATTCGCAATAGTAGGAGGTGCGGCCAATTTTGATTGCTCTGGAAGAGCAGGTGTTGCTGTTGTAACTGATGTAGTGGCAGGACTGATTGCCGATTTTTTCTTATCATTATCCGTAGCCTTCTTAACAGTGCTCTTCTTCTTTATCGAGTCCAAAGAAGTTGCAGATTTCGATTTAGAAGCTTTGCTAGCACTTGGAGTCAAACTCTTCTTGGCGCTTGTGCTTGATGCTTGATTAGATCCTGACGTGGCAGAGTTACTCTTAGTTCTCTTCAAAGCAGGTTTATTTACGGTCACAGTCTTCTTTTTAGAAGTAGCTGTTGACTGCTCAGATCCGCTCGTTACTACCGTAGGCGATTTTTTTGCAGCTGGAGATGTAGTCGTCTTCTTTGGTGGTTTTGATATGTTAGTTTGAACAGTATTTTGTGTAGTAGACTTTGTGACCGTTAGGTCTCCTGGATTCGATAATAATTTTGAAATACTCGTCTTTGATGAAACTGAGGATACATCCTTTGGACTCAACTTAGGGCTCTCAATTTTTAACTCATCTGATGATAAAAGAGAAGATATTTTTACTTGTTTAATCTGAGAAGATGGATCTTTTACCTCTGCTCCAGTTGTAGAGGTTAAGGAAGCCTTTTTTGTCGTATCCTGCTTTGGTTTTGGTTTTGGTTTACTTCGTGGTTTTGATTTTTGTTTTACCTTTGTTTGGTTATCGCCATTTTTAGTCGTTGAGTTGTTTCCTACTGTTTCCAACAAAGGTTTTGTTACTGGGGAAGGTGAAAACGTTAGTGCTCCAGGCGATAAAGTTCTTGAATTATTCCTATTCATTGCTAATTCTTGTGCAATATTGGGCATTTTCTTTGATGTATCTGTTGTTTTCTTTGATGTATCTACTGTTTTCTTAGATTGTAAACTCGTTTGAGATGTTAGTATATGTGATTCAATTGCATTAGCAATAGGGTTGAATGCCACTGGTGAAGCCTGCTTAGAGACTGTCGATTTTGGAGAAGGGGCCTTTGGAGTAGGTATTTTAGATGGCCCATCGGTTGTATCATCGATTACTATGACTTTGAGGTGTTAGTATATTTGGTGATATAATATATTAAAAACATAAATAGATTCCTAATAATTCTAAAACATACTTTCTTGATCTGAGTTAGCCATATTCTGATATTGTTACTTTTGTCTTTCCTATTTCTCTTGTTTGTCTATTTGTTTATCTGTTTATCTGTTTGTTTACTTATTTAATCTCTTATATATTTATTTCCCTAGAAGCGATTTGAAATTTTTTTTTTAATTATCTTTAAAAACAGTTCTTAAACAGTTTTCTATTCTATTCATGATAAAGATATATATAAACATCTAATTAAATACAATATTTATAAAAATAAGAAACAGTTTAGAGTTGATGAAACATATTGAAAATGAATTTTTTTAAAATTGAATTTGTCTACACTGTAAAGACAGAAAAAAGGTTCTGTTGGGGAGCTTTTTTTATTTTCGTTAATCTTCTTATACAATACTACCTCTTTGTCTTCTTGCAGTTTGTGGATCTACTTGTGTGAATTCAGTTTGTCTTCTTGCGAATAGACTGATGATGTCAGTTAATGATACAACGCCGATAAGCTTACCTGTACGGTACTCTTTCTCGAACAAGTTAGGTGTGGAAGTAGCAGCAGCAGCAGCAGAGGCTGCTACACCTGATTGTGGAATTGTTGGTGCGATTGGATCATCAACTGCTGTCAATAGTGGTGAAGGTGATTTATTAGTATTTGGTCCATGTGAATGAGGATGAGAATGAGAATGAGAATGACCGTGTGGTATATGATGTGATTGTGGACCAGAGTTATCTCCAGTTTGAGATCCACCCTGTTGTTGTTGAGATTGGGATTCTTGAGATGATGATGAAGAAGAAGCTCCAATATTAGAGTTTTGGACTGATTCTGGTGGTTGAACAATCCATAATCTATGAGATCTTGTTGCTACTAATTTTGCTAAAGTTCTTGCTAAAGAAGAGTTTGGATAAACATGGAAAATTGGGAATGAATCTTTACCTGTCTCTAAACCTCTTGAATTTAAGATAATTGAAATAAAATGACGGCAAGTCTTGTGTAATAATGGATATTGTGATGTTCTTGTAACATGTTTCACATCTGTAACACTAATATTACCAATCAAATTATATTGATTATCAACGACTGCAATAGATGAGATTCTTTCCATAAACATCTTATATAGACCCATAATTAAAGGTTCTTCACCATTAATTGAAATAACACGAGATTGTCTTGAAGTTGGTTTTGCATTTGAATTTAATACACCAATTTTTAAATCTTGTAAAGTATAATTGAATAAAGATTCTAAGTTACGGAATTTTCTTGCATTATCCCAAAGATATTTAATTAAACGACGTTGAGATAAGATACCTTTAACTTTCGTCATTTCATTATTAGTAATAGCAACACGATGAACCCCTGAACCTAATATACCCATTACAGCAGATAAAGTTTCATCTTCTGCAATTTTAATAAATGGATTCTTTGGTGTTAATTTAACAATTTCACCAACTGGAACAGGTTTACCATTTTGACAATCATCCATAATTTGTTTATTTTCAATAGTAATTTTATTCAATACGAGTAATAAATATGAATTCAAATCATTATAATCAAAAGTTAAACAATTCATATCACCTGGGATTGTTTCAACAGGGATAGAATTTAAATGATGTTTAACTAATGTATTAAAACTTTCTTCAACAGATGCAGAAGCTGGAATAAAAATCAATTTTTTTGGTTCAATTAATTGAGATAATTTAATATATTGCCATTGTTGATTATGTTCTGTCGTAATAGTTTGAGAAGTCTTTTGAGAAGTTGTCTTTTCTAACGTTACAGCTTCAACTGCCGCAGTTTCATCATCTTCTTCAACGACTTGTTCATCGACACCACCCATTGAATAATTCTGGAAATTAATTGCTGGCGCACCAACATTAGAACCTGTCATATTAGAGGATCCTCCAGTGGCTACAGGTTGAACCAAAGGTGGAGTGGACAACATCTCTACGATGGATGCATGTCTGGAAACATTAGTCGAGTTTCCCTGGCTTGGAGTATTTAAATTTGAGTTGTTCTGATTCGACATATCGAAGTATCGGTAGTGATTTTAGTACAGATATATTTTGACTAATACGACACAACAAAAATACTCTAGTCTAACCTAACATCCAAAATCACGAACCAACGATCTCTCTCTATATATATATTTGTCAAACTCTCCAAGACTCTGAAAGTGAAACGTTCTCTCCTTTGTTGTTGATTCCTCTTAGTTTGCCTCCTCTTCCCCCCCTTTAATTTCCTCTCGCTTCCCCCACGAAATTTTGCGTGTTTCCCGCCCCTTCTTTTTGCGTGGGGCACGTTGAATGAATCTTTATGTAAGCTGAAAAATTATATATTTATTTGGATCAGCCAGAGCTATATATATACATATATATATATACATGTGAGAGAGAGAGAGAGTGTGTGTGTAACTGGCTATTTATTTACTGGGAATAGTCTTGCAATATCTGGTCACGGGTTGGGAAGTCGTTGTCTGTGAGTATGACTGGTGTGTCTGTTTGTAATGTTGCGTCGCGGTACATCTGTGTGAATAAATGAGTCAACTTATCTACATCCATAGTATGACAATAAGGCAGGCCGAATCTATCTGTAATTACTTTAACCCAATTCATACGAAATGCCACATCTTGTGGATTACAAGCAATGGTACGAACTCTGGATCTCAATTGTCCCAGTTTCTCAATGGCTAAATCAAGTTGTCCATCTTGTTCATTGTATCTCTGCTCGATATCATCTCGTAATATTGCACTAAAACGTGGACTTAATCCATTTGTAGAGACTAGTACTTGTAACTTACCCTGTGCTAACGTAGCATTTGCACCAAAATAGAAATTACATAATGGCGGAACATCTGCAACATTAATCATTTGTCCACATCCATATCTGCTTATCGCATCTTCATATATTTGTCTTGAGACTGCATGATCACTGATGCATACTAATATTAAAGACCATGCAGATTCTAATGAAAAATACTCTTGTTTATAAGTATCATTTACTACTCGATAAGCTTGTTGTAACTGACTATCCCAATTAGCATTTGTAATGGTTTGACCCAGGGGAATATTATTTGACCATTCTGGGGGAAACGTTTCTCGTATTTTGTTATGGAAACTTGGTGATATGATTGTTAATTTACAACCTGTAGGTAATAATTTTGGTATTCTTGTAACGGCAACATCTCCCGCACCAATTAATAAAACATGACGATTCTCAAGTCTATGGGCTAGTTGTAAAGATAGCATTTTTTGTTCCTGCTCCTTCTTAAACTATTGATGATGCTCTTGCTATTGTTTTACATCCATATATATTTATATATATTGGTGTGCCCTTATTTATATACTGACTGAGTGTCCCTTTTCTACTTAGAAATTGGCGATGACCGACAAAAAACCCAAAAATTTATGTGTCTTTTCTCTCTCTGTAAAGTGTGTAAAGAGAGAAAAATGGAAATTTCATGTGACACTACCAAAGAGAACAGGCAGACAGACAGACAGACAGAGACAAAAGTTCTTTACGCAGAATCAAATAATCGTACTATCTAATGCCTTGGTGCTAATGTTGTCCCTAATAAATTAACAATATCTTGATATTCTGGGAAATCGGCAATAGGTGTGTTTCCCCAAGCGAGTCTCACTCGATGTCCATCTACTAAATAACCTTGCATTCCAATCATTGCCGCTTGGGCATCTAATTGATTAAAAAATGTAACAAATCCACAACCACGTCGAGGTGGAATTCTTACTGAAAAGATATTACCAAATGGCCTAAATAACATTTGGACCTGCCATTCTGTAATATCTCTACTAAGACCACCAATGAATAATGTAGTATTTTTACTTGGTCCTTCCTCGTTTGAAATCTGATTATTCTTTTCAATATATTCAGGTTGTGGTTGTTCTACTATTTGTCTTGCAGTTTGCATTAATAACGATTGAGCTGTAGCGATTGATATCTTATATTCTTCTTCTTGAGATAATTGTATTGCTGGTTGAGGTCTAGTAGGTAATAACATTGGTAAATTATCTTTCAATGGAGACAATGGAGATGAAGGTGATGGCGAGTGTGAACTTTCTGATGCTTGTTCTGGGAAATTATTTGAAGGTCTTCCCGAAGCCATTGATACTCTCATGATTCTACCTTGTAAGAAAACATCCGACATTTCTGTTAATGCATTATCTCTATCTTGTTGATCATCAAATCTAATAAATCCAAAACACCGAGATTCGCCAGTCAAGGGATCCGTCATTACTCTAGCAGTTTTAACACTTTGATATTTCATTTGAAATAATGTCATCAAATCGGCTTCTGTTACCGTGGGAGACAAATCTCCAACAAATAAAGAATATTCTGGCATTAATGGTAATCCACTGTGTAAAGTAGCACCAGATGCCCAATTTAATCTAAAAGTTCTCTCTAAATCTGGATTTGTCATATACCCATTATTTGTTATAGATTCGTACCAAATATTTGGTATAGGTAAAGAATTTAATGATAATGCAAATTTTGCATCATTTGGTGATTTAAATTCAACAAAACAATAACCTGCATGATGTAATTGAGTCACATTAGGATCTAAAAATGTCATTCCATTAATATTAATTGAACCATTTTGTGAATTTATATGTGATTTATTTATTGAAGTACATGGAATCAATTGATTTTTTTTGGAACGAATTAATCTAACATTTACTGTCTTTTTATAATATTCCCAAATTTGCTGAATTGTATTTTCATCAAATTGTGGATCTAAATCACCCATCCAAAGAGTTCTTGGTGGTTCAGAAGAACTTTGCATCGTTGAATTAGGTGGATGTGGAATATTCATTCTGTGTATTCTTATTACGGATATATATATATATATTTGAAAAATATCACAATTTTTTTTTGGCAATAACAACTTATTTGTATTAATTCAAGAACAAGAAAAAAAATATTTCAATTTCCCATTATATATATATATATATAAACGTTACTGAATTGAAATAAGGTAAGCGTCCCCTTAATACATAAACTAATTTGTCAAACGTCAAAATTAATTAAATGAATGACAGAAAAAAAGAGTTGTTAGACAGCCTTAAAAAATATGTACCGTATCGCTTCATACCTTAATCGGCAAAGTAAAGAGAGAGAGGGAGAGACGCGCAAACTGAAAAAATAGTAATAATAAGCAAGCAACTTTGTTTGTTTACTTTTTTTTACATAAGTAAAAGAATATACTCTTTGAGATGATAATCTCTTTGAATCTAGTAAACAGTAGAAGAAAGTATACACCACCGATATATATATATATATATATATACAAGCCATTAGAAGGCCACAGATTGTCTATCAATATCATCAAAACACGATGAACAGAGATGAGAGAATACTATACCGACAAAGAGGTTCCAATTTAAGAAGGACGATAGATGAGGATAATGTATTAGTGATCCGAACGCCTATGAAACTGACAGACACTCCCGATGATATACCTACAGGCAGCATACATCGGGACAATTCTACTGGTGAACCTACAATGAAACGTCCCCGTAGTGATTCAATACCCATGATGATGATGGATCCCATGGATATGCCGCCACAAGAAATAGAGGAACAATTACCACTAATTGAGGACTACAATCATCAGCAACAAAATAATAATGAATTTCATATAAATTTAACTAATGATAACATTGGACAAACCATGGCAACGTCACGATTAGCTCCAAGAAGTAAATTTCAACGAAATATAATTAATAATAAGAGAACGTCATTAAATAATGGAGATGATAAACGATTAATTATATCTGATCAAACTCTAAAGGGAATCGATACGTTACAAAGCTTAATTCAATTTTTATTTCGAGATAATTTAATGAAGAAAGCACGTTCAGATTTTGAGAAAGATGAGTATAATGAAGTTCGTCGAATGATGTATAAACTAGATCTTAAAATATTCGATAAGATATTGAATGGTATGAATAACGATTTAAGTGATATTAAAGATATTAATTCTGCAAATAATCAATTAATCAATGAACTAAGACGTGCTAAGAGACGTAAAGAGAATTTAAATTTAGAATTAATTAAGATTAAGACTCAAATCACTGAAATAATGACAAATGAAGAGTATTGGCTAAAAAATAAACAAGAACAAATAAAACTTAATGAAAGATTGCAATTAAATAAAGACCTAAAGCAACTTTCCGAAAACCTTCAAACCAAACCATCAAAACTTCACACAAAATTGCCTTCTCACGATAAATTAGATACCGTGATCAAGTTATTAGATCCGCAACAAGGTATACTTCCAAGACTCGAAGAAATAAACGACAGGTTAAGAGAACAACTTAAATAACTGTATATCCATATATTCCCCCTCCTTCATCAATGATAATAACAATAATAGTAATAATATATATAATGACAGAGACCCTAACTACTACCCAGGTACCCACCACAGCGTCTGCCGTCCAGCCTGCGTCAACGTGACTGAATGGAAAGGGTTCTTTCTTGTCCCTTTCGGTAGTTTAGAAAAAGAAAGAAGAAAGAAGTGGTGGACCCGCCGCCGCCGCCAGCCAAACTAACATCTGTAGTGCGTGCGGTGCACGGGAAAGACGCACAACGCCGGGCAAGAGAAAGAGAGTGCGAAAATTTTTGCTAGGCAAAAAATTGCAAAACAAACTAAACGCATGGAGAGGGAGGGAAGGGGCCAGGACCCATAATAATTTACTAGACGTTTAGATAAGCTAGATTTATTAAAAGTGACTATACTTCCATACTTTTCAGTACATATAACGATAAATAAATAGAAGTAATACCAGTATAGTGAAAATAAAGATTACCTATAATACTAGTTTAAGTCAGTGAGGTTACGTACAAACGTTAGTGAAAGGAGAAAAAGAAGTGTCTGAGTACACCGTGGAATTTTTTTTTTTCATCTTAGTTACGCTGTTACTAGTTTCCATACAAGATTAAATATTTAGAAGTTAGATAATCTAACGTTTTATTTAGAGATATTATACCCCAGTTATTTATTTGTATCGTACGATAGGAAAGCTTAGAAACAAGATGTCTACAGTGGAAAATGCTCACGAGAGCAACAATCAACAACAACAACAACAACAACAACAACAAGGTAATAATGCTGATATACCATTAGTGAACCATCTATACCTTGAGAGGATATATCCAATGCTACCAGTGGAATCTCATTTTGAAACTTATTCAGACGTTGAAAAGGACCAGCTATATATCTCATGTAGATCTGTAATTATGAATATTGCAATCGCATCAGATGTTAATGGAATTATTGAAAATACATTAAATATAATAGATATAATTCTAAAAGATCATAGAATCATTTCCTCAAAGATTGGTTTAGAATCTATCCATTCAATTTTAGTATTATTAAGATTATTATGTGATGTAGTAGAATATTATTGGGACCATTTAGAATCAAGTACCGTACCAAAGATGAAATCTTATGAAGTTTATAAAAATAAACAAAATAGAAGTTATAGAAATGATAGTGATAATAGTAATATTTATATCGATGCACAAAATAAAATTTTTGCTAACTCTGCAATTGGTTATTCCATAGTGGAACCAGGCTTCCATGAAACTTCACCTGTATCATTGAAAAATCATGTAGCAAATAGATTAATGGAAACGTGTTTAAAATTAAGATTTCATGTAAGAAATTTAAAAGTTATGAAAAATATGTGTGGTCATTTATTTTCAACTTCAAATAATTCAATTTATCAAAAAATATTACCGGAATATCAATCATTTTTGAAGAAAAACACTGATCATAAACCATTAGCAATGATAGATGTTTCATTAGGTTGTCTATTAAGATTTTCTTCTGCAACTAATCCTGAACAATATTTGAATTTTTTAAATAAAAACTTAAAGGAACCACTAACATCAAATCCATCAAGTTCTAGTGATATGAAATACGTACAGAATGTTGAATTGATAGGTTATGCCTATTTGAATGAAAAGATATTATCGAGATATTTAGAATTGGTAACATTCTTAAACAATATGAAAAGACCCGTGTTTAGTCATTTAGTATTATATTTTGCTTCAAGTACATTACTATTTTGGATAATGGCAAGACCTGCAGAATATTTACAAACTTATCAAAAATTGAAAAATTATAATCAAACTAAACAAGATCAAACAATGAGAGGATTGAATAATTTGATCAATAATTTATTCGATGATGTATATTCTTCATTTAACGTGAATAATATGTTAACAGCAACTCATAATTTATCATCAATCCCATTAGCTAGGGCCTCTGATACTTCATATAACAATAATAATTCTGTCTCTGCATCTTCGGCTTTGACATCTGCATCTTCACCATCATCTAGCCGTAACACATCAAATCATATTCCAATTGTATCACCATCTTCGGCATCGGCATCTGCATCAGTATCGTCTTCATCTACATCCTCCTCGTCCACGTCATTAAATACTGTGGAACAAGATAAATTACGTAGACCAGATACTTTGACAAAGAGACGTTCGTCATCATCAAATAGCGGGAATATTACCCCTCTAGTAAAACATGGACAATCTCCAATTATATCAAACACACCGACAATTACTGCATTATCCTTATTAAATTCTCCAAAACATTCATCAACTGATATTAATCAATATTTTCAAAGTCGGATTCCATCAAATAATAACAACAACACTAATAATTACGATACTTTTAACACAGGGTCACGGGTGACCCTGAGTAACTTGGCATCTGTAAATGAATCGAGACGTGATATTTCAAATTCCATTCATAACTCAAGTAATCCTAGTATTAATAGTTCCTTAAATGCTGGTGCTAACGAAAGTATTTATTCAAGAAGTACATCAGCAACTGGAAGTGGCAGCGCTTCATCTTCAAGTTTGGTAAATGATATGTCTCATATCCATGCTTTGAATACTTTGGAAGACACTAAGGACATTACACAAACTGACGTTATTCATGTAGAAAATATTCTGGATCTATATAACCATTTCAGTGATAATGAATCATTGCCACATACTGCTGTTTTAAATTTTTTGACAACGCTATTAATGTTAGATACTGAAGTATTTACTGAAATCAACACACAATCATTCAAACATATCGAAGAAATCAAATCCAATGATAAAAGTTCATCGTCTGTAGAGGAAGATGAAAGTGTACCACATATCGACAGAGATAGAAATCTACATATGAAACATTTTACATCGGGTTTAAGAAGGTTGAAGACTTTACAACTTTCAAGAAAGAAGACAATCAAGTATGTCGATTTAATAATCAAGAACATTACAGAGGCGACATCTACATCTGAGCTGGCTCAGTTTGATTCTATCATGTCTATAATTTCATTATATTCATTAAGTGCATCCGTTGCCAAATATAAACCGAATTTACCTGCAGTACTTTTCTCCAAGAGAATGACCCAGATATTAGCAATTAATCTCCATATTGGTGAAGGATGGGATAAACGAATTCCAACGAATAATATTTTACAAGAATGCTTACAAAGAGATGCTTTCTCTAATTTCCAATTACAGGTTACATATATCACAGCTGCCTTACAGCTAGAAAATGATAAATTTATGAAATCCTTAAATATGCAGAAATGCTTGAATACCCAAAATCTTCAATTAATTAATTTATACACTGAAAGTTTTAGAGTATTTTTCAGTTTACCTATTCCGGAACCAGTAAAAAAGGATATTGCTTATAAGACGTCCTATTTCTTTAAATCGTCTTTCCGTCTAGGTTCAGAAGCTACACTAAAAAATATTTCTACTTTAGACGACGATATTACTGAAATTGCGACGGCTATTTTGAATGGAACAATCCTTGATAAACATGGGATGAGAATAAAAAGAAATTTTTTAAATGGCAAAGCCAACTACCCTTCAAATGTGCCTTCAGATGAATCGTTGTTACAAGCTTTTGAAAGTGCAGTAGATATCGATGATGGTGGTATCGAAATAAACTGGTCTCCTAATTCTTTATATAGATCTGCATCTTCTTCTATCAATGCTGTTAATGATTCAAGTAGTGCATTAACCTCTGCGGGCCAGATTATTTCCCCAAGAGCAAGACGAGCAACTTTTCAAAGCCCATTAACCAGAAGTAAAAGTCCATTGTCAATGTATACCGGTGATAACATTTCAGATTCAAATAATTTTACAGTTATAGGTGATGCATCAAAAACTCCATCTATCTCTTCTCAATTAATGACCTCAACAACATCTACACCGTTACAAAGAAATATTAAACCACTGGTTAAACAAACGATAGGGAGATTAAGAAGATATTCTGAAGAATCTAATGGTCCAAACATGAAATTACCTACATCCCAAGTCAATTTCGCGGCACACAATGTTGACATTAAGAATACCACAAACTTTCTTTATGGCAAACAGATCACCATCAATATATTGAATACATTTAAGAGAATGACAAGTTATTTTATCTTACCCCACGATAAGAATCCAAATTTGAATTGGGTTGCAGAAGATTTTCACAATATTATTAAACCAGTCTTTGTTTCTGTTTTGGAAGCAGATGAAGCTCTTCATTCCACTGCACAATTGTTTATGAATGTTTTGCTGGAATATATCAACGAATATGGATCAAACAAATCTGCTATGACAATCAAGGGCTATCTATTGATTTGTAGTCATACAGCAAGTTTATTTGCAATTGAATTGTTAAATCTAAATCTGTCTAATAAACAGCGTACCATTTTACTAGATATATTAATCAAATATTTGAAACTTCGTTCATCACTAATGAAATCATCTCAGGCTGCCGGGGTAGAAACTGCTGCCATCGAAGTTCAACTATCTACATTTCCACTTCTACATGGTACTGTTGGAAGAGCATTGTTCATCTCCTTCTATTGCAATGACCCGAAGGTTCAGAAATTAATTATTGCAGGTAATATAGAATACCATAAATTGATTGAAAGCTATAAAGAACATTGTCCGAATGCCCTCGATAATGAATGCACACTCTCCGCTTATATTTTGAAAGACAACGCCTTTGCAACCTCAGGTGCTACTGCTTTCCAGAGACGTACAAGAAACGCCATTCTAATGCTGAGAGGTAAACCTGATGCCATCATTGTAGATTGTGTTGACAAAATGTTTAGAAAGTGGTATCATTATACAAAATCTGACAAAAGGACAAATAGAAAGAAATTATGGGAATTTAGAAACCTTGCAGGTATTCTATCAGCTGTATCTGGTATATTCCTACGTACAAACAGCGGTAATTCTATATCTGCAACTGTACCTGACGAACTAGACTCATCATATATCAATTACGATGAAGTAGTGGCCACTTTGAGAAATGATTTTAGTTATTTTATTAGCAAGCAATGTGAATGGCTGAACAATGTAGATCTTTTAACTAGAGAAAATGCAAGAGATATTATTAGTTTAGAGCTACATCCATATTCTCTAAATGTTTTATTTAATCACTTGAGAAATCATATCAATCAAATCATGAATGTCGATCTGTGTGCTAAACAAAATGAAATGTCGTTCGTCTTATTAGAACAAATTATTATAATCATCAGAACTATATTGAGAAGAGGAGATATTGGAGACATCATGATTGTTTATTCCACTAATATCATTGATGTCATTGATAGACTGATTATGGTGGTAAAAAATATGGATCCTGAAGCTCCAAAATACTACAAATCAGTAATCCATATGTCGAAAATGTTTAAAGCAATTCAAACATCTGAAAAGGCACTGGCTATCAAACACCACTATTGTTTAAAAAATAAATGGCTAAAATTGGTGATATCATGGTTCCGTATGTCAATTCACAAAGAATATGATTTGGAAAACCTTGCTAGACCTCATAGAGAAATGAATTTAGAAACTAGAGATATAGACTATCTATACATCGACACTGCGATTGAATCATCCAAAGCTATTGCCTACTTAACAGAAAATCTCCCTCTAGAGGTCTTTTGGTCGGGGTCTGTTGATGAAGTGAGTAGATCCAAAGTGGTCTTTTTTGGCAAATACTTTAATGTTCTCTTAAAAGGGCTAAAAAAAAGTATGGACCTACAAGATTGTCCTGTTACCGTGAAACATAAAATGACACTTCTAAATGAAAATGTTATTTTAGCTTTAACTAATATATCGAAAGCGAATACCGAAGTTAGTGTACAGTTTACTCTTCCAATGGGTTATTCGTATAATAAAAATATTAAGATTGCATTTTTAAATGTGTTCACAAATATCTTATCCAGATATCCAATTGATAATCGGAAACTCGAGGAAGAACGTTTGCATACTATAGACACGATACTTTTATACACAATTCACCATTCCGAATTGGCAGTCTATAGTGCCAGAGCTTGTCCCGTAAATGACATTGACCAATATACGGCTGTTCTAGTAAATGCTTTTGAAACTAGGAATGCTTCCCATATAATAATTTCTGAATTAATTAAGGATGAAATTAAAAATGCTGTAAGACCATCCGACATTTTGAGAAGAAATAGTTGTGCAACTAGATCATTGGCATTGCTTGCGAAAGATAAAGGCTATCATTATTTAATAAATACACTCAGAATGACTTTGCAAAGTATCATGGATGAAAATAAACCAGTTGAAATTGAAAAAATCAATCCGGATGACCCAGAGGCAGCTGAGAAGATTGATATTTTTGTACGCTATTTTTCCGCCATTACTAATGCCATTGTTAACTCCGTTGATGACATCCCAAAGGAATTTTTCTTTATTTCACAATCTATTTATGTTGAAGCTCAAAAGAGATTCCCTGGCTACGGTCTGGTTGCTGTTGGCTCGTTTATATTCTTAAGATTAATCTGTCCCGCAATAGTCAGTCCCGAAACAGAAAATATAATAGGTGTTCCTTCGGTCCACCAAAAGAGGTTATTATTATCGTTGGCTAAAGGTATACAAGGACTCGCAAACAAATCAGATTATCTAATTAAATGGCCCATCCTTAAATCCAAAATTGAATTCTTTGAAGAATGCAGCACAAAAGTGTTTTGCTTTTTAGAAGACATTTGTGATCCAGAACGTGAGGTTAATATTAAAGTGAGACTAGACGGTGATGCAATACCGTTTGACTATGGATTTTTTCATCAGTACATATACAGAGACGGAATAAGTGTTAGGAAGAGTATCCTATCTAACATTAAACTAACTGAAAATATTCCATTCTTATCAAAAACATTATTAATGTTCGATGAAGCATTAGGTCGTTTAGGAGAGCCAAAATTCGAATATAAAAATGAAATCCCAGAAAATATTAAGGAACTTGGTCCCGAATACCCGAAACTGTATGAATTTATGAGTAGATTTGCCTTTAAAAAGTACAAACAAATTGGTTCAGACAAGACATTTGTTAGAGAATTACTTTCTTCAGACGGTGTACCCATTCTAACTGTTTCCATGGCAAAATTACTGGAATTTGGTGTAGAACTCGAAACCGTGATTTTTAAGTTAATACAATTGTACACAAGAATATGGTCTTCTAAACATTACTTACTATTTGATTGCACCCAATATGAAGAAGCATCTTTTGATTTTACAAAATTTGTTATTATTATGAATAATATTTTCCCAGCGTTCGTTCCAGAAAACTGTGCCTGCGTTTACATCATTAATGTTAATGATGATTTCCTAAAACAATGGGAACAAATATTTGACCAAAATAATATATATCTAGGTCATAAAGTTCCCCATAAATTTATCAACACCAATTCAGACGGTGACTTAATTAAATATTTGAAGATTGACTGTGAAGGTTTACAAGTCATGTATGATGTACGTATATCGTTACACGATATTATGATGTACGATGAGAACAATAACCGTTTATCCCCAGTCTTGATGAAATTAGGTAATCAATATTTCCAAATTCTACACGAGACACCTAAAAAATTTAAATTAGTTCAACTAGACGAAATAGTTGATGTGAAAATAAATAACGTTTTTAAAGTTGCCGACGTCGTATCAACAGAAATATCCAGCATTACAGGAGTTGCGGGCGAATTTGCAATCAACCTGACTAGTGGTAAGAAACTGATATTCTGTAGTACAAAGTTTCTCGAAATCATGAAAATGTTTGAATATGCTAAGTCCAGAGAAGAATCCGAATATACGCCAGATGAAACTATTGTTACCCCAAGCGATGTTCAAAATATTGCACAACATTTAGAGGAAAGAAATGATATGATAGGGCATTTGTTACTGGTTACCATAGTAGGGTTATTCACACCTGATGATGTTGTTAAGTCTCATTCATACAACTTGCTAGCCGCAGCTGAAAGGGCCTTCAAATTAAATTTGGGATCACACTTTCATAAAACTCCGGAAGTGTATATTCCATCTAATGCTACAATTTTCCTATCAAATATGGCCAAGTCCCTTGCAACATATCATCCAGAAATAACAAATTATAGTTGGAAATATATTTTAGAAGGTATAGAAAATGATTACATTCCAAAGAAATACGTCCCGCAGGTTATTAGTTTCCTTTCGTACTGGGTTGACAACCTATATGGGTATGTTTACCTGGAGGATGATGAAAATGGAGATGAAAATACATCAAAAATCATTCGGTCATTAATTCAATTATCCCTTTCAGAGCCTGCATTTACGTCTTTATATCTTAACGAAATCTGGTTTCCTCTAATTACAGATGGGAGACTGGCAAAACTAATTGTTACTGAAATAATGAATCATTGTCTTGAAAGGGATTCTGAAAATAAGGATTGGACTAGAATAACAGATTTGCTGACCGGGTTCCCAACAGTAGGACTCGCAACTGAAGTAATTGAAAGACTTATAGATAATGTGAGATACGCCCTCCCTTCTCTGAGATTTGATACAACCAATCAAAGTTGGGCAGAGCTGAAAATATTGGTACATATTAGTGCATTTTTATTTTTTGAATCGACCTTACTGGTTCAAATGTTTTTACCAGAGGTTCTCTTTGTTATCTCAATATTGATAGATATAGGTCCTATTGAGTTGCGTACATTGATATTTGAGCTATTGATGAACGTTTGTAATTCGTTATCCACCAATTCCATACTACCTAGTGAAAAGAAAGAACAACTTGATGACATAACAAGCGACTTTGCAACGTATAAATCAAAATATATCGTTGGATTTAGTCAATACAAAGGTGATATACTTCCAACATTTACAACTGGCTCATTTTCTATTAAATTTAATATTCTGGATAGCTTCGTGACTAAAATTCTCCTTTTAATGGATAGCCCTGCTTCTTACGAAACTTACAAATGGCGTTCAAAATACAAAAAATACATGAGTGAACTGGTTTTCACGCCTAATCCATTCTTATCTGCTCGTGCTATGATGATTTTAGGTATAGCCGGTAAAACATACACATCCACTAAACTATTGAATAATTTACTTATTAGAACAATGCACGTTATTGCCGACCCTGTTGTTAGTTCAGATAATGTCTTTGTGATCCTTTCTCACGCTTTTGCATACAGTAAGATTGTACAGGGTTTAGAACCCTCTTTCCCTTTGTTGATGAAATTATTTTGGCTTTCGATGTGTTTGATCTATATTGACCATCCGTCAATATTTGAAAGTGGACTTATTTTTATGTCCAACTGTGCTTCGAGATTATACGAATATCATTTTGCTAACGGTTCAGAAATGAAGACCTTAGTGAAGGAACTACTTGACGCAAGAGAATTTGCAGAGCCATTTCTTTGCCAAGTAGAAGAAGTCTACAATGTGACGTGGTCTGAGGATAACTTTGTATCTATCATCGTTTCATTTATCTCTAGGGGTTTATCGATTCCATCAATTCGTGCAAATGCAACCGAATGTTTAATTGGTCTATTTAAGAATGCCTACCACGAGTACCAATTATTTTCGGATGCAGTCCAATTTAAATCTTATATGTTTTTATTGTTTTTGACAGTTGATGCTGATCAATTCGGGAATATACTAAATTCTGTTGGTTACGATGGTGATATGGTTGTGATGAACGAGCAGTGTAAGATTCCTACAATAATTGAAGAATGGTTGTGTTCAGACATGTCCCAATCCAACGATGCTTTATATCAGGGTGCTATGATTTTTAAGAATAAGAATGTGGATGAACCTACCAAATTTAAATTTCTACTAGTGATGCAATTGTTGTTAGATAGAGAGCCTATCTGTTTATTCAGATTTTACGGAGCTGTTAATACCGAAATGAGAAGGATTACGTCTTTAGAACACAATCCAAAATGGATTCCAATTATCTTTCACATCATGGGAGAAGTGGTGAGATATTCCCAATTTCACGACTTTAACCAATGCAATGTGACATCTATGAATAGAATAAGGGATACAGGTTTAGATATTATCTTACGTTCCCAATTTGTAGAGAGAGGTCAAGATGAACTAAAAGAAAAATTCGTTTTTGATTTAGATTATATCCTTATTTCGAAGAGAGCTACTACAAAACTTATCGCTCGTTTGGCTTGTCCAACTTAAACAAAGTATTTAAAAAAATAGCATTATATATATACCTATTTACAACCTTATGAACAATTTTTTTTAAAAACAATATAGAATTTATAAGTTTCGAAATTCTGAGTTTATATACTATTTATTATTCACCATACGGGGAGAATATGCTGTTTATTGTGGTTATTATTATACAGAAAAATATACTTTTATGGTTACTTAAAAAGTACTTTTATTTAGTTTCGTTGGTGAACGTTGTTCTATGCAATCTTTCAAATTCTTTTTTATCGGACTTATATATCATCATGGTAATTCTGGCATCTTCCACGGATGAATGTTGTCCATCTTGGATGTCAATTTTAAGAATTTCTTTCGAAAGCTTTTTTAAACTTGGTGATTTACCCATAGCATAAGCTTTCCTGAAAGGTAAATGTTTAGCCGTATCTCTAATCATGGATCTCGGATGTGATAATAACAAAGCCTCCAAATCATGTTTAATGGCATGACCAACTAGGATTCTTCCTTCTAGAATTTCTGCACATCTTTTTTGTGCTTCCTTGAAAGAAATTGCATTCTTCATATGTTGTGGTTTCACACCACTAACCCATGTTCTCCAATCTGTTACTGTTTCCCTTGGTTTCACAAATTCATCTATTATGATATGTCCGAAGAAATTTGTAATTGATATTCTAGCTAAAGCAGAATCCTTACCATCAGCACCTATACCGACAAACTCACAATCCATAGCGACAAATTTACCAATTTCCTTTGATTTTTTATCCTGTGGTAGTCCATCAAAGTTAGGTGGTGTGCTTGCGGAAGAACCCTCATCCTTATCGTTTTCAGATTTAAATTCAAATGCTTTACCATCTCTTTTGTTTTCTTTATGTTTAGCAATGGCATCATTCATAGAATAGACCATACTCATAATCTTGTTCGGTTTCTTTGCAATTCTCTCTTCTCTCCACTTAGAACCAAATTTCTTCTTTTGAGGCTTATGGACCTTATTAGAAGTGGCATTCTTAGATTGTTTCTTAGATTTGGATGTACTACTTGCTTCTTGAAGTTTTAACCAATTCGATGATAGGGCCATAGCTGTCGAATCACTGATTTCACTAATTGGTTTTGGGCTTTGAAAATCTCTAATAATGTAGATAAATATATGCTGACTTCAGATGACAAAAGATTAATTAAACAGCAACTAATATACTTAACTTTAATAAACTGTTCTATTACCTCATCACTTACTATTTCAAAGTCATCGCTAAAAACCGTGAAAAGTTTCATTTTCTTTGAAAAATTTTCTAACCGTGGGAAAATAAAATAAAAAAAATGACCTTGGCCGGGTTTCGAAGGGGCACACGAAATTTTATATATTTATTAAAATGTCAACAAACAAACAGTATCCTCTATAGTTTATCATGAAAGGTCAAAGTTTGGAATTGAAACACAATATGAAGTGCTATATTTAAAATAAGTTACTATACAGATTTGATAAGTAGTTCAGGCGATTTATTTTAAAGCAATTAAATATGAAGCTGCTGAAAGATTTAATTATTCAGCGTAAGGAATTACAGAATTGGGATGATGCAATAACTTGGTCGAGAAATGGTACTTTATACTTTAGGACGTCACCAGAAATAACAATTGGGGAACCTAGATACCAGGAAAGCTCGCTTATTAATAATAATGCAAAGGGATTGTTTTACACAAAGGAATATCCTTTAGTTGTTGATAACGTGATGGAGTTCGAGACTGCGGCAGAGAATACCTTTCTCAACACCCAGCCGACCTCGTTTGTCAGAACATGTAAACCTTCTAAAGTTGATGATAGTGAGTATTTAGCTGTATTAACGAATAATTTCAACGTTATTATATATAAAGATAAGAACTCCGTTGCAAAAATCGACCAACTGGGAAACAATGTACAGCAACGATGTTTTCATGCATTTGAATGGTCACCTCATGATAATGTTATTGTTGTTGGTAATGAAGTTGGCGAGCTTTTATTCTTCAAAAAAGAACTGGAATCTGACAACTTTGATTTAATAAATAAAGTTGAGATTGGTGAATTACAGTCACAATATATTACTGATATTCATTGGAAAGGAAATAATCTTATTGTAACTGCATCTGATAATTCGATATGGAGACTTGAATATGATGAAAGTCCATCACACCCTATAATGGTAATTGATAGTTCAAGATTTAAAATATTCGACATGGCCACAATCAATGACCGTTTCATCGTTGCCACTGCATCTGGTCATCTATATAAATATGACTTGAAATCCAGTAAATTAGATATCGAAAGACTCCCTGTGGCGAATAATTTTTATATTGTCCCAATTAAAAATACGAATGTTTTAATCCTGGTGTCAAACGTTAACAGTTTGACTATTAAGATAGATTTAGATTCCGAGAAAATATCTCCACAATCGGATACTCTAATTGGTCCACACTTGTCTCATAAATCTAAGAAATGGAATGAAATATGGAATGAATCAGGGAAATATGAAACAACTTTGAATGTGTACGGCGTATCGCTATCACCAGACGGCTTCACAGCTGCGATTTTATATAATGTAAACCGTGTAACATGGAAGTATGTGATTTCTTCACAACGTCAATTCCATGTGATGTTTGTCCCACTATGTGACCAATGGGAAATATCCAATGATGCTACTGGGCTTGCATCATACCAAACCCATATTATATACCAAAGGGGTAATTTACCACAGAGAGGGGCTTTAACAAATGATATTTTGTTTGAGTCAGTTGAATCTAACTCAAATTTTGATACACAAATCGATTTCAAGCAATATTTGATCAATTATTTCAATGATGAAAAGCTAAATAAATTAAGGTTTAACATTTATTTAGACAACACTGATAGTAGATGTATAGAAATATTCCGGAGATTAATTATAAAATATGCTTTATCTAAATTAGAAACAATCACAAATGTATTAGATATCGCATGTCTTACAGCACTTATTAGAACGACAGACACTTCTTCCAATTTCAATATCCCATCCAATAAATTTGAAGAATATACTATGAAAGGCCAGTTTATTACACAAGATTTCGCCATCAAACCAATCAATGATACTACTGAATTCTCCACAGAGGAAATTATTTCTAAGGAAGGTAACACCTGGAAACGATGTGCCGTAACACTACTACCAATACTCGGCTTAGCTGTAAAAAGGTGCCCTGTCACTAACAAAAGAGTCATAGATATCGATACTGATACTCTTAACGAATATGGTTGGTTCACTAGAACATTACTCGAGATATTTTCGAAAAATAGTGTATATACTGGTACCGCTATGGTATAGTCCTATATATATGTATATACGTGTTTATTGATTCATGGATTGAAAGAATGAAGATGTTTTATTCATTACCATTGGGACAGAATGTTCCTGTTGAATTCTCTTACGAACCCAAAGGGATAGTTTTTGTTTGATATTTTCAGTAGCGTATCTTTTATCCAATAAATATATTGCAGCATAATCATTAGCGTGTCTAATGGCTCTCCCAACACTTTGATTAACTGCTTTCATACAAATCGTTTCATAGAATTCACGTGTTGCATCCTGTGCATCCTTTTGAGAACCTCCATTTTTTTTAATTTTTTCTTCTAAATGATCTTTTTTTATTTGTAATTCACCACTAAATACATTTGGGAAAGGTAGACCTGTCATTACTACTGCCCTACATAAATTATCTTGAAAATTAATCCCTTCTGATAGTCTCCCACCAACAATTGCGAAAAGTATGGCACCTTCACCTTTAGAGACCGTATTAATATAATCACTTAAAATATCTTCTCCATCTTTCCTTTCATAAAATAATTTTCTATGTTGTTTCAATATTTTCAGTTTACCAGATTTAGTCCAATGGTCTATAACAAATTGTAAATATTGATAACTTGGGAAAAATCCAACAATCCCACCTGTAATAGGAACAGTATGAGATAAATCATTGTAAAAATTGAATAAATTATTGTTGATTAATTGTGCCGAATTTCTTTTAGCAAATGTAAATTCAAAATTTGGATCATCTATTATAAATGTTTGTAAATTTTTATCTGGAATAACATGATTACATGAAAATGTTAAAATATCACTATGATCAATTTGTGGGAACAATTCATTATAAAAGTCAGCTAATGGTTCCATTGTACCACCAGCTAAAATTAAACATCTAGCTTTTTTAACAATAGGTTCTAACATTTTACTTGGTTCTAACAACATATATTTAATTTCTTTATCCTTTTCGAAAAAAAATTGTCCCTCTTTACTAGGGTGTGTTAATGTAGTTAAAAATTTCATAATTTTAAATAATGCAGGTTGTTTTGATACATTTGTGGAAGATGGAGTAGTAGTATTATTCTTTTGTTCATTTTTATCTATTGTTGTTCTTGTCATGTAAGTATCAATTTTATATGCGACTTTTGATTTATTCACATAATCAATTAACTTATGTATATTGAATAAATCTGAATTAGAATTATTTAAAATTTCATAACTTTGAAACCTTTGACCAGGTTTCTTAAAATTTGAATCAATAAAATTTTTAATTGTCTCTAATAATTTTAATAATTTTAATAAATTAACTCTATTACGTGGACCTAATTTTTTTTCAAATTTAATTAAATAATTGTTTAAACCTTTTAATACCTTCATTAAATCTTCATATGTCATCGAAGCACTATAAATATTATTGATAGTATCAATTAAATTATGTGCTTCATCAACAATAACAATAGAATTATCAAGATCAATTCCTAATGATTCTCTAGCGTCATTAGATAATAAATATTGATATGGTAAAGAAATAATTTCTGCTCCGGGGATTGAATCTCTAGATGCATAATATGGACAAACTTTTAAAGATTCACCTAAAGGTACTAAATCTTCAATATCATGAATCTCTTTATATAAATTATCTCTAAAAGTTATTGTATCTTCAGAAGCATGCCATTGTGGAGTATTTGAATAAAATGGACAGCCGTTTTTTGAATGACGTAAATCGTAACAAGCATCATTAATTGCTTCAGCTGTCTTCCAACGCTTTACTGATGGTTCAATACATAATTGTTTCTTTGAGCCTAATGGTAGAAATTTAATTCTTTCTAAAAGCAGATTATTAGCTTTAAATGATGATGGAAATTCAGGTAATTGTAATTGATGAGCAAATTGTGATAATTGTGAATGTGTTCTTGATGCGAAATATATTTTAACTGGATTTGCAATTGGACTTCCTCCAATAATATGATTTTTATCAAATTCGTTTATTTGATCAGATTGTCCTATTTGTTTTCTTTGTTGTTGATCTAATTTATTTAATAATTGTTTAACTTCTTGATTTAATGATTGTTTCTTTGTTTCAATAATTTCTTGTTCTTCAGGTAAAAGATCATTATCGTTAATTTCATTAGTAACCCCACTCGCGGCGACTTTCCTCTTTGGGCCGTTACGCGCTGCCTTCAATTCTAAAATTTTCATATTTGATATCGGTTCGGGTAAAGAATCTAAATATTTTTCAAAATCTTTAACAGCGGTTATAGTATCATTAGTTCGTGAATCATTGAATGCTTCAACAACCCATTCAGGTTCTGATTCTGATTCTGATTCATCATCACTACTACTATTACTATCAGTATTATTGCTATTATTATTAGTAGTAGTAATTGATTTATTTGATTGTTCATCTTTAATTAATTTTGATTTATTATCTCTTAACCAAGTAACAACGGCACAAATTAATGATAAAGTTTTACCTGTACCAGTTGGTGATTCAACTAATGCAATTTTTTTATTTGAATTTAAAGTTTTATCGTATAATGATTCCATCAATTCTACTTGAATATCATATGGTGTATAAGGGTGATGGAATCTATTTGTCATTTTGTAAATTCTACTTTTTTTTTCTTTTTATCACTATATTATTATTATTTGCCAGTATAATGGATGTATATCTATATTAAAGTCATTGAATCTTATTTCGTTTTTTGTTTTTCTATTATTAGTACTGATTAGTAATCTTTGTATCTTTCTAGTATGTATGTAGATTATACGTAATATTATTTGATTAAGTGATGAGTTCCATAGATCTTCACACTATTTAAGAGATAGAGAAAAAAGGAAAACTATAGTAAGAGGGTAACGTCAAAAACATATCATTGAGTACGATATAAATTCGCGCGAAAAAAAAACAAATACTTATTTAATGATTTTAGGCAAAATACTTATTAAGGTAACAATAAAACGAAAAATATTTACAAAATATAACGCGTCCCTGTTTATCCTTTTTACAAAATAATTTTCGTTTCCTCTTTTAGTATAACCAGAGACGGGGATTTAACGAAAGGGGGAGAGAGAAAGAAATATGTATATACTGAAAATACGCATACATTATTCAAAAAAAAAAAAACCAACCAAGCTAATAATTTTACCGAGAGAAAGAAAAAATAGAAAAAAAAATAGGAATTCATCCCTTGTTTGAAAAAGAAGAAGAAACCCAGTAAAATGTTGAATAAAACTCCGTAGTTTATCTCTTTTGGATGTCGTATTTTCAAAAGAATGATTTTTCAAGATGAGGAAAAAAACTCCGCAGTCCGAATTTGGTAACAGTAAAGATCTGTGGAGGTAACCGGATAGGGCCTCTCCCTCCGAGATTTAAATGCAAAATTAAAAGAATTAACTCAGTTTGAGATAAATAATACAATTTTCATTTCTCCCCGGGGTGGAAAGGCTGGGTGGACTACATAGTTATTCTATGACAATTCTCGTTTGATAATACAATAAAAATATATCTTTCCTGTTTGCAAAGTTACTGTGTGGGGTTTCTGTTAGGAACATCAATGAAGATATGAAATAAAATAAAAAAAATCTACGCATATATTTTCTATGTCCTCCCCCCGCGGCTTAGCATCTTGCATGATGCAGCGGATACAAATTTTGCATAATTTGGAAACTCAATTTTTCTTAGGAAAATGGAATTTCAATATATATATATTTTTTCCTCTTTTACTTTCCTGTAATTTGCTACAGCATTATATGTGTACCTATGTATATATTTGAATAGTTAAACGTGGGGGGGTTAAGTAGGTCAGAAAATATATATTTTTATTATTAATTTTTAATAAGAATGAAGAAGAATGGTAAAGGAACGAACGAACAAATAAGAACAAAAAATGATAAAATCTTTGTTTGATACATAACGTGGGGTGGATGAGGAAACTAAGTAATAAGATTAGTACGAATAAAATTCTAAGAAGATTCTTGAACAAAAATATGTTTCTACATATTATATGTCAATTTTGTTTTTTTCATTATATTTATGTACAAAAAACTTACTTTAAGATAAATTAAACACGAAAAAACAAGACTGTTCACCATTTAGTTTTGGGTGCCATAGTAACAAAAAAAGTTGTTCTTCTTTTTCAATATTAGTCTAGTGAAATTCCGTAGAATAGATTGATGTCAAGTCCTTAGATTATACGTACATTATTGTACAGTTGAAGTAAAAAAATTAATTTACTTCGCTGGTAAGTTGCTATTGTCTTTGGAAGAGTGAATTACTGATTGAACGATTGCTACTACCGAGATTAAACGGGGTCTAGAAGGGACTGAAGAGGGTCTCACTTTCTTGAAAAACGTTTCTATTCATTTATTTAGTCAAATTGTAGGATTTCTTATTCAAAATATATATTCTACAATGTCCCACTTGATGTCTCATTAGAAATTAAACTACAGTTATGAAACTTCCTTCCATTGCATTTCCTTCCTTTATTATTTAGTATCATTAGTATTTTTTGTTATTCTTGTTATTTTTGCAAGTCCGTTTTTTTTTTCGTTGTTGTCCTTTCTTTTACTATACGGGTTTTTCGTTCTCTCTTCGCCTGTTATTGTGCCTTTTCCACTCATCCATTTAAAATGGCATTTTGTTGTGTTACCCTTTTTTAAATATGCATGTATGTGTACGGGAATAATATTGATAATTCCCTCAGAAAGTGTATGAGAGCGCTTTTCCTTAAATAATTTATAGCCCAAGTTAAATTAAATTCTAATCAGATTCAACTATTTTTTAGAATTGATAGAACTAAAAGGAAGGGAAGGAGCTTTCCTTCCCTCTTGACAAAAAAAGGACTAGTGAAAAGGACTTATTTTTAAGGTTTTTTAATTATTTTATTCGAGTTATTTACTGCATGTTTCAAAAAGAATTGAATAATATTGTGTCTATCTTACTGTCGTTAAATTAATTCGTGTTTTTTTTATTTTATTTTTGACATCCTCGAATTAACTACATATATATATATATATATGCTTAAGCTAATTTATAAAAAAATAATTAAACAATATATATCTTGACGTTCTGAAATTCTTTTGTTTTAATATAACTACAAAGACATATTTTAGTATCACTTACAACTGGTTTGTTAATTGCTTTACTACCATTAGATTACTTTCCCATATCACTATCCTACTCCCCTCAACTCCCCCCCCCCCAATTTTATTTTATTTTTACTATAATAATGAATGATATGATAGAAGATCCACGTCTAGGATTATCATTGTGTACTCCAGTTAATCATTCAACAACTAATATGTATCAACAACCATTACCTCAACAACCACATGTCTCAATCTATATGAACAGAACACATAATGGATCTGTTTCATCTTTAACAAGTTCAATTGGTGATACTTATACTTATTCAAATAATTTTACCACAACTAATGCAAATTCTACTACTAATGATATATCAAATTATGCTATATTATCAAATAAATTCACTGATTTAATAATGGATGTTTATTTAAATGTATCAAGTGATCCAACAATAACACCATTCGATCCAACAAGTCCACCTGTTGGTATACTTAATCGTGTTGCATTGCTATCAATTGAACGTGCGATTAATCAACAATGTGAAACAGGTACACGTATTCCTTTACAATCAAATGCAATGGTTGTAACAATTAGACATACTTTAAATCAAGAAATTAGACGTGAAGGTTATATGTCAAGAAATGGTTCGCAATCTTCTTTGATACCGCCACCACCACAATTTACTGAATTATTAAATTCAACTCATAATATTTCAGATCCATTAGATCCAAATTTTTTTAAAATTAGTGGAGATCCTTTACATATTGGTAATAATTTATTACAACCACAACCAACTTTAAAATTTTATAATAATAATTGCAGGAATAAAAATAAAAATAATAATACAAACATGTATGTATTAACACCAAATAATTCAATGAATAATTTGATGGCTAATAATTCTGATGGTACTGTTGGTAATAATTTACAATCTTTACAGCATCATTCTTTATTACCTCGTCAATCATTTAGAACTGCCTCTCCTTTATCAACTACAAGTTTCTCAAATAATTCAAATTCATTATTAAACAGTAATAGTAATAGTGGGATAACGAGTTTAACGGCGGCTAATATTTCTCGTCATGAAGAAACTTTAGCAGATTCTTTAAATAAGAAAAAATATTTATAGATTTAATAAATACATTTTTATAAAAAAGATAAATATATATAAATAGGGCGGCTATGTTTTTTAGTTGTTTTTTTTGTTTGTTCTTCTTTTGCAAAAACTTATAGACATAACTATTTATGTTGCTTATAATTTTCTGTTTTTTTTTTTGAATATTTATTAATATGTTCTGGTTTTAAATGAATAGATAGAGTATTATGTAGTTTAAATATTTACAATGGAGACGGGCATTAATTTTAATATATTCTTTTCATGTTTGATAATGCTTTATTCATATGATTCTACACGTGGTTTTATTATTTCTCTTTCACTATTACGACCCCATGCATCATCAAGAATTCCACATTTTTTTAATAATTTTGTCACAGAATCACTAGGTTGTGCTCCAACACCAAGCCAATATTGTGTACGTCCGAAGTCTAAATTGACTTTTTTCTCTGGAATTATTCCTCTTTTCTTTTGTTTAATAGTAATTAATTGAGGTATTGGATTATATGTACCTAATACTTCTATTGGTTTAGCATCTCTAGCACGACGGGCATTTGCAACAACTATATTGTATACTGGATTATTTGTTCTACCGAATCTTGCGAGTCTAATCCTTACTATTCCACATGTCATATTTGTTCAGTTTATTTATTTCCTCCGGTTTTGTTACCTCTGTTTCTTATATCCTATTATAGTCGTGTTATTGTTGTTGTTCTAGTGGACTGTGTGTGTTTTGACTCCTTAGCCCTTTAATTTACTTTGAAATAGTTTAAAATATGGTTTTTAATAGTCTATGTTTTTCTTTGGTTCTATCAATCTTAATAATAATCTGAGGTAAAGAAAAGAAAAAGGAAAAGTGAACTTTCCTCTGCTCGTATAGCGTGATTTTGTTGTCCGGGCTTTTTTTTATTTTCTTGATTCCTATAGTTTTTAGTACCGAAGAAATGAAACTGCCAAAGAAAAATTTTCATATTGAATAATTTTTTTTTTCCTTTGTATTGGGCTATAGCGAATTGAGAGATGAGCTCATCTCATCTCATCTCATCTCTATTTTAAAAAGAAATACATACAAAACTAAAAGGTTAAAGAAATAAGAGGTTAAGATACGTTTAAGTTTATTTCATTATATAATTTAATCAAGATTAAGAAGTTAAAGCAAGCATATACAAGATGGACGCAGATCAAGTAGCTCATATGCTTGAGCTTGAGGATAGATTATCCAAGATTAGAAAACAAGCAACTTCAAAATTAGAAAATCAAAAACATATTGCTATTATTTTAACAGCCGTTGAAGATAATATTGAAGGTCATGATACTAATGATACATCTAAGAATATTATTAGTTATATGGTTGCATTTATGTCTTTATTAGATCAAGCTATAGATAAAGATACTCATAATATTATTGATTTACAATTAGCAACTGCAGCAACTTATCTATTAGATATTATCTTTCAATATTCCCCAAAGAAATTATTAAGATCTAAATTTTCTGAATTATTGGCTAAGATTGCTCCTTGCATTACTGATGAAAAAGCAGAACCTTTATTAATTAGATCTGCTATTGGTTGTTTAGCTTCGTTATTAGTAGCTCAAGATGCACAAGCATGGAATAATACACATAATTTAACTATTACTCCAATGAGAGGTTTACAAGGTTTATTAGAATTATCCTTAGATCCAAGACCAAAAATTAGAAAGAGAGCCCTTGAAGCACTTCATAAGATTCTTGAAAATCCACCTGTTGCACCAACAGCAGAACATGTTGCCTCCACTACAATTTCAGTCTTTGCTATTAACCAATTAACAGATGTGTTAAATGAATTAAATGGATTGTCTAATAAACAATTAAAGAATCAAACTGTTAAAGATGACATAAATTCTAAAGTGATAAAATGTTTACGTTTAGTGAGTACTGTTGTCACTTCTGGCCAATGGCCAACAGGTCAAATTGAACCTCTTTGTGATATGTTATTAGATGTAACAAAGAGTTCAGATCAATATCTTGTCTCCACTTCATTTGAATGTTTTGAAAAACTATTTAATTCAATGGCTGAATCAACTGTGTCTGCAGGTTTAGCTGAAGACAAATATGTTAAAGTTATAGATACAATCTTTCAACTAAGACCATCAAATAATGATACCCATTTAGTAGGATCATGGATTGCAGTCGTTGTCAAAGGTATGTCTACTTATGCTGTTGGATCTCCAATGAACGCTATGGCTAAAATACCTGAGGTGTTTGAATTGATGTCAATCTATTTACAAAGTGAAAATAAAGAAATCTCCTTTAGTGCATCCCAATGTTTAATTGCAGTATTAACTCAAGCCATTAAAGATGAAATCCTATTGACACCAGAACAAAGTCAGAACAATATATCTAAAAAAGATGCTAAACTTGTTACAAATGTCATTAACAGTTTGTCAGAAACATTTTGTGAATTTTTGACGGTTAGATACACTAATTGCACAAAGGAAATTTTAAATATTTTGGCAGCAGCTTATAAAAAATTAAGATTTAGAGCACACCCAGCTTTAGATAAACCTTTACAAATCGTTGATAGTTGGAGAGTTAATGAAAAACAAGAAACAATGGAATTGGTCTCTGAAATTGAATTAGTAATTGGTAATGCAGTCTCTGCTATCGGTCCAGATATTGTCTTAAAAACATTACCTCTAAATCTAAATAATGAAATTCCTGATCAACCAGGTAGAGCTTGGTTATTACCATTGCTAAGAGATTATACTAGAAATGCCAAACTATCTATTTTCATTACAGACTTGTTGCCAGCAGCTAAAGATTTTGAATCAAGACTTGATTCTTTCCCTAAGGAATCTGTTCAATTAAGAATTTACCAAACCATTATCGATCAAATATGGTCTACATTACCACATTTTGCCGAATTGCCAACCGATTTAATGGAATCTTTCACCGATGAATTTGCATCAGATCTATGTTCTTTACTTTACAGTAACACCGACTTGAGAACTGTGATTTGTCACACATTAAAAATGCTTGTTGAAAGTAATCTTATGTACTCTGAAGGTGCATTACAAGATGATATCATTCTACAAGCTACATTCCCAGTAGAAGAATCCAAAAAGAATCTAGAGTATTTGAAAACAAAATCTGTTAATATTCTAGCAGTTCTTTTCAACATTTTCACTCAAACTGCATCAAACTTAAGAGGGTACATCCTAGACACCATAGAATCATACTTAAAAATCAGTTCCCCAGAAGATGTTGAAAAAATGTTCAATAATGTTTGTGGTCTTCTAAAGAACTCAATGGAAAAGGAAGCAGCTTCTAATGATGGTTCAAGTAATAATTCTAACAATAATAAGCCTCAATTGACTGCAACTCTGTTGGATATTGTTGTGAACATGGTCAGATATTTACCAGCTAAATGTTATGGCCCATTGTTTATGATCTTCGATCAAACTGTCAATTCAAATGATACATTAATTCAAAAACGTGCATACAGAATCATCTCCAAGTTATCTGAAATATCTCTTGGTGAAGACGCTATTTCTAATTATTTATCTGAAATTGAAAGTATTTTGCTACGTAACTCCAATAGTGTCCACACATCTGCTAGATCTGGTAGATTAGCCGCTATAAAGACTGTTATTAACCTTCTACCTCCAGACCATATGAACTTTATTGTCCAAGTCTCTGCTGAGATCATTTTGGCTACTAAAGATGTTAATGAGAAGACAAGAGGTTTAGCATTCGAAATATTAATTCTAATGGCTGAAAGAATGCAAAACGGTGGTAGTATCGATATGGGTGACGGTAATGTCCAAGTTGCTTCTCTTTCTGAATTTTTCAAGATTATATCAGCAGGTTTAATTGGTGAAAGTCAACATATGGTTAGTAGCACAATTACAGCATTTGCATGTTTGATGTTTGAATTCAAGGACTCATTACCTGCTGATAATGTCCTTGATATTTATGATACAATTGAGTTATATCTAACTTCTAACTCCGTAGAAATTGCCAAGAGTGCTATTGGGTTCACCAAGGTTTGTATTTTAGGTTTACCAGAAGAGATGATGAGACCAAAGGTCCCAGCTTTGATTCCAAAATTATTACGTTGGTCCCATGAACACACAGGTCATTTTAAGGCCAAGGTTAAGCATATTATAGAAAGATTGATTAGAAGATTTGGATATGAATATGTTGAAGCTAATTTCCCTGAGGATGATTTGAAACTATTGACCAACATTAGAAAGACACGTAACAGAAACAAACGTAAGGATGCTAATGGTACAAATGATGAAACTACTTTGCCTACTGCTAAGGGTCCAAAGTTCATGTCTGCCTTTGATGAAGCTGTTTATGCGTCTTCTGATAACGAAGATGAAGGTGATGATAATGAAGTTAACCATAAGAAAACTAAGCAATACATTATTGAAAAATCAGATGGTAACCCACTCGATCTATTGGATGCTGATACATTGGCTCATATCTCCTCTACCAGACCTAAAAAGTTTAACAAGAAGGATCAAAAGAAGAAGCTACTATCTGATGATGCCTTTGCATTCGATGATGAAGGTAAGTTGATCGTTAAGGGTAAAAAGAATGGTGCTGCAAACGATGACGATGATCCTATCAAAAATATGACCAGCGGTATCAATGCATACCTAGAAGCTGTTAAGAGCGGTCCAGTTAGAGGTCAAAAGAATAAATTAAAGTTTAAGAAGGGTAAAAGAGATGAAGATAACTTCAGTGATGATGAATCTACACCAAAGAGAAATGTCGGAAGAAACAAAATTGGTAAGAATTTCAAAAAGGGTGGTAAGTTTAAGTCCAGAAGGAGGTTGTGATGTATTTATGTAATGAAATATGTAAACATAGACCATTTATAAAAATCAAATGTATATTATTCAAAAGTATGAAACGATTTTTTTTGCACATTCTAGCAGGAATAAAATATATGTATTGATATATATGTATATAATTGGCAACCTGTTTCGATAATAAAAAAGACACAGAAAGCGTATCTTTTATCTGTTGTGTATGACTATTAGAATATTGATGAACTACCATAATCCAACGATGCTCTTCTTTGGAATGTATTGTCCATGTCACCAAATTCGTCAAAATTAATATTATTTGTTGTACTTCCTAATTGCATGTTATTATCCCCATCCATATTATCATCTTCATGTTCAAATGTACTAATGTCATCATTTCCCTTTTCAGATGCATGATTATTATCCTGGTCTACATTATCAAAATCTGAGTTTTCATATGATAATGATATGTTATCTAATTTTGTATCTGGTTTCATTATAGGAAGTAATTTGGTTAAAAGTGAGACTCGTTGCATTATAGAGGCAGCATCGTCCGATATAGGACCATGATCTGTATCTACAGCGACACTAGTACTAATATTATCGGGAGACGCTATGTCTCTTTCTTCTATTATGGGTAATATTTCGTTATGTGACTTCAATTCTCCTTCTAATGATGAACCTCTTGAAATTTCAGGAGAGTTAGATAGTAATGTGTTATAAAGAATGGAATATTTTAGACCTGCAATATTTGGTAGTGATTTAATATCAGGAATAACTGGTATGTCTGTGTTTGCTACCTTCGAGCTATGAGTATGCGTAGTGGAAGTTGAATTTTCTGTTTCAATTTTACGCCTTCTATTGTATATTTTCAATTTTTGTCTTACTATTAGTAACCGTATCCAATCATCTGTATCACCATTATTTATTAGTTCTTCAATCAAATTATTTTCTTCTTCTTTTTCTTTTTCTAACTCTTCTTGTTGATTTTGTTGTGCAGGGTTCATATAATCAGGTATTGCGAATATTTGTTTCTGTGGTTGAGTATGATTTATCGGTAAAAGGCCATCAGTAGTAGCACTGGCACTGCTATTATTCTCATTTACTAATTGATTTGTGGAAGTTTTGGAATTAGATGTAGTAGTTGTAGTGGGTTGTTGATTTATCTTGGGGTTCTCATTTAACATTCTAAGCATATCTATATTTGGCAATGCTACTTTTCTTGAATTACTCAATTGAATACTGTTCAAACACCACTTTTTTAATGCTCTGGCACCTGAATCTCCAGGAGCTTCGGGGTTTTCATCATAAACATCTAATAGATCATTTGGTTTTATTAGGCCTAAATTAGTAAATGCTTGTGAAATATCTTGCAATGCAATTGTATCATCTACATCCGCTCTTGCATGAGCTAATTTTGTCACTTCGAGAACTAATAGACGAAGAAATTTAATGTATAAATCACTCAATGTATCCACAGTTGAAGATTTACTTCGATCAAACCCTTGAGCCTTTAGCATTTGTATCACAGATATTCTAAGCAAACCAAAATAGAAATCATTATTAGAGGTAGTCATAATCCTACGGTAGGAATGTATATTATTAAAAAGAGGGTGGAAAGCTGTTTAAAGTAGTAAAGAGATGCAAAATGTAATCAAACTTTCTAATTGGAAAAAAAAAAGGTAAGCTGGTGGTATGTTCCCGTTAACCAGTATTATGCGTGCAATGATAGGTTGTCTCAAACTTATAAGTTGTTCGAATTAACTCCACAATAATCTCTGAAGAGCCCTTTAATCTCTTGTATTCTCAGGGGAAGGATCATTATCTTGCTTAAAGTTGAGTTCAACCTTTCAATGTTTTTTAAAGTCAAAAAATTTCAAATAAAAAAAAGAAGAATCAGAACCTCGTTACCCGGATATAAAGCCCTCACTTTGTGCCCTAAGGGTTTCGAAGTTAGGGCGTGCCGTGTATAACGACAATCTGAATTTGAAAAACTGAAAGAAAATCGCTGAAATTTCAATTTCAACGAGCGGCCAGCGAGTACAATTTCTATTAGGAGATAATAATAATGTACGTGAATTGAAATATGGCCCCAAGACGTGATCGGGAGTTACCTTTATTGAATAATTGAGACCAAGTTTCTATTTTCGAACAAAGAGTTTTAGTTTGGTATTCTATTACAAAGATATTGTTTCGATTTGTCAATAAAAAGTCAGTGAATACATTGACTAATAATTCTGAGTTATTTGTTTTGTTTTTGAAAGGATCAGTAAGGAAAATACTTTTGGACTGCCTTCTCCCTAACACAATTATTTGCAAATAGGATATTGTTAAAAAGAAATTAAAAATGTCATTATATTCAGTAGAAGGTATCCTAGTATTGGACTCAAAGGGTGATAGAATATATGGGAAATACTATAATCCACCACATTCTGTATCAGATGAATATGCAATCAGTAAATCACTAGCTACATCTAATAAAATTCAACTAGAATTTGAAAAGCAATTGTTCAAGAAAACACACAAGAAAAATGCAGAGATAATGTTATACGAGAATCATTTAGTGTTATACAAAGAATATACTGATGTGACGTTATATTTAATTGGTGATGGTAATGAAAATGAATTAGTCTTACAAGAAGCCTTTGATGCTTACAGAAACTCTATAGAATTAGTTTTACATAATGGAGTCGATAAGAAGAATATTCAAGAGAATTACGATTTAATATTATTGGCTATTGATGAATTGATTGATAATGGTATTATTTTAGAAACTGATCCAGCTTCTATTGCCTCAAGAGTCACAAAGGCTCCAGAGGAAAGCGTTACATTAGATTTGGATAAAGGTCTTTTGGGTGCATGGGGTTTTGCCAAGAGCAAGTTTCAAGAAAGATTGCAACAAGGTTTATGAAGAAGGGGAAAAATGGGAGTATTATACATATACGACTTTTCATTCTTTTTTTTTTTACTTCTCTCTCTCTCTCTCTCTCTCTCTCTTACTATAAAAAGATATAACCACTATATATAAACAATAAACAAATAATAATAAAAAAATATAAAATATAAAGTAATTAGTAGGAAATTTATATTTATATAGAGTGGTAAATCTAAATATGTATATATAATTATTTATACAACAACATGGAAATCAGAACGTTTTTTTGAAAGACCTGCTTGAACGATCTTTTCAATTTCATCTGGATCGGATGTAATTCCAGTCATATTTTCATAACCTTCTTTTGTGATTAAGATATCGTCCTCGATACGTACACCACCAACAGTCATGTATTTCTTCATGACATCGAAATCAACCATCTTAGCTCTCTCTGGATGTTTATTTAAAAATTCTTCAACTAAATAATCGTTGAAATAACAACCCGGTTCATTGGTTAATACCATCCCAGTTTTCAATTCACGACGTAATCTTAAATATTTGAAATAAGGATCAGAATCCTCATAATTTGGATATCCCGCAACGTCATGAACATCTAAACCCATCAAATGACCTAATCCATGAGGGTAAAAAGCACAAGAGACTCTAGAATCAAACATTTCTTGTTCAGTAAACTCTTTACCTTTTAAAATACCTAATTCAATAAGATGCTTAATTAGAATCTTATGAGACATGATATGTAGATCTTCCCATTTAACACCAGGTTTCATCAATGCCATGGTTTGTGTTTGCATATCACGGACGGTTTCGTATATTTCACGATGTTCTCTGGTGTATTTCCCTGTTAATGGGAAACATCTAGTTACATCGGATACATAATTCATCCATTCAGCACCAGCATCAATTAAAGTGGAATCCTTATCCTTCAAAGATTCTGAATTCTTAACATAATGTAAAGTACCACATGCTGGACCTGAGCAACAGATAGGATCATAACCTAATGTTCGAGCACCTTGTCTCTTAGCATGATAAGCAAATTCTGCTTCGATATGTAATTCATTGATTTCAATTGGTAAAGCTGACATCACTGCGTAATGACTTCTGTCAGTTATTTTAGCAACATGTCTTAAGATTTCTATTTCATATTGATCCTTAATTAATCTTGCTTCATCTAATGCATAGAAGAAAGCATTATCCTTAGCAACCACAACATCATTCAAAGTTTGGTTCAATTTTAATCCTTCAAAATTGTCCTTATCAGTGGTATATAATGTCTCTATATTCTTGTATTGTCCAAGGATATCATTCAATTGATCCATATAGTAAACTTCATCAACATCATATTTTTCAAGAACTTCTTTTGGTTCCATTGGCATACCACCCCATACTACATCGTCATAATCAATCTCTGGTAAGAAAACAATCAATTTTTCAGATTTACAGTCATAAAATGAGACGGCTGATGGAATATCAATACCTGTCAAATAGAAAAAATAACGTTCTTGTCTAAATTGTTTAAAAGTATCACAATATTTATTTGGTTCGACGGGATTACCCACAACCAAAAATCCTACAGACTCAATCGCGTTACCACCCTTTGACAATTTAGTTAAAAGATGTTCTTTCACATTAGAGTTATGGATTTTCGCTGGATACTTGTTATCCTTGATATATTGAGGAACATCCTCAATTGGATCTGCTAACATGGACATGTTGTTAACTTTATTATTAATACCCTTTCTTGTAAGATAAGTAATTGCTGAACCAATTGCTAAAGGTACGCCTAAACTAACCAGACTTGAATCCATCCTATTTATCTAACTATATTTATATATCATACACATAAGAGAAAGTCTTTCTTACTTTGGAAATCCGTCCAACTGAGGGTCATGCATGCATATCACATCGCTATTGCTGGTCTCTTTCACTTGTTATGTAATCTCTTTCTTTCTCTTCTGATTTTTTTCCAGTTTTTTTGGGGGGGAAAGAGAGAGAAAGGGAATGACACATTTTTCACTCTGGATTTCTGTCGTGGTTGTGCGGCCGTTTCTGTGCAATATTCCATTTTTCTATAGAAATTATCCTGACATTAAATGACTGCATTTTTCAACGTTTTGCTTTGGGATTCCTGAAGTGAAAATTTGACTGATGAACTGCATCCATCCTCTCTGTGCAGTTTACTTACTTTCATCAGAAGAGGTATGAATAGCGTGGGTGGGTTCAGCCTGGACAGGCCATGTGAGAATGTTGTTGTTACATGGCAAAAAAAATAAGTATCTTCTCTGTAAGAGGGTGTCCAGTGTGAGGAAACACCGGTTATTCATACTAGGATCACCATTTTCAATCGAATTAGATGGGAAGTACTGGAACTTGGTGTTTTGAACCGATTGTCTTGTTTATAGTTATTTTTGTCTCTCTGTCTTAGTACCTTTGTGTTCTGCTTGAAGAAACTCAAAATGCATTTTATCATACAATATAATTCGAAAGTGAAAATTTTTTAGTATTTATTTTCAAACAGCTCAACTAAAGTAAAAGGGGAGGATGATCTCATATAGATGACTCGCTTTTATCAGTATTGAATAGTGAATGGATTTTGTTGTAGTTACAGTAACCAAAGAGAAATTTTAGGCTAGGTTTGTACTTATTTATACTAATATATATTTTTACAAGTAATATGACTCAGAAGCGTCGATTGAGTGAAGAACCTCGAAGTATAAAACAACAACAACAACAACAACAACAAGAGATAAAAAAGAAGCAAAAGCAATCAATACCGATACAACGTGAGGATTTACAATCCCTATTGAAGACCATAAATAGGAAGAAACTAGACTTTGATTCGGAAAAGATCTGTTCGGCAAGTCTATCAAAATTGGATATATACGGTTGTTTAGTCTGTGGGAAATATTTTAGAGGTTGTAAAGAACGTTCTCCTGCTTTCTTACATTCTATCAGTGATGGCCATCGTTTATTCGTAAGTTTTGAATCCACCAGAGTGGTAATATTACCTGATGAGATAGATATTGATGTTAATGTGATCCATTTATTAGATGATGTCAATAAGAAATTGATTAATGATATTAAATATTCGGTGTATCCAGTTTATTCTCCTGATACTATACGAAAATCTCCATATAGATGTTTTGAATCTACTCAAGGTCAATTATATTATAATGGATTTGTTGGATTAAATAAGTCTACATCAAATAATATTGCATATATTAATGTAATAATTCAATTATTAGCTCATGTTGATCCGATTAGAGATTTTTTCTTATTAGCTGATAAAAAGAATCATTTGAATGATAATGGGTTAATTAAAAATATTACTTTAATAATGAAAAAAATTTGGTCACCTCATTTGTTTAAATTGAATGTAGGACCCGATGAACTAATATCTTATATTATGGTGAATCATTCGAATGTAATTAAAGCAAACATTAACTGTGATCCACAAATGTTTTTGAATTGGTTAATAAATGCATTATGTCAATCAGATAAACGGTTGAGAAAAATATTAATAAAGACATGTCAGGGGAAGCTGAAAGCGTTCGCAAAGGGTAATAAAGCTAATATTGTACCGTTTTGGAATTTAACATTAACTTTACCAGAAATATCCATGTTTAAAGAAAGTAAAAATATTGACGACATAGAACAAATAAAACTTGAAGATTTAATAATGGCAAAATTTTCATTAGACTCTATCAATAATGATAAACTTCAATTGATTAAGGATAATTTACCTCAATATCTTTTCCTTTATATTAGACGATTCAATAAATCAAAGAAATTGTCAGATTCGGAATTTTATGTTAGGAATAGAAACCAAACTATAGTAAATTTTGATGAAATATTGACTCTCCCTTTTTCCAATGATGACAAAATTTCTAAAATTCGATATAAATTAATTTCAAATGTTGTACATGATCCTGAAAAAAATTTGTATGATATTGAAAAGGATTATACTAGTAATTGGAAAATCCAATTGCCTAATGAGCAGACAAAGGATTGGGTTGAGATCAATAATACAAAAACTACAATTAAAAACTTTAATTTATTATTTTTGGATGAAACATATATTCAAGTATGGGAAAAAATTAAAGATTAATCAGTTCATGTCTGTATGTAATATTATTGTAATTTATTTTATGTTTTTTTTTCATGATTATAAAATATATATGTTTAAAGATGAATATATATCCTCAACTTTTACTTTATTATATTTTTGTTGTTCTTGTTTATGATACTATGCACTTTTAAAAAACACACATTAAACTTTTATTGTATGGCCACGGCATTAACATTTGCAGTCAATATAGAGACAACATTATCTTCTAAAGCTCTATTGGCGGTATCTGTTAAATGTTTCTTTGGATCTTGTTTACCGATATAACGTGTTTTTAATTCTTGTTCTGTCAATTCTTTCTCTTCTTCAACTCTCTTTGAATATTGTTTAGCGATTTTAACCATTTTTTGTGTTGCTTCCAAATTATTATGTTCTTTCTCTTCATAATCATACATCTTTAACCCAGCTTGCCATTGTTCTTTATGTAAATTCATTAACATCTTTGTCTCATCATGTGTCCTATGATAATCTATATTTAACGAATAATAATGTCTATTTAGACCATGAATCAAGGCTTGAATGTTAGCTTTGTTCATCAAACCAACGTTTGACGTCGTTTGTCTTGGTTCTTGATTATTAATTAATGCACCAGTATCAATTAATCTGAATGCATCAATTACAACTTTACCCTTAACAGATTGAATTGGGTCCACAACAACAGCTACAGCTCTATTGTTCAATTGTTCAAAAGATTTCTGTGTATTAACATCGACGGATGATAACCAACATCCAAAACCAGGATGTGAGTGGTACCATCCAACTACCATTTGGTCTCTACCGGTTTGTTTCAACATATCCATCATCTTTGCTTGAAAGACATCATCCACAGCCTCCACAGAAACACCGGTACCAGATTGAGGCATGGCAAAGACATCAACAACGTTAACTGTATAGTCATCTACAAATTCACCTAACATCAGGCCCATAACTTCCATAGGAACACCAGCTCTACCGTGCTTTAGCATTTTCAATAGCGCAATTGAAGATATATATACTGTTTCCTTGGTATCATTACGGTCTGCATCAACAGCACCAACCTTGGTGTTCATCATAAGTCTTTGCAATCTATCCATTTTTTATTATCTATATTGTATATTCTTGGTCCCTATTTGAAAATTTAATTCTGTTTATCTTCTTCGAGTAGTACTAACTATATGCTAATATCCAACGAATCTAGTTAACTTTTTCGAATACTCAATCCTTTACTGTTCTCCTCTCAGTTAAAAAAAATTAACTTCCCTTTTTGCCACCTTCAATCTAGCCATTATTCACTTAAATTCATTTAAAAAGTCTCCCTCAGCTAATTTCACTTTTTTTGGCTTTTGGCTCCATTTTTCACACTGAGCGAGGGTAACACTGAAAAAGGCATTGATTATATAATCGAAAAATAATTTCAAATTAAAAATATTTATTAAATTCAGGGTCCCCCCTGTTAACTCCTGGTTTCATTATTAAAACAACAAAGTCTATAAGTTAAGATATCTTTGTCGTTGGATATAACTAATCTATTGGAAAGCATAAGAGATAACTACTATATAGAAAACCATTATATTAATACTAAAATATAAACAAAACAAACGAAATTTAACTATGGCACCACACGGCAGTAACAACAACGGATCAGGAACGACACAGGGGTCACAGACTATCAGTCTTTCCCAAGCACCACCAGTATTAACTCTTCGTGCATTGAATACGGATCATAGTAAGCAAAACCAGGATAATAAGAAGACTAATGAGAAACCAAATATTAGATGGGAACAAGGAACGGTAGATAACGAGAATATGGGTAAAAAGAAGACTAAAATTTGTTGCATTTTCCATCCTCAAGATGAAGATGATGAGTTTGCAGAACCTGAAGTACATATGCATAATAAACCGTCTGATTCAGAATCAGATTCTAGTTCATCTTCAGGTGAATCGGAAGATGATAATAAGAAGGGTTACAATTTTGAAGAACGTAGAAAAAGAAGATTGGAGAGACGTCATATGAAACTGGCTAAAGAAAATTCAATTGAACCAAATGCTTACGAATTTCAACCTGATTATTCACATAGGAGAGCCCAAAATAGTATAAATTCTCATCCTTGATACTAGTATCGAATTTTTATATTTTTTTGATCTTTTTCACTTTATTCAGATATATAATCTGGACATTCAAAACAATTTCTGTTTTATTTTATCTTCACAGCTATAATCTTAATTATATCTGCTAGAACATGTACACTATACATTTACGCCAATATTTTCCTCATATAAGGTGGGGTTAATTGCTCTATCACATTATCATTTATGTATATATACATATATATATATATACATATACTTTTACATGCATTTATCTGTTTTATTTTTATAAGATAGGTAGAACTCTTTTTTTTGCTTCAGAAATCTTCATATCAGAATCTTTGAAATTAGTTTGTTATTTTCTTACTATTAGTATTATTATTATTATTATATATATGTGTGTATGTGAGGTCGTTCATATATATTTTCATATATATTGAAAATAATTAATTTATTAAATTCATAATGTAACATCTAAATTGATTAATGTACTAAAGGTCTCCCTTGGCATTTTATATTGAATGACACCGGCATAGATCATGCAGTTTTTAGCAATATTCTTCAAGGAATTGATCTGCTGTGCTTTTTCCATGGATTGATATTCACTCTTATTCAAATTTTCAACTAATCTAGAGACGCAAGTCATTGTAATAATTAACATGTTTGGTACACACTTAATTAAATTTTCATTCAAGGTAGTAAATTCTTGTGCCTTTTCTCTTGCAGAAAGTTCATCAGCAAATGGTAAAATATTTAATTCTTTAATCATGGTCAAGGTTTGTTGCCATTGTTTACCTAAAAATGCTTGTCTAACGTCAACCATCTTAAGCAAGAAAAGACATGTATCACTATTCTTATTAGAAATCTTCTTCGAAATCTCTAGATTATCAACATAGGTAGTAATTAATTTCCTTGCCAATAAGATAGGATTAGTTTCACTGTTGTCACTCGTTTGTAATAAAGGTTGTGTCAAATCAGCGTTACTTAATATATCACCAAGTAAATTGTTAACAATAGATAAAACGATATCATACTCTTCAGATAATTGATATAATAATAAACTGTCATGGACTCTACCATCTTCATCAGCTTTGCGAGCGGCTTGTTCTGTAATAACACGTAAAAATTCACTCTCATCGCGTAAATGTAATAGAGGTAATCTTTCTTCGATAACACCTGGAATTCTAGTACCATCTCTACTGATACTGCCCAATAAAATCGAAAATTCTTTGGTTTCAAGTACCAATTCTCTCAAGGCTTCATGACATAATTGAACTTGTTCATTTTGTTTCTCTGTACTTAATCCAATTAAAATAATGTATTCTGTGGCAATTCTCGGATCAGAAAATTTAAATGATTTCACGTAGTTACTTATAATTCTAACAAAATCGATCTCTCTTTCATTTTTATCATTGATGGACAATAGTCTCTCTCCAAATGATGAAAATCCTGTGCCATTGGCGCTGTTGTTGTTGTTACTAATATCTCTATTGTACTGCTCAGTCTTGTTCACGATAGATGTAATCGATGGGAATTTCAATAAGTTCAAACTAGCCATGACGATAGCTAAATGAACAGCATCCATTTCATTGATAGTGTAAACATATGCAATGGCTAGTTCGTACAGACCACTTAGCACAAGAACTTGTAAATAATGGTTTGTAAATCTAGATGGACCATATGAGGTAACAATATTTTGGAAATCTGTAAAAGTATATCTTTCATATATTGGATCATCCTCAGTGATATCATCCTTCATAAGCATAAAATGAACCCATAACCAATCTTCGACATTCAAAGTCACAGATGAAATGTTCTTCCTAGTTAAATCACATCTACCAATAATTTTATAGACAGCTAATCTAAATGGATCACCATTTAAAGAGTTCTTAATATGTTGATTGTACTCGGTATGAAGTCTATTAGAGAACTCTAATGGTAATGTACCATCTTTTGATGATGTGTATGCCTTGAAATAACCTAAAAATGATTGTTCGACTTTCTTAAAACTTGATTTGTTACTGACTGCAACTTCAAGAGCTTCTGTCTTCAACCCAGCTCTTAATAAATAGAAAATTAGAGCCCAGATTGGGATACTATTAGCCACTGTTAAATTTTTAATTTTCCATGAATTATCAGTATTTTTCAATTTACTATCAATAAATGATTTCACTTTATTAATATTTGTTGGTAAACCTTCATCCATTTTCTTATTGTATAACAAATTCACATAATCCAAAAATTGTTTCTCCAAGTATATTTTGGATCTTTCAACAGTATCTGTTTTAGTCAAATTTTGACGATCATTTAAGGTATCTAAAATCTTCCAAGCCTCTAACATTTGTCTATTCTTAGTATCATTTGCATTCTTGGACAATAAAGATATGAACTCCTTAGTTAATGGAATTGATTGGCCTGATTGTCTTGAATTATTGAATTTATAAACGATCTTTGCATGTGTTTCAAAATTTTCTCTAACAAGATGGTTTTCATTAACATTCAATTTAGACTCATTATTATTATCATTTAGGATTCTTAAAGAGTTATTCCCCCAGACAGGGATTTCTGGATTAATAGAATGTTTCTTTAGAGTTGCACTAACAAAATCATTTGGATAGGTGTTAGAAGAAGTCAAGTTATTAGTATTACCTTTATTATTAATTAAAATTCCGAAATTTTCTCTAATAGTGTTTTTTCTTTCATTCCAATCTAGATTTAAATTTGAATTAACAAAGGAATCGAAATCCTTTGCTGCATTAGATAATAAAGATTCAATAGATGATAAAATATTTTCTTCTTTCTTAATCTTCAAATAACTATCAATCTCCATAGAACTTTGAGTTTGTGAAGTTAAATTATTGTCGTTGTTATTATGAGTTTGTCCCACAATATTGTTTCTTTTAAATTTGTTAGCTTCGCCACTCTTTAAAAATTTCAAAGAAGAATCAATATCATCGAAGGCAACACCACTATTAGCTAACAAATAGTGAGCTTTAGTGTGATCTACAGGTAACGCTTGTCTATCACTAGCTTTATTACGTTTATTTTGAATAAATTGATGATCATCAACATTCCCATCATTTTTATTATAATGAGCATTTCTTAATTCTCTTGTACGTCTATTGATTTCATGTAGACTCAATTGAATAGAACCTAACTCAGACGATGTCGATGGTAAATTCTTCGAGGATTCTAACAAGTCATTAAAAATTGTCCCTGCTGCATGTTTAGTATTTTGTGGATCCTGATTAGTATTAACGTTATTATTATTACCGCTGTTATTATTATTAACAAAACCAGCACTTATCATGTTTGAGTTGTTCGAAAGGGTACGATGCGATGAGGAACTGTGAGTGGGTCTTGATATGTGTCTGTTAATATGAATCGAAAAGAGTATATAGGTAAATTGATATGTGTGTGTGTTTGTTACCTTTGATTTATTTGGTATTGTTTTGTAATTAAGAGAACGTACATACTTTCATTTGTTTGTTTTTTTCAATTAGAAAAAAAAAAGGAAGAGAAAAAACTAGAAAATTTTTCCCATAGAAGAAATTGATTGAAATTTAATAATTTAAAGTGTTTCCGAGAAAGGAAAGTTTAAAACAGCTAAGAAAAAGTTGTATATAAGAAATAGCGAGAGAAGGTTGTAGGTTAATAATAATATCAATATCAATAATTAATATAATCATTTCATTATATATTCATCTATATATTTGTGAACAGGCATATCTTCAAAATTATTTTCTGATGATAATTGAAGAATTCTTTGTGCTTGTTCAGAATCACCAAACCTTTCTTTAATATGATTTTCAAATTTTGACATTAATAAAGGAATACCTTCTTCACGTCTAAATTTATGTCCAATTGGGTATTCAACAACAATTTCATCAAGTATAGTACCATCATTTAATTCAATCAATAAAGCATTTGCAATTGATCTCTTTTGAGGATCATAATAATCTTTAGTAAATTGATCATCACGAACACAATACATTTTTGATCTTAAATTATCAATATCATTATTCTTAATTGCAATTTCATCGGTGTAATCATCTGCAGTAAGTCTACCATGAATCAATGGTACAGCGACCATATATTGAATGCAATGATCTCTATCCGCGTAATTATATAAAGGACCATTTTTATCAATAATATTCATTGCAGCATCTTGAGTTCTAATTCTAATTTTTTTAATGTCGTTAAAGTTTTTACCTAATTCATTTAGTTTTTTATGAGCCTCAATGGAAGCCTCAACAGCAGTTTGTGCATGAAATTCTGCAGGGAATGAAATTTTAAATAAAATATTTTCCATGACATAAGATTGAAATTGTTGACGTTGATTAAATTTAAATGGTTTACCATTAAATAAAGTATCATAAAGACCCCAACGTGGAGTAGTTAATACACTTGGAATGCAACCAATCTGTGCATCTTTCACTAAATAAGCTAACTTAACAGCTCTTGAGGTTGCATCACCAGCAGCCCAAGATTTTCTCGAATTAGTATTTGGAGAATGTCTATAAGTTCTTAATGGATGGCCATCAACAAAAGCGTGTGATAAAGCTGTTACAGTTTGTTCTTCATTAAGACCAATTAATTTACTTACAACAGCAGTTGTAGCTAATTTAACTAAGATAACATGATCTAAACCAACTCCATTAAAAGAATTATCTAATGCAATAATTCCTTGAATTTCATGAGCTTTAATCATTGCTTCTAGTAAATCTTTAATTAAAAATGGTTTAGTCGAACCCATATTTGATCTATTAATAAAATCAATTACGGCAAGAATTCCACCTAAATTATCAGATGGATGACCCCATTCAGAAGCTAACCAACAATCATTAAAATCTAACCATCTAATCGTAGTACCAATAACAAAAGCACCATTAATTGGGTCCATTTTATAATTTGTACCAGGAACTTGACACCCATTTTCAATTTTACCTAATTGTGGTACAATTGGTTTAATAATTTTTTCAACTTGTGAATATTTTAATGATGCTAATCCACAACCTAATGTATCTAATAAACAATATTTTGCAGTAGTAAATGCTAATTTCGAATCAATTGTTGTATTATGAACATACGATGCGATTTTTGTTAACAATTCATCAGGTGTTGGTCTGTCATTCATTGTTCTCTTAATTGAATTTGTTGACATATATCTAATACCTGGCAATAGTCTTCTCGACATATTTGTTTGTTTGTTTGTTTTATTTAATTATTTTTTTTTACAAAAGTGTATATATTAAATTATATGAAAACCCAATTGTTAGAAACTACTTCATCCATGTCTTCTCGTTATATAAGGTTCATTAATAAAGAAAGTGAGCTTATCTCCAATGTGTCTATGTCTATGTCTATGTTCTATGTCTTGTATGAAAATGGTAATGCGTGACACAACGTTTTCTCCAACACCCAGAAAGAGAAAAAGAGAGACATAATAGCCGCCCACCCATAGGAAGAAAACTCGGAGTAAAATAAAAAAAATTGTAGTTTGTTTCGTATTAGCAAAAAAAAAGTATGTATATATATTTATATACATACACATATACATATTTGTTGGAGAGAGAGAGAGAAGAAGAAGAAGAAGAAACAATACGTAATCATACATAAGAAGCCATATATGGTCATATTTATTTATTTGTTATGAAATGCGTGACTTTGATAATTTCTCCAATGTCTTTAAATCTAGTGATTTTGGTCTTTCAATTGGCAAACCATAAATTCTATCCCAAATCAATTGAATTAATGGACCAATTGATCTTGAACAACCGAAGATCACTGTAAAAAATAATAACTCTTTGATACCATAATGATAAAACAATATACCTGATGCGGCATCGACGTTTGGATATGGATTATTACATTTCCCTTGTTTTAATAAGATTGATGGTACCAAATTTGATAATTTTTGCATTAATTGAATATGTGAATCATTTAAAAATTCTTTTGGTCTTTGTTCAACGAATTCTAGCATGGCATTAAATCTTGGATCAGGTTTGCGTAATACTGCATGACCATAACCTGGTATAACTTTGTTTGAATTTAATAATTCCCAAATTTTATTTTCAATAATTTCATTATTATTAATATCTTTGATATCTTTCTCTAAATTAATTAAAAATCTAACAACTTCTTGTGCGGCTAAACCATGTAATGGTCCGGCAAGACCATTAATCCCTGAAGCATAACTTAAAAAGGGATCAGCCAATGTACTACCGACTAGATGAGTAGCATGAGCAGATACATTACCACCTTCATGATCAACATGAATACCTAAATAAAGTCTCATTAAATTATTAAAATCATTTAATTGTTCATTTGATAAATTATTCTTATTAATTGAATCGTTATTTGAATTCATTCCTAACATTGAACAAATATTATAACTCCAATCCATTGAATTATTAATTTTACCTAAAGGTTTACCATTTGAAATTATATTTGAATAAATTTTACCAATTAATAGAGGTAAATTTGCAATTAAAATCATTGAATCATCAAAAGTTGAATCCCAATAATTTTTTTTATTAATTTTACCATCTCTATATAATTTTGCAAAACTTGAATTATTACTTAAACATTCAAGACCAATTGATAATTGAGTCATTGGATGCATTGTTAATGGTAATTTATTCATAATTAAATCAACATCTTCAGGTAAACAATTATTTTGTTTTTGTAAAATTTCATTAAATAAAAGAATTATACTTTGTGTTTCATTTTTTGTTGGTATTGAACCTGTTAATAATAACCAAATCATTGATTCAGGTAAGAAAATCCCATTTTTACCAGGTAAAAAAGTTTGACATTGTTTAATTGTCAAACCTTTAAATTTAATACCGTCAATTGCTGATAAAGTTGTACCATCCCATAACATAGATTGATTACCACGCATACCACCAATTATTGAACCAATTGTGATATCATCAATTTTAACATTTGAATAATTTTTTTTCAAATTAGTTAATTTTGATCTTTGTAAAGGTATTATTTCCTTTAATTTATCCTTCAAAGCAGAGGAAGAAGAAGAGGGAACTGAACTATATAATCTATTAAACCGTTTTAGCATAATTGTAAGATGTTGTTGTTTTTTAATCTTATCTCTAATGATTAGAACTACTATTACCTATTCTTCTTCCTAGTATACATATATCAAGTTGTTGTATAGCATGCTTATATATATAAATATATGTATATATTTATATATTCTTTTAGTATGGGTATATGCGGGGTAGATAGACTAAGTAATGACAGAAGAAAACAGTGGGCGGCTAAATTACATACGAAAGTCTCCAACAAATTCTTTCGCTCTTTAAATACAAACGAATGACCTCCTCCTCCTCCTCCTCCTCCCCCCAACACACACGCCGTTTCTCCAAATAACTTCTTCAAGCAAAAGAAACACTTTTTTTCTTATTTTCATTGTTTGCTGTCTGTTCATTTGAGGATAGCAATTTATTGGAATCACGTTGATTCTTTCTACGCAGTGATCTGGCGGCATTCGATTTATTCTTTATCTCTGCTTTTTTATCTTCTAATTTGTTTTGTTTTGCTAGTTCTTTCCTTTCAATTTCTTGTCTCTTCAGGTCTCTGATTTCCTGTAATCGTTTGTCTTTCTCTAGTTTACTTTCGACGGTTTGATCGTATTCATCTCCAATGCTTTTGATCAATCTGTTTAATAGCAATGTATCGTCATCTGAAATTAACTTCTTACCTTTTTTACCTTTCTTAATTTGATAACCTGGTATAATACTTCTATTTAAAGTTGGTATATTTAATTCTTTATCAGTATATTTTTGTTTTGACTTTACATTTTTCTCTGATGCACGTCTACCATATAATCTTAATCTTGCTTGATCTTTCTTGAGTTCTAATTTGGATTGTCCTCTTTTCCTAGACGAACGAATCTTATCATCTTCAAGTACCTCTTTATTATTAATTAATTGATTACGTGCAATATTATCTCCGAATACTTCAGGTCTAACTTCACGTTGAGAATTTTGTCCTTTACCGTTAATTCTGTTTAATGCTGATCTTTTACTACCCATATTTGAACTGTTTTGTATGTGTGTATCTATGTATCTATGTATCGATTATATCTGAGACGAGATGAGATGAGATGAGATGCCCTCTTATAATATAACTAGTATTCTCAACGTTAATATTTTTTTGGTATGCTTCGATCGAACGGAAACGAAAAAAATTTTCTCTCTCTTTTTCGTTCTTTTAGAAATCACGTGCTGATTTATTGTTGTTGTTTTTTGTTACATAGTATGTACATATATATATATATATATATATTTGTTAATCAATATATTTGCATGTCTTTAAGATACGTTCATAATCTTGTTTCACTAATAAATATGAATCATCAATTGCTTTAAATTTTTGATCTTCATCTTCAATTTCAAATAATGAATCATAGTTTTTAATCCAAATACGTCTCTTAACTTGTCTCTTAAATAAATTTATCATTGTCTTATTTTCAACTAACAAAATCATTTCAATCAATCTTTGAAATTGTCTTTTCTCAAATTTATATTTATGACGTTGAGTTTCAATCCATTCTTCATTAATAAAAAAATTTTTATCATCTTTATCCTTGGAACAATATTCAATTAAATCTTGAAAAAATTTATTTTCTTGTAATATCTTTAAATCATTATAATCTCTTAAATCATCAAATTGTTCATTTGGATCTTCAACAGTAATACAACTAACATTGCTCTGTTTATTCCAATATGAATATAATGATTGATATAATGTTGAACCATGACCCTTTCCTTGATATGGCGGTATGATTAAAAATTGAGATATCTTTTCATTAAATTGAATATTTGAAGATGTTTTATCAAAATTTTGAAAACCTTGATAATCCCAATAACTATACGTTGTCGCAAAACCAATTAAATTCTTATCTTGTTCATTAAATATTAAATATATTACCCAACGTGGTTCTTCTTGTAAATTTAAATAGGTAGCGGCTTCAATAAATAATAATGTAAAAATTTGAATTCTTTCCCAAAATTTAACTATTGATGATTCTTTATTTGTTTGAATGATTTCACCAATTGGGACACGATATATTCCAAATTTATTACTATCTTTTGTATATTCATCAATTTTTTCAAAAGATGACATTATATTAAAATTTTTTCTCTCTTGTGTAAATGAATCAACCCATTTTAATTCATCTTTTAAAATATAGTCATCCTTTGGTAAAAATGGTATAATTTTATTAATAATATCCTTTTCTGGATTGATATCATCATTTAATTTTTCGGAATATTTAACATTTAAAAATGGTTTATATGTTATTGAATCAAATACTAAATGAATTACTAAATCTTTATAACCATAAATCATTTCTTCATCACCAAATATTGGATATGTATATAATGGTGAAAATTGAATGGCTCCAGCTTCAGTGTCTTTCTCAATTAATGAAATCTTTAACGCCTCATTTGAAGAAATTTGCCAACTTTGAGGTTGAAAATCACTTGCATTGGCAACACTATTAGACTCCATATTTAAAACAAAAATTGTATTCGTAGTTGTTTCTTCCCTTCGTATAGCCTATATATATATGTGTGTGTGTTTTACGTGATTTAATTAAATCGCGTTCTCTTTTTTAACTTTCTCATATTTATACTATTTGTTTCTTAATTCTATCTGTCTCTCTCTCTCTCTCGATATGGACTCTGATATTTTGTTTGTTTGTTTTTCATTGATTGCCGCCTTTTTTTTTATTTCGATTCTCAATTATATAATTGATATTTTCAATACTATTTATACAATAAGGGACAACACTTTTAAACAAAGTTTCTCAAAATACACTATTACTATTATTATTATTCTTGTCTATATCTACTATATATGCTAGCGAACAATATTTTCTGAGTGTATGAAACGATTTGGTGTATCGGCATTTGATGCCAATAAAGATACTTATGAATCATCTACTTTACAACGACAATCAAAAGAATACGAACAACAATTGAAATTATTTCAAGATAAATTAATTCAATTTGCAAAAGAACATAATAATGAATTAGGAGAAAATCATGAATTTAAATTAAAATTTATGAAAATGTGTAATTCTATTGGTATTGATCCATTAAATTTATTTGATAAGGATCGTCATTTATTTAGTGTTGATGATTATTATTATGAAATTTGTGTTAAATTAATTCAAATTTGTAGAGAAATTAAAGATATTAATGGTGGAATTGTTTCATTAAATGAATTACAAAAAGTTTATTTCGTAGGATCAAATGTAACAATTAATGATATTGAAAAATCCGTTAAAATGCTCTCAAATTTAGATGGTGGTTTTGAAATTTTTCAAATTAGAGATCATTTAAAATTTTTAAGAAGTGTACCAAATGAGTTAACTTTCGATCAAACAAAAGTTTTAGAAGTTTGTTCTGTAATGGGTTATGCAAGTATTAATTTATTGCATATTAATTTAAATTGGGAAAAAATTAGATGTAAAGCAACTTTAGATGAAATGATTGCTAATGGTTTGTTATGGATAGATAATCAATGTGGCGGTAAAGAAATTTTATATTGGGACCCATCTTGGATAACTAAATCTGTTGATATTCAAACGTGACATTATTTTTTTTTCTTTTTATTACTGTGTATTTATATACCTTTTGCATGACTTTAATGAAATAATGAATCTTTTATAGATAGAAATTTTTTTTTTGCTTATTTTTAAAAATTGAAAGAACAAAAATATTATTACAAATAGTTTATATATAAAAAGAGGAATAATTATGGAAATTTTGTTCCTTTTTTTTCTTTACTTTTTTATTTAACTTTGTTGAGAATTATCAAGTTTCTTGTTTTCTTGTTTTCTCTTAAATTTAGCATTAACAACATCAACACTTGCCATAACATCTCTTTTACCCATCTTTTGATAACGAGATACAATTCTTCCAAGTCCATCACCAGTATTAATTCTAGTCTTACCTCTCATTGAAAATTCTTGTGACGGTAAAGAATCTTCAAATAATTGTGTTAATGACGCCTTTAAATCATAGTTTAATTTTAATGCATCAACAGCTTTACCATATTTAACAGATTTAAAATCATTAACATTAGTATTTAACCATTCAATTTTACAATCAAAATCACAATCAAATAAAATTAATGGGAGATCATTTGCCATATCATATATTGGTTTTTGTGGAGTGATTTCAATATTTAACATATTTGATATCATTGTAATTTCTTCTAATCCTTGACCAACTAAGAAAAGATTGGCCATCATACACCGTACCTGATGCCATAAAAATGCAGATCCAATTAAATCAAAACAATAAAATTTATCATTATACTTCATTATATTCGAACTAATGACATTTCTATGATAATTTGTAATTTGTTTTGAACCATCTAATTTACAAAAATTTCTAAAATCATTTTCACCTTCGAATAATTTTGCTGCTTCTTGCATCTTTTCAAGATCTAATCCTTTTGAACTGAATAAATATTTATAATGACGACTCTTACAGCTAAATCTAGCATCAAAATCTTCTGGTAATCTTAATGCAACTGCTGATACTCTAATATCATTAGGTAATTGTTGGTTTAAAATATGAGCATAATCAAGTTCTTTGGAATCATTTATTGGATCCATTTGTTCATCATCTGTTAAATTAGATCTGACATTTAAAGATACCACTTGACTCATAGCACTAACACCTTTATCTGTTCTACCACATCTACTAAATTTAAAATCTTGTGGAACCATAGATGGAACTAATTTACATTTATTCATAGCATCTAGTAAGATCGATTCTACAGTTGGTAGCTTTGTAGCTTCCTTTTGAAGCGCAAGACCATTATAATTCCAACCCAAATATGCAAATTTAAGAGCAATAAATCTAGTATTATGTTGAGAGAAATCAAATTCTCTTGGTTTCTTCTTCTTAGATTTCTTTGAAGATTTTCCAGTTACAGTTTCTTCATCATTTTTCCTCTTCTTTGATATTCCAACGTCATTTGATTCTACACTTTCAAGTTCTATTATCCTTTTGATCAATTTTTCTTTATTCCAATTGGCATATTTCGAACTATCAACTGCGATGCCGGTAGCTGATCCGGAATTAGTAACAGTCTTACTTCCAGATTTGAAGAAATTTAGCCAAAATCCCATGTGGTCCTATTTTTCTACCTAATTTGGATGGGTAACTTAGTGCTAACAATAGTGGTAATCAAAGTCCTTTAGAGCACATATATTTGTTGTAAAAGATAAACCTTCTCAGATCTATTTATTTGTTTTCAATTGATTGAATGAATGTGATAAATTTTCAACATTCAGAACCTCATCGCGGAAAATTGTTCTCTCGGCAACCTATTTCATTGTAAGATCGAAAAAATTTAAATAAAAAGAATTTCAAATTAGGAAAACTGTTTGGCGCATTACTTTTTTTTTAAAGTTGGTAATTTCTTAAATAAAAGATTAGAGTGACCATTCTTTAATACCTTTGGTCTCAAAAAAGATATAAAAACCATATATAATTAAAAACAATTCCAGTATTTCTATACGTACATCAAGGTAACAAAAAATTAAAAAATATATGCGAATTCTGTGGATCGAACACAGGACCTCCAGATTTCTTTTTTTGACCGAAGTTATTCTTCAGTCTGGCGCTCTCCCAACTGAGCTAAATCCGCTTATAATTTACTAATCGTCGTTTAAAGTTAAATTTATAACTTTGTAGAGCTATTCGGGTAATAGTTTTAGTTTTATTCCTAAAGCGTTATATCTCTTGATTTTTGTTTATTTCAAAGGCTTTTATGTTGGATATTGGAATTATTAGAGGAATCCATTTCTTTAATATGGTACAAAATTTATTTTATTAGAAATCAACGTATAGTCGTCTGATTTCTTTAGTATACAAATTATAAATAATATACAAAATAGTCAGGGAAATAAAATATTCCAATGTATGAAATATTGTTCCCTTTATATACCTTTGGATTTGGTTACATTTCGTGATTATAAATCTCCAATACTAGCATTGTAGAAATTATGCATGATTTCCAAATGCGTCTT